GTAGTGAATTGGCGACTTTAGTCGATGAGTCAATTCACTATTCTGTACCGAATTTACTTCGGTAGTGGAGGTTTGGTTCGTTAGGGCCTCAATCTGTTTACTCCGTTGGAGGTTAGTCGCCCGCTGGAGACTCAAATTGAGAGGGTCTGGAGACCTTTAGTCGAGACTTCAGACTGTTTAAGAATCTCCCGCAGTATAACTATCATTGAACCTAAACTTGGTAAATTACAATCCGGCTTAACTGCAGTCTAGGGGGAACCATATCCGGGTGACCTCTCTCGACTTGAAAACAACCTTTTTACTTGCTTTGCTTGTTTGATTTGTTGAATGGCATGAATCTTGATCAAATTCCTGTTGTTTCTGCTTTAACCTAGAAAGAGAATATCTGCCTAGGTTGATAGAGCACCCTTGATTGAAGGTAGTGAATTGGCGACTTTAGTCGAGGAGTCAATTCACTATTCTGTACCGAATTTACTTCGGTAGTGGAGGTTTGGTTCGTTAGGGCCTCAATCTGTTTACTCCGTTGGAGGTTAGTCGCCCGCTGGAGACTCAAATTGAGAGGGTCTGGAGACCTTTAGTCGAGACTTCAGACTGTTTAAGAATCTCCCGCAGTATAACTATCATTGAACCTAAACTTGGTAAATTACAATCCGGCTTAACTGCAGTCTAGGGGGAACCATATCCGGGTGACCTCTCTCGACTTGAAAACAACCTTTTTACTTGCTTTGCTTGTTTGCTTGTTTGGACCTTCACTAAAGTTTCACTGCTAAATAATAAGAACTCACATCTAGGACCCGGGTTGACATTAAAACCCAAACCCGCTATACTACGCTTTAGGAGGTGGTTACACTTGGCCATTTTCTAGAGTGATGGTAGGAGCGAGTCAAGCCCACAATAGATCAGCCCATAGAATGGCCCATGTGGCCTGCAATTGGGAGGAAGATGAATGTTGGGTGGATAGGCCACCAGTATTTTTTGTGTCTCTTATTAGAGAAGAGGCCTTATGTCTAAACTTTTCTCATTAATAATATAAACAGGAATTATTTCTAAAAAAAGATTGTTCAAATATGTTTTTATATATTTTGTGCATATGTAGACGGGTTTGGGGCTAGGATTTGTGGGTTTGGCACATGCACGTAACTTGCCGGTGTAGGTTTCAGAGTTTGAGTGTAAGCTTAATATGTAATGATGAATTTGGAGAAAAGTGGGAATCAGATAAATTTTCGTGAAATAGATGGGACAGTATTAGTACTCTCAACATTAAAAATTACTATTAGTATATGAGGATTACAATATTATTAAATATATGATCAATATTAAATACTTTACGTTAGCTATGTCTATGTGTAGAGCAAGGTTGTCTAACTGGCTTACACCTTTGTGCCAATTTACATAGTAATTAAATCTCATATTCATGGAATAAATCATAAATAAAGTTTTGTGTTCACTTCATTTACTAAAACAATGTCATTTATTTAAACGCCGTAAATTTATCATGTTGGTAATACCAGTGGTATTCATGCCGGTTTCATGACTGGAATCGGTTGATGTACATCGATGAGAAAAAATATGAATTCGTACAATCGGTTTATATCAGTTCATGTCGGCCTATGCTGATTTAATGAACTATATGTACAAATGTGAAATACCATTAACGTCAAAAGAATTGAAACATATATATAACATATTTCAAGACAATGTATGTACAGTTAAATCTCATATTCATGGAATAAATCATAAATAAATTGTTTTGTTAATTTCATTTACTAAAACAAAGTCATTTTATTTAAACACCGTAAATTTATCATGTCGGTCATACTACTAGTATTCATGCCAGTTTTATTGCCAGAATCGGTTGATTTTACCGCGATGACCAAAAATATGAATTCGTCTATTGGTATGATCGAAAGTAACGTTCATATACCGGCATGACTAAATCATGAAAGTTTAGGGGTCAAAAGTGATGTTCTTGCCTTAAAATGAGCTTAGTCAGGTATTTATTTTTTAGAAATTTTACAATGCTTTATAGCATTGGTGCTATAAGTTTTTGCCTTTATCATTTCGATTTCATGGCCGGAATCGGTTGATGTACCGCGATTTAAAAAAAATATGAATTCGTACAGTCGGTTTATATCAGTTCATGTCGGTCTATGTTGGTTTAATGAACTATATGTACAAATGTGAAATACCATTAACGTCAAAAGAATTGAAACATATATATAACATATTTCAAAATAATGTATGTTTATTTAAATCTCATATTCATGGAATAAATCATAAATAAATTGTTTTGTTAATTTCATTTGCTAAAACCAAGTCATTTTATTTAAATACGTAAATTTATCATGCCGGTCATACTGCTGGTATTCATGTCAGTTTAATTGCCAGAATTTGTTGATTTACCACGATGACCAAACATATGAATTCGTCTACTGGTATGATCGAAAGTAACGTTCATGTCCCGACATGACTAAATCATGAAAGTTAAGGGGTCAAAGTAATGTTCTTGCCTTAAAATTAGCTTAGTGAGGTATTTGTTTTTGAGAAATTTTACAATGCTTTATAGCATTGGTGCTATAAGTTTTTGCCTTTATGGTACTATTTGAAGTTGTACTTTTAACATTATGGTACAACTTCATATTGTACCTATACTCTTTTTTACAAATTCTTTTATTGTACAACTTGAACTTGTACGTTTATGTGATGGTACAACTTCAAGTTGTGAAGTTGTACCATAATGTAAGGGTACAAATTCATTTATGGTACAGCCTGATTTAACGTAATAGTTCAACTTCAAGTTGTACATTAAAGCACCAATACTTTATAGCACAGTAGAAGTGATCATTTTGTTAAACTTATAAACTGACACAATGGTATAAACTGATTTGACAACCCTGATCAGTTTAGTCGTAGTTGGTATAAACTGATTTGAGATTTTTTTAATCTAAAAATTTCTACGTTAGCTCACTAGAGTGAAGACGGTAACAAAGAGGGTGAAGGAACTTATTTGAAACTACCAAATAGCCGCCCAATTGTTTTTAACCAACCCATCTAACTATTCGGATCTTCTAATAAATAGCCTAATTAATTGTATGATAAGTAGTTGAGTTAATGCGCATAAAAAAAAAAAAAAAGTAGTTGAGTTAATGACTCTAATCTCCTTCCGTGGGTTGCGGGGAGAACAGGAAAAAGGGAATTAAAGGGGTTGTTGCCAAGAACCTCTCCATATAGTACTAGCTTATAACCCGGCCCTTTGGCCGGAATGCTCATATTTGATTATTTGTATTTTTATGTTACTTTTAAGTCTATTAACCAGTTTAATCTTATTGATAATCATTCGATCGAGATGATACATAAAGAAATAATATATAGGTCGAAGATTCGGAGAAATATCATAATCATTTAAGAATATAAAATATAAAAATGTATCATTGACCCCATTTTCATAATGCTAATTAAGTCCCTGTTAAAATGCTATTGGTTAGTTTTCTTTTACAGTCAAGAAATATAGAGTATAAAAGCTCACTGAAATTCTCACACAACCCATAGATAGTTTGAAACTAAATCTTAAACCTCACAATCCTATATAAAGGGTTCAATGCTCTCCTTTTAGAAACAATATGTCACTAATCAAAAAGAAATGGAGAGTTGTTGATTCAAGTCATCTATATAGTAAAAACTCAGCTAAGAGGGGACCATCACAACTTGAGAGCAAACGAAAAAATCAGGGTTATCTCCAATATACGAATAGACTCGATCAAAGTAATAAGGCGCAAAATTAGACACTCCTTATCTATTAGTTCCAGTAGGTTGAATAAAGAAGCGACCTATTTCAAACAATCAATCAATGATTCATCGTTTTAAGATATAAATAGGTTATGACAGTTGCAAAAACCATAAACATAAAGATCCAATAGCCACCACTCTCCGTTGTACAACCAAATTTCTATCTCAAGAGGCATATATTCAACCAAAAATTCAATTTCTAATATTCCTTCTACAACTTCAGTTATTGATGAACTCCATTCTATTCGCCATGAATTGATATCGGAGTTGAAATCTTCTACTCGCCCAGCTTAAAATCCCCAACAATAAAACCGTAGTGCCAATAGATACCTGAAGATTGATTTTCAATGAAAGTCTTGTACTGGGAAGTGAAAGGCGCAAACTATTGCACGATGGATGAAATTTCGGAGGAAGTTATAAAGAGAAAAGAACAAAGATTAAAAAAAACAAAAAATTTAAATTTAAATTGAAAATTGCAAGGATACAACAGTAGTTACATAATTAGTTTCTTTCATGTTGGCCAATTACCCATTTACCTTTAGCAAAAATTAAAGAGAGAGCGAGAATTTAAAATTGAGAAAATTACATGAAACTCTACTATGAAAATAGAAGTATCAAGCTCGATAAAAATAAATACGGTAGACTTAGTGAGCTTGCTAATTATGATAAAAAGTTCTCTGATTTTCAGAAATTAACTTTGTCTATTTTTTTTATCAAAGAGAATGCAATAAATTTGTTTAGTGTAACTGGTTGTGATTGTTATCTTTGTTTGAAGAGACCCGGGTTCAAACCTTGATATTGCTATTTTTATATAGAATAAATAATAAATGTGTAAAGACAAAAATGACCTTCCTACTTTCACTCTCGTTGCAGGAAATTTGAAATGGAAAAAAGTACACAAAATTCTACCATATATTAATGGAGGATTGTTAGCCTTAGGAGGAGTTAGGATAATCGATTGTAAAGTGGATTATTGAATTTTATATAATAATCAAAGATTTTTGGAGGTGGGTTTGATTTTTTTTAGTTCGAGTTGGGCTTGATTTTGAAAAAAAGAGAATGATGTCATTGCATCCATTTAACATATATTTAACCTCCATCATCAAAGAATATATTCTAATAAAGACTGGTCCTAGTTATGTTCTTATTCTATTTATTCTTACCCATAACATCTGGTTTTTAAAGAATATATATTTAAAATAAATGCATTAGGAAATAATTAGGGCTTTTATTGTTACTATAGGTTTGTAAAAATATTTCAGTACGCTGTGTAAACAAGGTCGTTGTAGTATAGTGGTAAGTATTCCCGCCTGTCACGCGGGTGACCCGGGTTCGATCCCCGGCAACGGCGAATTTTATTTTAAACTTATTTTGTTCGTCTCCTAGGTTTTACAATTCTCCCGTGTCCTTTTCGATTTCTCGGCAGCTCATTCATTCTTCAAGAGTGGAGGGAACTCGAGACACTCACTCCCGCCAATTTGAACGGAGCTCACTCCCTCACCGCAATTCCCTACTCTCTCGCTGTTTCTGCTGTAGTCTCTACCGCTGCAAGAATCAGGCGAATGACGAGAGGTGGAGGAGGCAGCGGCGAGGGGAGGCATGACGGCCTGGAAATCGTCTCGGGTTTGGTTTTTGTAACTCTCCTTCCTTCCTAGTTCATCTCTTCCTGGTCATCAAATCATCTCTTGTAGGTCACATCGATTTTCGATTCCAGTAATTCGGTAGTGTTCTCTCCCATCAGAATATCGATTCATCATTTTTACTACGTCGATGCTGTAAATTTGACAGTAATTTGAACGGCAACCTCTATTGTAGATATTGTGATAATCCTTTTGACCTCGGAGTTCCACAGCCAAGTTAATTGCTCAGGGTGTTGAGAAATACGCAAAGTTGTCATAGATTTAGGACCGCTGCGAACTGTCCTGATCAAATTGGACCTTTGAACTTTCATAGGAGAGGTGGGATGAAGAAGGCGAGGGGGTTTTAGAGGTACGCGCCGCGGTTAGTGGATTGAGGGAAGAAGGATAATAGAGCTTAACTGCTTAAGCGCTTTACAGTTGTAGTTGTTACTTTCTGCTCATTACTTGATAGAAAATGGCATTTAGCCTGGATATCATCACTGTCCCGGGAAATGGTTGTTTTCTCAGGTTAATAGTTGCACACTTACACTTGCTCTATGTTTAAAATGTTCAATACCTACTGGACTTGTTGAAACATTTCCCACAAATTACTTTACTAAACTGAAGCTGCTTGAAATTTATGGGGCCATTTATAAGTTAGAAATCAATAGAGGTCCCAAAGGGCCATTATTCAGAGTTTGTACCCTGGACTTCTGATGTTGACATGAGTTCACTATTTTTAGGGGAGTGACTGAAAAGTGGTAATGTTCCTCTGCAGATCACATCTCCTCATGGAGACTCTAGCTCTGCTCATACTCTAGATATTACCTGGGATAAATTTCAGAAGATGGGTTGCCAACAAATGAAGATTTGGCATGGGAAAAGGTTTTCGTGCAAAGTTGATGCCATAGAGGTGAATCTGTCTTTTCTTGTACTAATGCTTTTCCATGTTTTCCTGCTTGAGATGATGTGTCTGTTACAGCTTGTGTATTACTTAAAGTATGAACCAACTTCTTCTCTGACCACTAGTTGTCCCTTCGTTGCCCATTCCCATTTTCTAAAGTCTGCTGCCGCATATGATAAATGATTGTTCGCTTTCATCAGCCTTTGCGTTTGCTGACCATTTATTTATCATGCTCATTGCAGCTAACTCCAAAAATGCTGAAATCAAATAATGTGCTAGCATAGTTTCATTAGATAGAGAAATTAAAATCATTAATATATTTTGCTAAAAACAACAATCCAATGGTGTCTCAGGTCGGTGAATCTTTATGCTGCTAATCATCTCTCCTTTATGATTCTGTGATTAGTTGGCTAGAAATTTTAATCTGGAATGATAACAAAAGGTGTGTTGTATGGTGTGAAACCAAGCTATTCCTGTGCTTTTGCATATTTTTTTTTTTTGGGGTTCAAAAATCCCTTCGTGCAGAGGCTCTTCGAGACCTTAAGTCAAATGTCAATGGAATTGCTGAACTGAGTGTATTGCCTTACAGTTTTAGCAATGAGATAGGGCATCCTGCATTCAGTTCCGAGGTTGTTTGTTATTCTGTGAACGAGAATCATAAGCAGGCAGAGTTCCTGCCTCCCTATACCTTTGGCTCTACGGAAGAGCCTGAACGTTGCAAGCTTATTTCAACAACATTATCATTAGTATCCATCATTCAAGATGAAAACTGTTAATTTCCAGCCCAGATGAACTTTCAATCTCGTGTAGACTCAAATGATGAAAAGGACGAAGTGATCACGATAACCCTTGAAGAAGCGAAGCTTGCTGGTTCAGAGATACGGACATGCATCTATGCAGTCAAAGGCTTAAATATAGAGAGAAATATTGTGAGTATACTTTACACTTGGGCATTATCAACTATTCGATTGGTAGAATGTCATTATCTTGGGAGTTTTCCATAATATGTCTACTGCATACAACTGCTTTCACAATATTTAGTACAGCTTGATTGCTTTTGTCTTCTAGTTTAGATTTCTTTTTCCACCTTTTCCGTTAGTAGTTATTTCTGAATTTCTAACAGAAGTGCAGATTGATAGGTCACCATATGGGCAAGTTAGAACATCAGCAAATGGCAAAAATAGAGATGAATGCGTCCAAGACAGTAGTACTCTAATGTGTTCGTGGCAAGGATCTTTGTGCATTTAATACCTTGGCTTCCATGAAAGGTACAATTTTACTCATCATGAATTATCTTACATTTGAGTAACTTAATTGTAAAATCTCTTCCGCTTGACATTGGCCTGATCTATGTAACACTGCAGAGCCTACACCAAATGCACTGGTAGCAGGTACCCGTATGGATAAAGAAAGAGTTTATAGCATGTCACTTGCATTTCTGAAAGACTGGTCGCTGAATCACATCGAGGAGATGGTTTAAATACATCGGTGATGAGTCCATGCATTGATAAAGAAGAACTAATTGTAGCTGATACTTTAATGTTATATGGAGTGCTCTCTGAATCACATATGGAGAATGAAATGGCTTCCAGTAGCTCGAATGGAAGCTCTGAAAATTTTTACTCTGATTCAGTTGGTCAAGAAATCGACAAGTCAATGATGACGCTTCTGCTTCTACAAGCTATCCCTCTTCTTAACACTCTGTTTGGCAACAAGGGGGGTGCAAATTGCAGGGGGGTGCAAGTTGAGGGGTAAATTGTTGGGGGTACAAATTGCTGGGGGTTGTTAGTGAAGGGGTAAATTGTTGTTTGGATGAAAAAGTAGGAGGGTGCAAAATGATGTAAAAAAAGGGTTTTAGATTATTATATATTAAGAGTAAATATAATAATATGAATGTTGTATTATACTTATGGTATCTTAATAGTGATAAAATAATACTTATCACTAATACGTATCTCATGAACACCAATCCTTTATGAATAATCATAATAATTATTATATAAAAAATAATTACTAATTATGTGACTTAGCTAGCTCATGTCATGGATTTCAACATTGATTTGTCAACATAAGGGTTAAAATAACTTAAATAAAAATTAAATTCTTATTTATTATAATAGTTTCTAAATTTTTAGTTCATTTTATCCAACCATACTATAAATAAAAATATTTTTTAATTTTTTTCCCTACTTCCTCCGAGCCGATCTCCCCTTCCCTCCAATCCAATCCCTTTTCTCTCCCCGGTCCCACCCAAAACTTCCTTCTCCCCATTTACGCCCCAATTTGGGGGACATGATCAAATAGTGAAATTGCACCTCTTTTCTACTCCCCCTACTGTTTATCAAGATCCAAATGGGTGCAATTTTATTGGGACTCACATTTACCCCCCAACAAATGCACCCCCTTACATTTACCCCTCTATACAAACATAGTGTAAGAAAGACTCAAACAAGAAGAGTAAATCCAATGTCACGGTGCCAAATTGTACTTTGGGTATTGAATCGCCTAGAATAGAGCTTGTTATGGCTGTTGTTTTAGAAAGTATTGCAAATGAAAAATTGAGGTTGGATGAAAACTTTGTGCTGCTCACTGACATTACTGAGGGTGAGCAATCTGGTGATGGTAAACCTCCTCGCAGTGGTGATGGCCTTGTAAATGGAGATCTAAGTTAGATATGCGAATCTCTGTACAATCCGTCGATCCCCTAAATGCATTACTAATGTAGGCAGACGACTGAAACTGAGAGTCAAAACACTACTCCATGCTACCAGAAGGTATATATCAGAAGAAAGAGGGCTTCTAAACCAACATACAATGAGTCAGAAAGCAAAACATGCAGAAGCTACGAAGGAGGCTGTGAAGCACGTCCTATGCTTGGCACTGAAGCTTTGAATGTTAGTCCTACAATTGGTGATGGACACCTAAAGGGTTCTCCCAACGCTAGCACTGGCACTGGGTGGCAACTCCAAACTTTGCAGATGTGGGGAATCACTGAGTTGCAGGTCCGATAGGTGGACATGCTTCTTCCTTCAGTTCCAGTTCAAGAAGAGAGCCAAACTAATTGCAAGGTGGATGCTCATGGCTCTAAAAGATGTTGGACCAATGAAATGGGGTCGCGTGGAGTCATCAGGTGGTGAACATGTACAAGCTTATGCTGACCTGAACATCCATCAGTATATTGAGTTCCACTTTATTGTATTGCTGAGTTAGTGGGTTGCTAGTATTTCCATCCCTTGCCTGTTCTGCAGCTGTGGTTGGGCTCACAAGAAAATGATATCCACATTTGTGCCCTATGTGGTCTTCAGGGCAAAGAAGGGCCTTCAATCTATGTGTTCCACCCTATCAGCTGGTTTAGCTGACCCAAAAAGGGAAGCCTAGGCCCATCACTCCGGCTGTTGTAATCTACAGGAACATGACAGAACGATGGATTGGAAGCCACAAAATTGTCACCAACCGAGCCAATCTCATCGGATGGACGGTGAGGATATTGCCATCTGGCTTCTGGTCTCTTTACCAACCCTATTGACCACCCAACAGATCCACAACAATGGAATCTTTGGGGCACGGGATGGAAGGGGAACTGTCTACACGTGGGACTTGTCGACGGGGAAGAACAGACTTGGGAACTCTCTCTCTCTCTCTCTCCATCATTTCAAAGGTAAACAACAAACATTAATGAATGCTACCTTTTCTCTCATCGTTTTCGTACTACTTTTTGAATGCTCTTGTTGGATCTCCTCCAACAAACACATGCACGACCTTTTCTTTCTCTCAGATCTAGATTCTCACTTGCATCATTTTCATTTTTATTTTGTAGGAGCATGATTGCATAAGATTGGTTGTGCAACTGAAAATGTATTCTAATTGTTGTTTGTAAAATCGCACCCCACTAACAATCCGACCAGGAAATCTTTTATCTGAGGTTAACACAGGGGTTGATTTTTAGCGGTATCAAATAGCTGAACCACCACTAAATCAAAAATTCAAAATATTAAATACTTTATCATTGACTTTTCCATTATAAGTTTCGATACGATTGTACAATTATCGATTGTATTTGGTGATGCAGAAAACACAGTAGATATTGTTGTGTCAAAATTCTTTTATTTGTTATGAAACTAATGAAAATATAAACAACTACAAGAGAAGATTAGAGAGGGAAAGACACAAGAGAAGAAATGGGAAGAGTTCTTCTTATTCATTCTTCACTTTTGATACAATGGTGTGCTATATTTATAGGCACGCTTTGGTAACCACTACATCATTATATCAATGCATATGAATGAGAGATAATGATGTAGAAATAGGGGTTACATGTAACTCCCAAGTGAGCATCTAATGTGGTAGGTCATTGGTCATCCATATATCAATATTTACATAATACTCCCCCTTGATTACCACTAGATTGCATTACGCTATCTCATACTGCCTCGTTAAAAACCTTACCAGGAAAACCCATTGGGAAAAAGCCATGGTTAAGAGAAAAAGAGTGTAGTGCGTATATGCTCCCCCTCATGACCACATCACTTCAGATTATTGAGTCGTTGAACTCAAATTTCACGAACAACTTTTAGAAAGATTGTTGTCGGGAGTGAGTTAGTGAACAATCTTCTAGATTGTCAATTTGATGCATGATCTTTAGATTTTCTTCATACATGATCGTCAGGATCATTTCATTTGAAAATAGTTCACAACCACAAGTACTTGAGATATGGTGGATCACAAAGTGCAACGAAAGACATTCAAGACTTGTCCATTATAGTTTGTTTTGTTTCTTTATGAAACATTTATATCACCATATGTAAGAGATAGCTCGCCTCCGATCAACCAATATGAGGATCAAATGATATATAGGATTTGGATATATAGTTTACCAAATCTCTCTTTGATAATACCATAATAGAACAATCGCATATATTGTTCCCGTAGGTAACAAAGTATTTTCCAACGTTCTAATGAGGGAAAAATTGTATCTTGCCAATATTATCAAAACCAAAATGATAGTTTATATGGTGTTTGGCTAGCAAGGTGCATTGGTGCTCTAATGCATCAACATATGGTACTTCAGGACCTAATGTTTCACTTCTTTCTTGATTTCTAAATGGATCTTTGGTCACTTCTAGTGATCTTAGGATCCTAATGTTATTTGATGAACACAATTCGTTCATGCAAAATTACTTTCCCACTTTTTCAACATTACCTTCCTTGCCCATAAAAAGGATCTTAAATCCTTCAATTTAACTTATGTCTCTAAGCAATCAACTGCTTTAGGAAGCTCTTCAGGAGATCCAATAATAGTCATATCATTATCATCAACATAATATGAGATCGTCACAAAAAAAACTTAACTAACACAAATTTATGCAAGCAATTCTTTCATATAACGAAAGATAATAACAAAACTCACATCATAGAAACATATGAACTAGACAAAGCACACTCATAAAACACAACTCATACTTTAAAGTAAATCACAACTCATAATTCAAGAATTTAAAATCCTTGAAACACATACAGACAACACAACTATATATGCACAATGCAAATACTCGTATGCACTCTATCTGAATTTAACCTTTTAATGTCCATTCACCCTACTGTTGTAGGTGTTCACTTAGACAAGTATTTCACATTCGTCTATATTTCCTCAACCCACACAAGGGATTTTCTTAGTCTATCTATATATGTTCTCGGGAACTTTACTTGTTTACTTCAGGTAAATTAATCCTTCTAGGAGTAATTAATCCTTCTGGGAGTTTCAAATATATTTAACATCTTCAGGGAATTCAAACAAATAGGCTGTCACAACAATTTTCAAACATTGATTTGAAAAAGTAGTTGCATCCACCACAGGGAGTATAACTCCTCTTGAACAATGATAGGTCTCTTCGAGAAACCCATTGCAAAAAATTATGTGATATCTCTCACAATTTCATACTTTCCAATAGCACAAAAATTTGTTTGTATCCCACTAGTTTTGCCCCTTTTTAGGTGCAAGGACTTATGGTCCTTAAACTTTATGCTCCTTGAGCAAGTTTCATGATTTCTTTCTATATTGACCAATTACATCATCATTTGCATGCATCAATAGTGTTTTACTCTTGATCCTCACTTGTACATATCATATTCAGTCCTGAGGTACAACAAACAAATTTCATCGACAATGATTTCATTACGGTCCCAGTATTGTAGTCTAATATGGTTTTGAGATCTCTTCGCTTTCACAACTTTCAGAGACATGTGTTCTTCTGGAACTAAAATTATATTTTATTCTTGGTTACTCTTCTTGAGTTTTCATGTCCTCGAGTTGACCATTCTAATTACAGCTCCTTTTCTTTCTCGAGGATGTTTATCATTGGAACTTATTGGTCTATCACGCTTCATGCGCTCTTTCATACACATTTTTTTATATTAGAGTATCCAACAAGGATATCAAATTTAGTTGGAGCATTCATAGCTAGTATATGTGACTTGGTCACTTCGTATGGGCAGTAAATGCATTTGATAGTTGGTAACGATAATTCATCTTATGAACTTCAAGTTCATGTTTCTTACTTTGAGGATCAAAACTAGAAAATGATAACTCATTCCAAGTCATCTCTTTGTCTAGCTGTTTTTTGTTTTTCTCTCCCCCTTAATGTTGGAAAAGTGATTCATCAAAACAATAATTTCGCAAACAAATTTCCCATTTGGGATTCATACCCAACACAAATTCTCAATTTCCAACGAGAATCAACTTAAGATATTGTGGTGGAGCAACTGGGATATATGCGGCACACCCTGATATTCTCATATGAGAAATGTTAGGTTTTTTACCAAAATCATTTGTAAAGGGGGGGGGGGGGGGCTTATGATACCTTGTTGGTTAGATGTGAACCAATACTATCACTTGCCAGCTAGCATGTCCTCGACAAGAGACCAGAAGGCTCGGTTTGTTCTCTTAAGCAAAGTGATGTTTGATTGGATAACCATCAAAATGTATCCATAGTGAGGCAATCAATCTCGCAAACATCGGGTTGCGATTAGATAAAATAAAAGTGATCATCCATTTGATGCAGCAACCCATAAAATTCACAAATGATCCATATGACTGATGTATTGTTCTGCATACACGTCCATAAAATCTCAAGAGATTTGCCAACTCTTATACAAGCGATGATCAATTGTTCTATTCTCCTTGAGAACAAACATGACATAATAACTCTATTAGTTGAAGAGTTCTTTGACTTCTCATATGATGTTCTCATGAATTCTCAAAGAACTTTTTTTTTCACATCAAGATCCGAGATGTCTAACCGGACCAACCAATTATCAAGTTATCAAATCTTGTAAACTTCTAGTTTACACTTTTATGTGTACTGATTGTACTAATATACATGTAGTTCATATTTGTGATGCAAATATTAGTTTCACTATTTTCTTGATAAGATATTCATTTTACGAATATCCTTTTAATTGGGTAATGCATCATCACTAGGTAGTTTGGTTCCTTCAGACCACAAAATTAGCTCCTTTAAAGCTTTACCATATTTTGTACCATATTCCACCCTTCCGGGGACTTATGATTTAATGCATTCTTAGTAAACACAAATTCATAGTGAATATCATCACAAATTGTTATCATGAGTACATAATTTAGTTACTTCAAGTAACCAAACATAAGCTCTTAGGAAGATTTTTCTTGTTTATATACTCTACCATATAGTTTATATGGAATTTTTCTAATAATCATACTTTATAAAAACATAATAAAATTAATAAATTAGAATATTTCAAACTTAAGAAAAAAATGATGAATTTATCAAGTTGATTGTTCTAGATAAAGGTTATCAAATTAAATTATGCATGAAAAATAACGTCACAATAAAACATAAAAGAAATAAGAATCATAATACTACAATTGTGAAAATTAAATAAGATTTATTTAGAACAATACCATCACTAACTAGGTGATTTTAAATTTATATATGTGTTTCATTATACATTATAATGTACAACAGGTACATTATGTTATCATGACTTTGATAATGCAATTGTGGTGTCATCCTTATTTATAGTTCTCATTTTACTCATCTTTTCTCACTTCTGGTGAAAAGATCCAAACAATACATTTAACATATATATAATTATGTTTATAGCTCCATTCACTTAGGAGAATAGATTATTTCATTCACTTCTGGAAATGAAAATTTCTCAAGTGATATCATTTTCATCTTTAATGGAGAATATACCAACTTATAATACAAAAAATATGTTCTATAATATTGCTATTGCGGGAGCGTATATGAATTAGTTTTTCCCTTTGATTCTTGGTAGAATAAGGTCTTTTGCGTACAACGGGTACGAGACAAATGCAATTTTCCATTACAATGATAACATACAAAACCAATCTTCTTGTTCCCATGTCCACTTCTTTCTTTGCCCTTAGATTCTTCAATTTCCAGTTCTGGGGAATATATAGGCTCTTGGAACTTGCATTTTTTACATATCAATGTATGATTGATAAGAATCGGATAACACGGAAAACTGAGAAATTAACTCATCACTTATATTACTTTTCTTGTTAATCCAAATAGATCGACGTGATAAAATATCAATGGATATGAGAAGTAGCACCCATCTTGATGTATTGGAATGAGATAATCTCAACACAAATAAGACAATAAGATAAGAAAGGATCTAAGATTTACATACCTTGATCATATTGTGAGCTTACTCCAATATCTTAGATTATGTCGAGTCTTTGAGGCGTGAGCAATGATAATTTTGGCAGAGCTTCGTGCTGATAACGTGTTATTAAACTAATGAAAATATAAACAACTACAAGAAAAGATTAGAGAGGGAAAGACACAAGAGAAGAGAGTGGAAGAGTTCTTCTTATTCATTATTCACTTTTGATACAATGGTGTGCTATATTTATAGGCACACTTTGGTAACCACTACATCCTTATATCAATGCATATGAATGAGAGATAATGATGTAGAAATAGGGGTTACATATAACTCTCAAAAGAGCATCTAATGTGCTAGGTCATTAGTCATCCATATATAAATATTTACATAATATCATTCATTGGGACAAACATTGGTTTTTTTTTTTTTTTTTCATTGTACACCTCAACCTCATGTTTCTGTAAGCGTTGTCAATCCTTCTACTTTGTGGCTTGACATAATGACACAAGTTAGGACAAGATTTTTAGATCTGCAAAACTCTTCAATGCGGTTAGGCACGTTCTTGGGAACATCTTTGAGGTTTTAGATAGTGGCTCATAGTGTGATTAATATTATAACAATTTTTTTATTTGTGTAGAAAATGATAATATAATATTATTATTGGTGAATAACGTTAACATTGTTGGGGCATTGACTGGTTTGATAATGATGGAAGCGGTCAGGTCAAGTTTCTTAGCAGTTGGGAGCCAGACAGGTTAGTTACTAGTTGATCGACACTTGTAGGCTGCACAGATTCTGAAAAAGGCAAAGCAAAAGAAAGAAGAAGAAATTAGAATTTCAGTTAAAGAAGATTCGATTTTCCAGTATGTGTAGTTGTCTTTCTTTCCTCAATTAGTTTTAGGCAAAATTCAAAAAGGCATGTGATGGGGTTTAGGATACCGTGAATAACCAATTGAGAACCATAGATCTTATGGGAAAAACATTGTATGGCTGATATTGACGCGGGGTGGGAAAGGGGCATTTTTGTCCGATTTTTGCAACTTTTTGTATTTCTTTTTTTATTTCTTTCCAGTATTTATATGCTGACTTTTAATTTATGTAAGAGAAAAAACAGATTTCTTCCTCTCTCTTTTTTCTTTCTCTTTCTCTCTTCTTTCTCTCTTCCTTCTCTCTTCCAAATACCTTTTTTCAGATCTAGATATGTTCTCTTCTCTTGTTCTTCATTTTTTTTCTCCAATCGACAAAGAAAAAAATTGCAGCCTCCCCTCTCAAATTCGGTGACGCTCCAAATCCTTCTTCTCTCAATCTGCTCCTTCCTTCTGTTCTTTCTTTTCTCGGCCTCAAAATAGATGACGCTCCATATTGACCAAGAGGGGATAGATCTAGGTGAGTCGAGTTTGCATGTTTTATGTTTTAGTATTTGTTTGTGAATTTTCAATACCGATCTTCCTCTTCTTTTTTTTTTTTTTTTTGCATTTGGTGTTCTTGATTGTGGAAGAGGAAATGAGAGGAGACAGAAGACGAGTTTTTTTTCTCTCCCTCATTATGTTTTTCTTCTTTCTTTTATGTAATATATATTGATATTACCACATTATACCATATGGTAATGTGTGCTAATTACATGTATTTTTATGGTCACGAGTTTTATCATGATGGTAGTAGGTGGTAATCTACAACAGTTCCGAGAAAGAAGAGTTAGAAGACAATGAAGTGGGAGAACAAAGTAAAAAGAGTCGTAATTATATATATATATATATATATATATATATATATATATATATATATATTGAGATTGCCACACTATACCATATGGTAATGTGTCTATACCATATGGTAAAGTGTGGTAATGTGTCTATACCATATGGTAAAGTGAGGTAACGAAATGTATTTTTATGGATATAATGTTTTCCTATGATCGTAGAGTACTCTTTATATAGACATTGTGTAAGTACTCTTTACAAAGAACATGAGTTATTTAAGAGATTTGGCTTGTAGATTTTACTAACCATCTACCTACGCCTAATTATTTGCGTTTTGGATATCTAACTAATCGCCGAACTATTAAACAAGACGGTCTGATATTGTCTAACATGTAGATACACCTAGCCGTAAGTTTAAATATGGCTTTCTGAAAGTTTTTCAATACACATTAACATAGGAAAGTCCAATATTGTCTGACAATTGTTGAATAAATGATTGATTAGTTGGAAGTTGGAACGGAACGGAACGAAACGGCACGGCACGGAACCTCACTTTAAGGTTTAATAACAAACACCTCATTCTGGTAAAATGAAAAAAAACCCAGCTCATTAATGCGTTTCCCATGAAATGAAATCTCAGTTTCCATTTGAGATTGGCGAATTAACTGAACTAACGGGGAATCGGGTCCTCTCCTTTCCATTTCGGTTAAGAAAATGTTAGCAGTGGGTGGAGGGGCAATTGATTGTCTAAACTAAATTAATTGCCCCTCCACCCTTTTTTTTAATTTAATTTAGACAATCAAATCAATCCCCCAAGTTCATTCAATGCATTCATAAGTAGCGGTTAATAAATAAATTTAATTAATTAGGAGGGTGCCACCTGTCTCTTCTTTTACCATTTAATTCCAGTTGCAGGCCAGCGCATCCACATGTGCCCTCCCTAAACTCTCACAGACTCAGTCAATCAGTCTCTCTCTCAACTCTTATCTTCTGAATTGAAAATTTATAAGTCGGCCTGCAAAAACAAACCCAATAAACAAACAAAAGATCAAGCTTTCCTTCCTTCCAATTAGGGAATCCAATTCAACCCAAACTCACAAGTATCTAATCCGATTATTGTAGAATAAAATAATGTTGACGGTTTTAAATTGAATATGAATTTATCCATTTCGTTACAATGGTTGGGTTGCGTGGGGTTGGGAGTGAGTTCAACCAAAATTCAATATGCTTTCCACTCAGCCAGCATTCGAAAAGTAAAATATCATTGTTTTGTATCTAATTTTAATAGTATGAATTTTATCAGGCTTTAATGATATATATTTGTAGGATAAATTTTATTAGTATTACAATATAATTGCTCGAAAAAAAAATATTTGCAGTTATGCCGATTAATCCATTTATATTCATTCACTCCATAAATACTTAATGAATTGAAATGTTTTTTCTCTACCGTAGCCAACAAATATTTTACCCAACATTTTTCTTTCATGAATGAATGAGAATCCACTAAAATTGAATTGAACTGAACCAACCCAATCATTGTCATTCCTACTCCAAGCGGAGACCGCATTTTGAAAATTATATGATTCGCGTGGGGCTCCAAAACTTTTCACCTTTTTCCCATTTCAAATTTTGCTCCCTCGATTCCATTCTGTCTGCCTCCTTTCTCTTCCCAATTTCAATTTTCAAACCCTAAATATCATTACCAACCAAAATTCATACACCGAAAATGGGGTTTAGACCACCGACCCACCTTTCTACAACAACTTCTAAGTTACCACAATCATGTTTCATAAAAAATCAATTGATATTTTATGATAAAATCATAGTTTAACTGTAATTCAATAGTTAGTTCCAAACTTCCAGTTTAGCCTTCAATATTGATATATTTTGTAATTAACTGCCAATATGATACGATTTCATGGACCATAACCACTACATGGTTTACAATCACAAGTCACAAAAAATACAATACAAACTCAATATTATTATACCATAATAATAGATACCGATAATGACAATGAATTCACTCAAAATCCTCTTAACATTATGCAGTACTAGTAAGTAGTAACCAATATGACAACAACAATAACAATAATCGTAATAGTAACCAATAGCGCTATAGAAATAAATATCGTGTTGCTCAATATCAATAGACCACCTACACTGCAACTACCAAGATTTACTGCTACCAACGAAATCCCTCATCAGCAAAAGTAAACTCTTCTCTCTTCTCTTAGCTCTCTGCTCTCTGTGGCCTAACAAAACCATCGTCCGCTCCTTCTACTTGGCTGGTTTCTCGGCCGAAGAAGGGTTCAGCTCATCCCAAGCTTCAATCCAGGTCACCATGGCATCGGCAAGCTTGTCGAAGTAGGGATCCACCTTCCCCAGCTTCTCCTTCACTTCCTTCGACAGCTCAATGTAGCACTTCTGAACCGTGGTGGCTTCCTTGGACATCTTCACGGATTGGAAGAACGGGATGATCTCTTCCTGCCAGAATATGCCCTTGTACTCCTTCTTCAGGTTCACAAACGGGTTGCTCGCCTTGCTGTGCCAAATGTATGGCAACCCGGTCTTGACTCCCCATCCCATATGGTCGCAGATCACCTTAACATCACAAAGGAAATAGTACGTACATGGGTTTTTGTTATTAAGGTTTAGCTTACTAATATCCTCAGAAGCTGTAATCCAATTTTTTTTTAAAAAGGACTTGTCTTTCTTTGTACCTTCACACACCATCCAGCCCACATGTCGTCGTATCGACCAATCGGCTGACCATCTCCCATGAGTCCAAAGTACAATGCAGGTCCAACCAATTCACGGTTGAAGGCAAGGTTCATCCCGCACATGGGGAACAGAGTTCCCTTGGGGATTGTCATCACAGCATCAACATACCTGCAAATGTCAACAACTTAGCGAAACTGAGAGGGGAAAAGAAGTCCATCATCATTCCATCATTGGGGTGGAAAGTAACCTGGTGTTCCTCTCGAGTGGCTTGACCAGCTGAGTGGGAGCATCATAATCAGGGATGTTCATCCACAGGCCATGCGAAATCGCCGTGGAAACACCCTCGCGGAGACTGAAAGGGTACCCGCGGACAAAGTCAGCACCTTCTCTGTACGGATCGTAGAGCGTGTTGAAGAAGTGCGGGGTCGATGGGGATAGCAGGTTCTTGATGTGCTGCTCCAGTGCATTGATCTGCTGCCCAGTTGGATCCTTGGCCACCTACAATGGAATAACCACAAACAAACAACATAAGAGCCCCTATTGTGAAAACATTCATGAACGGTAGCATATCAAGCCCATTAGATGAGATCAAACGGCAATGTAGGCACCATAGCGAGCATCAGTGCTCATTGAATGTAAAAGCACTGGCTTTCTGAGGTGCCATAGTTGATATCAGATCCTCCCCAATCTATAAACAAGGACCTGCCATGAATCTGATTAACAATCACAGAAACTTGGCAGACATTGTCCCTGTAGAGAGGACCTTATCCCAGATCTCGGATGAATTGCAAAGTGAAACGACTTCAATCTTAATCAGTTACCCAAATTCACAAAACAGGGGAAAAGAGACAACCAGAAGCCAAGATCTACACAGTTCCAGCGACCATCTAACAATCAAATCCACACTATGAAAATCACATCTACGATCCTAAATCGAACCGCCAAAACTTCCAACTCCAATGCCAACAAATCCCACATCCAAGTCAACCATAAAGTCCACGCACAGTAAATCAAAGCAAACTTTATATCCAACTCAAAAAAGCAACAAGATCTGAGGAAAGAGGGGGAGACTTACAAAGCAATCGTCATCGATGGTGTAGATGTACTTCTTCTTGGACACCATGAACCCGAAGCATCTGCAGGCAGAGTCCTTGAACGAAATGCAAGAAGCTTTGGGACCCAGAATCCTGTTGATGTCGTTCCTGTTGTAGAGCTCGTAATCGAACCCCTCGGGGACTTTGATGGTCTTTGAAGGGTCGCCATCTTGGACAATAATCAGATGGTAAGGCTGGAAGAAGGGCCTCCACATCTCCAAGAAATCAAGGTTTCGGATTGTGGGGATGACGATGTCGAGCTCATCTTTCAGTATCGGGGTGGGTTTCACGGTGGCAGGGGATCCCGCCATGGCTTGCGGTCTCGGAGGAGAAGGGCGTGAATCAAGCGGGATCTAAGGAGGGAATGAAGAAGAAGACGGGCTTGAAAAGTGGAGCGCTTATCTTTCAGTACGCGTCTGTGAGAGAGATTTAAAGAGATTTTTGGAGGGTGTTTCCGTAAATACGGAGAAGTTCCGGGGGTATAAAAATTTAGTTATGGCCTTTGATTTTGTAAGAGAGTTCTATAAATCTTCAAACCGGTTTATATCCTTTAAAAAGTGGTATGATTCAATCAAAAGTACAATTGGATTGTACCAATTTTATTATATATATATATATAATTGTGAAGAAAATATGAATATTAAATGAATTTATGCATATACAAATACTTAAATAAAATATTTAAAATCAACACTCATATTTTTGGCTTGACATAAATGAAAAATTAATTTATTTTATTAATTAAATTCACTAAAATAATGTCATTTGATTTATAGATTCCAAATCGATCATACCAATGATACTCACATTGATATCATAACTAACACGGGTTAAACCAAATCGAACCAACCGACATTCCAGCTTCGTGACAACTAAGATAAATTGGTAAAATCTTTGCTATGGCAAGGAAAAGAAAATTTTCAAAAAGATGTATTTCTATATTTTTTTTTCCCCCTTTCTAAACCGCCACCGACAGCACAATATGTGCTGAAAGGTTTGATACTTACTGTAGATTCCCATAACGCGTCCGACATCAAAGCAAATGAAGCCCATTCCTCCTAGTTCCCACCTTCTCATCTTTTCCCTTCAAAACCAAACTAGCTCAGCAGTCCCCCCCTACTCCCCTTTCTCCTTTACTTCCAATCTATGCATGAAAACCTTTACGAACAAAAAGCAAAACTGACGATTTGTTTGTACCTCAAGCAACTGCTCTAGCTTCGTCATTGTCTTGCCAAGAAGATACAATTTCATAATCAAACACAAACCTTTCTCCAGCGTAAAAATAAATGAACCTACCTCATTCTATATCGCAATGTTTATCATCATATGAGTTGCTGGCCGGATTACGTATTTGATTTTAATTAAAAACAAGGATCATTTTGGATGGAAAATCTAGGCGAGAAATCTCAATATGGGTTGCACAAATTGGGTTCAAATTCTATATCTATAAATAAACAAGATTTTTTTGTTCAAATCCATTATACACATTATTTTGGGTTTTAAGTGAGGAATTGGGTCCAAATCACTCACAAGTACCAAAGAACGAATCACCCCATCCAAATGACCCCCAAGAGTTTTCCGTTGAAATCTCACTTTGCTTCATAATAAAAAAAGTCTCATATATAATGAAATATACCTATGGGTGTTCAAATGTTTACCATGACAATTACCAAATCAATTACAATTAGATTGTATTAACCAAGGTTATAGGTATAATATGTTTCTCTACTGTGTCATTTTATCAAACATGGCCATCTACTATCTTTTACATCAAACATACCCCTGTTTTATGGAAAATTTATCAAACATGTCTTTCTGTAAAAATTTTCATCCAAAATTCGTTAACCACGGCCGAACTTTGGTTTGGGCGACACAAATGTTTAAATATCACTAATAATTACACTTTGGAATTTTTTTTTTTTGGTTCTTCTGTATAGCCAAATAATTCTAATAATTTCAATTTGACGAGACCTAGAGTAATAAAACAGGGGACAAAACTGATATTTTCCCTCCGATTTGCTGATGTCAGGTCATCTAAATCTCGGTTCAACCATGATTGACGATTTTTTCAATGAAAATTTCAACAGAATGACATGTTTGATAATTTTCCAAAGTAGAAAGGCATGTTTGATGTAAAAACTAGTAGAGGGGCGTGTTTGATAAAACGATATAGTAGAGGGGCATATTATACCTATAACCCTATTAACCATGAATATAATATATTAACCAAACTTACCAAATTAAAACAACAACCAAAGTAACCAAATTAAAGATTAAACAATTTGGTTAATTATTTAATCTAATTAACAAATATAACACAACACTACCATGACATGAAAAATAAATTTGTTAATGCATTTATCCGTAATATGTAAAGATAGCCACCTAAAAAAAATTACCAATAGTACGAGGTAATAAAATTAGTGTGTTTGAGTTAATTATTTTAGAATTTTCATTCAACATAATGTACAAGGTTTACCTAAATTAGCAACTCATTTGGTATTGTCCACACTGCACAAGAACAATTATAGTACGGAAAAATTATGAGCTATTTTTATTTATGGCGTCGAAAAGAGAGAAACGTTTGACTTTTAATTGACTCTTAAGTGGTCATGTGAAACATTAAGCATTGGAGTATATAATATATTAATTTTCTAATTGGTTAGTGCATAATTGGTTTGATTGTTAGAGGTAATACCACTATCCTAGAACTTGGAGGTCTCAGGTTCGAATCTCTTAAGTAGTACCTTAATTACAAAAAAGAAACCTATATCACCCTTATAAAAAAAATGGTTTGATTCTTATCATTATTTGAAATCAAACAAAACTACCTCAAAATTTATACATTTTGGATACTATAATTAACAATAACGAGAATTGATAACCCTGTAATTTAATATGCTACCATAATTTATCTTTTTAAATGTACCGTGCTAACGTGTAAGAGTGATAAGATGGAATAGAAACATGTCTCTGCATGTATGTTCGGCAGATCGGAACTTAAGAATATTCGGACTAAAAGAAAATAATGAACATGGACGCATGATGATGATCAGTGCTCAATTATTCTCGTTGAATATGTAAGGAGCTGTCCAACGTCAATGCGGATGCTTCGTCAGTCTATTATCTTCATCCCTCCGACAGCAACAGTCAATTGCAGGTCAGAGACCTTCTCACGTCCACAAACTATGGCGAATGGGTAGTAGATGTCACAGATGCCCTAATCGTCAAGAATAAGTTTGGTTTTGTCGACGGGACCATACCTAAGCCCGCCGCGAAACCTGAACAGCGTATCTGGACGCGCTGTGATGCTCATGTCAAAGGTTGGCTACGCATGTCTATGTCCAAGGAAGTCAAGAGCAGTGTTCGGTATGCGAAGTCAGCTCGTGAAATCTGGGTATATCTCAAAGAGCGCTTCGGGCAGGGTAGTCTCACTCGAGGCTATGAATTGCGTCGTTTGGTCTCTGCATTATGGTAGGAGAAGTTGTCTGTGTCGTCCTTTTATGCTCAACTGCGAGTTTTGTGGAACGAAGCTCAGTCGCTTTCACCATCGGAAATCTGTACTTACGAATTGTGCACCTGCGGCCTTGAACGCAGAATTCAGAGCAAGGAGGAAACTGCAAGGCTGTATGATTTTCTGATGGGACTTGACGAAAGTTTCGGCACAATACGCAGCCAAGTCCTTTCTATGAAACCTGCACCCACACTTGCGGAGGCGTGCAACATAGTTCTCAATGATGAACAACAGAGACTACTTGCGCAAAAACGGCGCCCTACATCAGAATCAGTTGCTTTCGCGTCGCGGGGTGATGTTTCTGATCGGAATGGACAGCGTAACAGTGAAGCTAAGCCGATGTGTACACATTGTGGTAAAGTTTGCCATTTTAAGGCCACATGCTACGATTTGATTGGATGGCCGAATCGTGGTGAGTCAAGTCAATCTGAGAAGCCTTCTGGTTCGGACAAGAAGCAGCATCGGCATCCACCGCCTGGAAAGGGCCAGCCCAAGGCGGCTCAAGCTGAAGTCGAACGAGGTCCTGTAGCAGGTTTCACCGTCCAACAATTGGAACAGCTACGTCAATTCTTCTATCAACCCAAGCCTGTTGACGACCTAGTCGCTCACATGGCAGGTAATCTTATTTAATTCTTCTGAATGGTTGATAGACTCAGGGTGTAACGAGCACATCACCAGGGATGGTTCAGTTTTTAGCAAAGAGATTATGTGTTCAGACAGTCAACCGGTTAAGATTCCTAATGGGGATAGTGTGCCAGTTGCCAAGGTTGGGTCAGTAAAGTTGTCTACGGGTTTACATCTTGATCGTGTACTTCCTGTCCCGGAGTTCCAGTGCAATCTATTATCAGTAAGTCGTCTCACAAAAGATAACAATGTTGCGTTGATTTTTCTCCGTGATTTGTGTATACTCCAGGACTTACACTCCAAGAGCGTGATTGGGAAGGGTATTCTCCATGATGGCCTATATTATCTGAAGTTGTTTAGGAGTCAAGAACGATTGGTATTTGCTGCCGACGGCAAGGGTTCAGTGTCAGAAGATGTCTGGCATGCTCGTTTGGTTCACCCATCGCCAGCAAAGTTTTCACAGCTTAGTCAGTTTATATCAGTTTCTTTTAGCAAAAACAAGAACCCATGTCACTCTTTTTTTCGAGCTAAACAAAGTCGGACCCCTTTTCCCACTAGTTATATCAAAACTTCGGCTTGTTTCGAGTTAATTCATGTAGACATTTGGGGAGGATATAAAGTCGCTTCTCTTAGCGATGCACATTACTTCTTGACCATCGTGGATGACTTCAGTCGTGGTGTTTGGGTTTATTTGTTACGATTTAAATATGATGTTGCACGATGTTTGAGGATGTTTTGCGAACTTGTGGTCACTCAGTTTCATAAAAGGGTTCAACGAATTCAAGTTGATAACGGATTGGAATTCAATACTCTGGGTCTGCAGGATTTCTATGAGCGTTCTGGTATAGTTCTGCAAACGAGTTGCACCGACACGCCTCAACAAAATGGCGTAGTCGAGCGCAAACATCGACACATACTAGAGACAGCTCGCGCATTGCGTTTCCAAGTAGGGCTTCCTCTCCAGTTCTGGGGAGAGTGCATCCTGACAGCAGTTTATTTGATAAACCGTTTGCCCACCACTGCAACAGGAAAGACGCCATATGAGATACTCTTTGGAAAAACGACTCCTATGCTCATCTCAGAGTTTTTTAGGTGCCTACTCTACGCGAAAGATACTCGTAGTGGTCTTCATAAATTTGCCGAACGGGGGCGTGCTAGTGTATTTCTTGGGTATGCTGCGACCAAGAAAGGTTATGTTCTCTATGATTTGGCTATGCAAAAGGTTTTTGTCAGCCGTGATGTCGTCTTTCATGAAGCTCATTTCCCGTTTCACAGTCCTAATCCCGATGAGTATCATTGGATTCCAAGTGAGGTTTTCGAAGATAATTTGGCTTCTAATCCGGCTTTGGCTGATGATGATGGCATGGCCGTTAATCCTTTTCAGAAACCCGCAGTCGTCATCGTCTCCGCGACCACCCGAGTCAGCGGGTTCGATGTCTCCCAGTCAACCGGGCCATGCAGGTTCATCGTCATCGTCTTTGCGTTTCCCCGAGTCAGCGGGTTCGCCGTCCCCTTTGCCTCGTCAAGATGAGGATGCGGTGTTGTCCTCACCACGTCTCTCGCGTCACGAGCTCGGGAAGTCACCAGCGGCTTCACCAGGACCATCTTCAAAGGAGGTTTCACAAGTTTCACCTCCTGCCGAAGAACTGCTTGGTAGAGGCCGCCGTCAACGTCATCGTCCCAAGTATTTGGACGTCTATGCCACGGATCAAGAGTATGAGCAGCTTGCTTCCAATGTCATGTATCCCTCTCAAATTATGTAACGTATGGTAAAGCTTCATCTACTTTCCGAGCTTTTCTTGCAGCTGTCACTCGCAATGAAGAACCTCGGACTTGGCAGCAAGCAATGCTCGACGCAGCTTGACGGGCAGCCATACGAAAAGAAGTGGCCGCACTGGAAGCTACATGAACATGGGTGCTTGTTTCTTTACCTCCCGGTCGTCGTGTCATTGATTGTCGATGGGTATTCAAAATTAAGTATCGTCCTGACGGTACAATTGAGCGCTTTCATGCTCGTCTTGTGGCCAAGGGTTATACGCAGGTCGAGGGTGTGGACTATCATGACACCTTCGCCCCCGTTTCGAAATTGGTCACAGTTTGTTGTCTCATCGTAGTTGCCGTGCATCGTGGGTGGCATCTTCAGCAGTTAGATGTCAACAACGCATTCCTTCATGGTGACCTCGACGAAGAAGTTTATATGCGCGTCCCTCCAGGATTTCAGGAGCCAGGAGATACTTGTGTATGTCGCTTGCAAAATTCGATCTATGGTCTTAAGCAAGCGTCTCGTAATTGGTATCACAAGTTCACCACTGCTCTTTGTGAACTTGGTTTTCGTCCGTCTCCAGCTGATCATTCACTCTTCGTTTATCGACATGGGGAGTCGTTTGTTGCTGCATTGATTTATGTTGATGACGTGTTGCTAGCTGGTAACGACTTGGTTTTCATTAATCAAGTCAAGGCCTTCCTCGATCAGCGGTTCAACATCAAAGATCTGGGATCGCTTCGTTATTTCCTGGGGCTTGAGATTGCACGCTCTCCTAGTGGTGTGATACTTAGCCAAAGGAAATATACACTTGATATACTAGAAGAAGCAGGAGTGCACGGAGCTCGACCTAGTTCTTTTCCAGTAGAGCAAAATCACAAACTTACTGGTCCGTCAGTTTCTGAGAAGTTAGTTGATGGCTCGTCTTATCGCCGCCTTGTCGGCCGTCGACAGTACTTGACAGTCACTCGTCCAGATGTCACATATGGTGTGAACATTCTCAGTCAGTTTGTCAATGCTCCTACACAGGCTCATTGGGATGCAGCTATGCGCATTCTTCGGTATTTAAAATCTTCTCCCGGACAAGGTTTGTTCTTTCCAGATCAAGGTTCGCTTGATCTAGTAGCCTACTGCGATGCTGATTGGGGTGGTTTTCAAACCACTCGTCGTTCTACTACAGGTTTTTCTATCAGTCTTGGCTCGGCTCCTGTCTCCTGGCGGACTAAGAAACAGAAATTCGTTGCTCGGTCGTCCGCCGAAGCTGAATATCGAGCTATGGCTAGTACAGTTAGTGAAGTTATCTGGCTCAGGTGGTTACTCAGTGAGTTGGGAGTTACACAGTCGGGTCTGACGCCTCTTTATTGTGATAATCAGGTTGCGCTCCATATTGCTGCTAATCCGGTTTCCCACGAGTGTACAAAGCACGTGGAGATGGATTGTCATTTTGTACGCGAGCGTGTTGTTTCCGGTGACATTGCGCCTCGTAAAGTCAGTTCCGAGTTGCAGCTAGCGGACCTTTTTACTAAAGGGCTTGGCACGGATCGCTTTCGCAGTCTCTTGTCCAAGCTGAACGTTCGTGATCTTCACCGTCCAGTTTGCAAGGGCGTATTGGGTCAAGGAGAGGCTCGGTCGACTTTGGCCCATCACGTGCAGCCTTGCATGGTCGTGCAGTCATCACCGTGTTCAATTGGTGATAGGAATTGTACTACCCTAGTTGAATTGTGTAAGGGTATAAATATCCCTGTGAGGCCTATTGGCCAAGTAATGTAATAAAAAAACCTAAGTCTTTTGTGGATGTAGATCTCACACCCTGTGAGATTGAACCACGTTAAACAAACGTGTTCCTTTAATTTTCGCAGTTCATATTATTTCTCAAGTTGTTTTACGTAATAAACTTTTGAGAGTATAATAGATCTGACAATACAAAGGTCGAATTATCCTTTCAATTAGAGTTCGCGGTGGCTTCATAATTCTTGACAGATGAGCCATTAAACTTGAGCTTCAAAGCATCCCTCCAAACGACACTTGTGCAAATTAGGATATGTAGCATTTAAATGGAGAGAAACTTTTTAGTCCATCAATTAACTCATATAGGTGTATCTATGTCTTTTCGTTTTTATTTTGTTTCTCAAACCGATCCTGGTATTCGATATTGACTTTTGTACCACAGAATTGAAAATTATTTTGCTTGTAATAGGAATATTGTAAGATAGTAATGCAGTGCACCCTTTAGCATAAAATATGCGACTGTTTATTTAAAGTTTTTGTTTTAAATATAGAGCGGCAGCTGATTATTTAATGGTCGTTTGTGTATGTTTAAATTGTAAATTTTATATTAAAAACAAAAACTCCAATGAAAGATAAACCTGTTGAGTTGAAGATTGAAGAGAAAGGAATCAGCTATGAGGAAATGGCCGCCAAGAGGAACAAAAGGACGGATGAGTAGGAGAGGAGCTAGTACTTACAAACATTATAAATATCTAATAGAGCATCTAAATAGAGAAGGATCTGTGGCGCAATGGTAGCGCGTCTGACTCCAGATCAGAAGGTTGCGTGTTCGATTCACGTCAGGTTCATTTTTGTTTGATTTTTTTTTCAAGACAAAAATTAAACCATATTAAAAATGTCTGAGCCCAGGTTCGAACTGGGGACCTTTAGTGTGTGAGACTAACGTGATAACCAACTACACCACCCAGACATCTGTGTTAATAATTATGAATACAATACTAATTATTTTATCAATGATATTAGCTGGTTCAATGTTAACAATAGTGCTTAAGGATAATGTTGATCAAAATGTTAACTAAAATGCTTAAGGATAATGCTAATCACTGGGTAAGGTGTTTCGTGCTGGAGCGTTGCTTTATGAGGCTATTGTGGATTAGGGATGCAGTGTGTTGGTGTTTTGTAAGGGGTGTTCATTTGGGACGCCAAGATGCTGTTGGACAAGGTGTTCATTCGGAACCTGGACTGAGGATGCTTATGGCGAAGTTGGACTCCGAAAGGGCAGTTGGAGAAGTTGATGAAACTTGAAAGCCAGTGAAGAAGTGGATGCTGCATCGACCTTGACAGGACAAGATGCTGAAGAAGACATGCTTGAATACCCGTTTTATACAGAGATAATTGATTCACTGTTCTTTCTCGTCGGTGCACTTGGTCCGGTCTTGGTGTGGCTGATCGGCAGAGCATTCCCGCAGACAGGGTTGCCCATTATTCAAGCAGTAGTCAAGGTTTCACAGCTTTAATGTTTCATCTTCTATTTCCTTTTATCTATCTACCATTTGCCTGCAGTAAGTCTTTTACCTACCATGACTGGATTTTCCTATACACATTACACAGAACCAAGATCCTAAATAACTGCAGGAAGGCATTCCATGAGGTCAATGGGACACATACAGTACTTTTTCAGAGACATGGAGTGCTCTGTCCTCATAATCGGGAACTTAATCCTTCGGCTCCCTGTGAAGGGTTCGTGAGAGGCGCAGCAGAACCTTCTCGATAGACAATCTTGTTCTCGGAGGCTGCACTTCTACTGGTATTATCAAAATCTTTAGAGCATAGGTAAGATAGTGACTGTAGCCACGACACCAGTGAAGGCTTGCGGATGACATCATCAGATTCAGCTACATGTTCATATAACTCGTTAAGAACCACATTCTGGCCATCTTTGGGTAGCTGGATGATCAGCTGAGCAAGTAGCTTCATCAAGTCAGGTAGCACCTGAAATTCCAAGGAAAATCATGGATGTAATGCTATAACTTCAAAGACACTGAACGTCAAACCTTAAACCCCTGAAGCCTTACTTGAATATCAACGAGGGAAATGAATCGTAAAAGCAAATCGAGAAGCTTTTTGCAAGGCTCCAACTCTCCCTGCCAGTTCTTCCATAGATCAGCATTCTGCACTGAGACTTTAGAACAGAGATTCTGGGCTTTCTCCACTAGGTTATGGATGCAGTAGAATGTGGCCGGGCTTCCAGCAGGAAGGTGTTGAATCAAATGTGCAAATCCAGATGCCATGCCGTCAAATGGCGTAAACTCAGGATATCCCTGAATGAATGGGAATATTTAAGGAAAAAAACAGTCAGCTTCAACATATTTCATGTTGAAGTTCACAAATTAAAACTATGGATAGTTAAATTTACCGATAACGATTTCAGGATGTAGTAGAAAGCAAGTTGCTCCTTCAGTGGTGCTGTTTCATCAACATCTGCTTCCTTTCCCAGAGATATGAATGCCACAAACATGGAATGTGAGGCTCGAGATACTTTCTCATTCGGATGTTCCATATATCTTGTACCATTTTAAGTTAAGGAACCATACACGTCTCAAAAAATCGAGTTTCTCATAAAATCTCTAAATGCCTGTGAAGGATACAAGAACATAGTTGGTGTCACCACCTCACTGAATAGAGGTGCAGATAGGCGCTCGATGCATGTTGGAATGACACGCAGATAAAACAGAATTCGGGAAGTCTGGACTTCATCGTTCAGCCAAGTATACTTCACAAGGTGTGGGAATTCTAGAAGCACATACAAGATACAATCCACATAAATAAACCTATGTGAGAATAACTGTAAGAGAAATGACGCATTGTACACAAACGGTGTACCTTTAGCGTTTGTGAGATCAGCATAGGGAGGCAAGGACTCCACAAAAGTGGTGCATGCAGTCTCATTCTCCTGTACACTAACAACAACTCCTCGTATCGTGTCCATATACTCAGGCAAACGAATACGACGGAAGTATTCCATGCAAGAGAATGAAACTAAAATTGATACCGAGGTTTGCATCCGTATTTCAGGGGCCAAGCCTGAACTCAACTTGTGCTTGCTAACAGTGGAGGCAAAAACAACTACCATAAGGAAGGCTGACTCAGCCATTTTTTCAATATTTGATAGCAGCTGATCCTCCCTATCATGCAGCAATAAAGCCAATAGTCGATGGCCAGAATATATCTCTTGGCAGAAGCGCCAAAAGGCATTCTCAACTACATTCCGGCTCTCTTCATCTGCTGACACATACTGATTGCAGAAGCAAGCAGTTATGCTTCCTGCTTCCTTGAAAGGAACACTGTTGAGATGTTCTTTTGCTTCATCGAACTCCGGTCCTTGGGAACTGACTGAAGAACCGAGAATTCTTGTATACAAACGACGCAGAGGTACTATCTCTGTTAATAATGCTGCAGCCATGGATATTAAGAGAGAAGCATGGGAAGATATGGGACCAGCTCGAGCTACAGCTAAGGAAATACACTGCAATAGAAGACCGGTTGAGCCATCATTGACCACAGAAATAAACCCTCCCATTTTCTTAATTAAATTTTGAGCAGTGGATCTTAGTAAATTTTCTGAAGAAACCCTCAATCTGGAAACCAAATCCAGCCTTTCAACACTTGTAATAGATCTATTCAAAGCTCTCAGAACACCACCTGCAGCCATAACGAGGCCAAATGGTGGATAATCCAGTTTTGGAATTTCCAAAGCCTGTATGGTAAATGTTAGCAACTTATCCTGAGAATTTAACTTCATCATTCCAGGTATCACCCATTCTACCAAATGCAAAATCATGAGTCCGTTTGGTAAACTACAAGGCGGTCCATCTTCCTTACCCCAAATCCCCAGCAATGAATCCAATATCCTAACAAAGTGGGCATTCCCCGAAGAACGCAAAGCATACCCTATCCCAGCAAGAACATGGCTAAGAAGAAGTGCTCCAAATGAGCTGATCAGCATATAGTCTTGCTCCAACAATCTGCAAACCAAATCCAGGCAGACTGTTTTGGATCGTTCTGATGCAGAAGGCACATAAGAAATAGCGGCAAGCAGGAGTACCGTATTTGCAAATAATATGGGGTTCTTAATTTGTCCATACTCGGTATCTAAGAATTTCAAGAGGACATCTGCAGCTGAATCCATTAGCGATGGAGATGGTCTTGAGGACTTCCTAACCCAGACATAGAGCAGCCGAAGCAAAGGTGTATATGCTTCATTAGGAAGAGCGATTTTCTCAGAAGATAGAATGGAGAGCAGAAGCTTTGCTTGGGTATCAGCAACATAAAGGGATACTTGATAATCTAGAAGAAGATTCATGGACTGGAGGTGACGGGGTTGGAGTGCTTGGCTTTGAAGGCAATCTCTGATCTCAGCCCATGTTTGAACGATGGCGCGGGAGGACAATGAAGAAGAAGATTGGCTTGTGCTCACATTGCCACTGATGCTGCTCAGCCATTGTTCAAGAAAAAGGGTGTTGTTTTGTCTAATAGACATCTTGCTCTCCTAAATTGCAAACACCAGTTTGTGTGACTTCTCTCTCGAGCAGCTGAATTTCCCCAACACCACAGAATTCCTCCTCCCTTCAAATCTGCAACCATACTGAATCGACTGCTAAGATCTGAGGGAATGCATGGACGAGACAGACAAACAAAAGGAACACGCATAGGAAATCTACAGCACCAATAGCCATTAGGAGGAAACCTACTGTGATGAGAACATACATAACAACCCAAAAATTTCGAGTATCTTGGAAGCACAGCAACGAAGCAAAACTGTGAGTGTAAAGACAAGACGACGAATTCCAAATATCAGGAAGCCACCCAGTTCAGGAAGCTGCCTAACGATCGGAAAAGCAACAAAATATGTTTCCTTCTACCCCGAAGAGCAAAACCAAGAGCAAAATACCCTTTTGCACCAGTTAACTATTTCGGAAAAGCTGCAGCCGTCGAGCACACTCGATTGAGAACCCAGATGACAAGAGGAAGACGGAAATGGAAGGAATTAGCAATTACCCGGCTGAATGGAGAGAACCCAGATAACCAAAATTAAGGGCTTTGGTGGCTTTAAATTGAGCAAATGCAACTGGCGAACTTTGTGCTGCTGTTGGCGCTAAACTTGCGTTTTCTCCACCTTGAAGCAAGGGATAGTCATTCTGTGACGAATGGATGCTATATATTATCCCCAAAACAAAATGTTTTGCCTTCCCAAGAGAAGGAAGGAGACGAGTGAGGACGTCAGGAATTGAGCCGGCCGGAGTTCGCCGGGAGAGATTAACGGCTTGAAGACGAAGAAGTGTCCAGTCCAGATTGGTCGTAAACATAAATTGGGCTCGCTCCATAAATTGTAGGCCCATTAAGATTCATGACAAATGTATGACGCTTGAAAGATCCAACTCAGGCAGCAGAAGCCCAATCCTCAGTCCAACCGGACCTACGATGCCATTCCAATTTGAGCACTTCTACTATGCTATATAGCATTGGTGCTTTAATGTACAACTCAAAGTTGTACCATAACATTAAATGTACAAGTTTAGGTTGTACCATAAAACAATTTGTACCATTATGTTATGGTACAACTTTACAACTTGAAGTTGTACCATCACATAAAGGTACAAGGTCAAGTTGTACCATAAAAGAATTTGTACAAAAAGTATAGGTACAATCTAAAGTTGTACCATAACGTAAATGTACAATTTTAAATTGTACCACAAAGACAAAAACCTATAGTACCAATACTATATAGCATTGTAAAATTTCTCTTCCAATTTACAGGGTGATTTTGCTAACTTATTATTCGATAATTTTATATCTTATCGTATTAAATAGATCAAATGTAATGGATCATGCTTGTTCACATCTATAATTAGACTAGTTTTTACTCGGCCCTTGCCGAATGAGTTTCGCTTTATCATTAATATTGGTTAATTTATAATTATATTTAAAATATTAACCTGATTCATTGGTCGGATGAATTTTATTTTATTTTGATAAATCTCTTCATTTTTTTTAAATAAGTTGAGGTTTCTAAAATAATTAATTCATCTTTATGATATTTGCTCATTATGTCATTACCGATAATGAGTTAATATGTACTTTTTTATCAAGTCATCCTAGTTTACTGTTGTGTATTTTTTTTCATATCTTAGAAGAAATTTGTGGACTTTTTATTATCAGATATGAAGTTGGAGTTGAAAGAAAATATATATCATCTAGAATGGTAGGAATTGAAGGTATATAGAAAAAATCAAGAGAATAACGAAAAGATTATTCTTAGAAATCTCAAATATGGAAGAACACGAAAACGGAATGCTTATTGTATAAATTTTTAGAATTTAGTGTATAGACTTGATTGAATAATAAGTCGAGACTGTTAAGTGTTAGGTACTAATGCACGTACAAAAATTACGAAAATTCAACATTATAAAACCTTAAATTCTATTCTTTCAATACACTCTTTGACTTTTCATGTGGAGTTAATAGCATAAATTGTCACTCTATTATCCATTTTTCTCAAATCTATCCCTTTTATTTTTCACTTCAAACATGCCCTTGTAATATATAATATATACGTATTATTAAATTAAATTTAATCCCTTTTATGACTTATCTTCTCCATCTACAACTCCCAATAATTAATAGCCACAATCTCATCCTCCATCTGTCCCACTTTCTCTTTCTTTGACCTAACAATAATTAAACGCAAAAATTTATCTGTCACAAAAGAACCTTGAAGACCGACATTTGAATTTCAACCACTCTCTGAAAAGTCCACAATTATTGATCGATTTGACTCAATCATAAAAATTGGAACCCAAATTTTTTAGAATATATGGATTTCAAGTATCAAAGGTTGTCAACATGGTTTAGCCTGTTGGCCCAGTCCATTAAGTGGGTTGAGGGTTAATGGTCTAATTGTTTTAGTCCACTTTTTCCCCGATATATGAAAAAATTATTATATCGTTCATATATTTATAAATCATATAAAATCCCATCTACATATGAATAATATTCTTCCTCGACCAGACTATCTACATTTGTTTCTCTATCTACTATTTTCTGCTATCCTCCTTTGAGCTCCTAAAATGCACTCCAACAACATCTATTCGTCAAGCGATGAAGGTTGCACTCCTATGGTGGCAATGTGTGTCAGAAGTGGAATTAATGAGTAACGACCAAGTGGTAATTGCGCATGAGGGTGTTTGCGAGGGAAGACAATATGTGATGGAAGGCGAGTTCTTCCAGTAGTCTCTTTGTTAACAGAATTGACTTGACGGATTTATCTTACCAATCTGCGGAGCGGTAGCTAGAGCAGGAGCTAGAATGGGAGCGTAAGAGTGTATACTTTTCAAGAATTATAACTTGAGTGCGCTGAAAGAGCGTGAATATTATATTATTTTAATTAATATATCATTTAACTTACTAACATGTTTTGGTCAAAATATTACATCAATGTAGTGGGAAAAAAAATCATTTTAGTAGAATAATAGCTTTAAATAATCTGATTAGACCCAAAAAAGATCAAACTTCAAAAGGTGAATAGAAACCCAAAAAAGTTTATGATACTATTTTGTTTTATTTTTTAAAAACAGAAAAAGAGAAATGAATGAATCGTTTATCCACCCTCATGCGCTCAATTAGTTGTTAATAAAATAGTCTATATCTTTTTCCCCCCTTCGATTCTTTTTTCCTAAGCCGACACTGGAGATCTCCTGTAGATGTACCAAATTGGCAAATTCTATATAATCGACTATCTAACTAACCTCCTATCATTTTATTTAGCCCCAAGCCCGTGATTTGATGATCTATTTCACAGTACTCATTCACGAACTCGTAATGTATCCTTTTCGTCTTTGCTATCCAGATCTCTGATAGTACCGCATGTATTTCTTTCTCCCCACGAAGAAGCAAGTCATTGTCTTCGAGCCAAAGCTGTTGATTTGGCTATAACTTGTTTCATTTTCTTTGTTTATAAAGAGAAAAATCTCTCAAATAAGTTATATATGAAATAAAATTTGCGAACATTGATTTTCGATGCTCTGATTTTTAGTTTGAGCAACAATTTCTGGATTTTGGAAGTTGGTCTTTTTTTCAACCTTCGCGGCAACTGCGAAAGTAAAGGAAGCAGCTAAAACTATCATACTACCTCAGAATGCAGCACTATGAGGACCTTTGGGCGTTTGTAGTTTCTGTAAAATAATTATGAAGCAAAAATATAATTCCGACTTTCGTTTTCGTTGTATGAAATTTGAAATGAGACAACAGTTTTCTCATTTTAGGATTATATATTGTGTGGAGTGTATATAAAGACATGTCTTTTTCCTACAAATTCATGAGCACATTGAAAAAAGATGAAATGAACCAACTTATTAAACTCCTAATAATTGTTGGATCCAATCATGTCAGAATAGGAAAAGGTTTAAAATTTGACGGTTAGCCGAACTAAAATGTTCAACGAACCAGTCCCATATAGTTTACACAAAGATATGAATACGATTGTGTAGTAGTAGGTCTAAAAATTATCCATAAAAAAATAGTAGTCTAAAAATTAATACTAATTTAAGAATTATACATCACTTTTACATATTCAACACTGCAATATGATATGGAATATTCGAACCAATGATATTTGGGCCGTGATTTTATAGTTAACCTCTATTTATAAGATATATAGGAATTTAATTAAGTATTAAATAATAATTAAAATAAGGAATTTGGCCTTTGTTAGTCACCTAAAGTTTCAACTCAAAGGCATGTTTCTTAATAATTTTTGCTTCGTATTTGCATGAGATGAGGTCGACTGGCTCTATGACTGTGCAGCTGGAGAAAAATGAAATTTGCTATTGCGGGATTATGATAGCTTTTGAGATGGTTGGGTCGTGTATTGTAGGCTCAGAAATCTAAAGTGAGAAGAAGAGACGATGGGATAGTCGAACATGGTATGTGATGTTTCATGTTGTAGGGTTCTATGATAAGTAAAAGGATGATATGATAGTGTAGCTACGTATACGAATTGTTGAAAACAACATCATTTTGAAGTGGTTGATGCTCGAATCAGTTGGTTAAATCGGTTGGATTTCCCACTACGATAGACAAACTCAGCTTTGACCCAACCTAAGTAGACAACCAACTGGACCTTCGGCACCCGTTGAGATACTCAGGTTTAGATAGAATTGGTTCGACCAACAGTGTCATACTCGAATTGAAAATCATGGTTATGACTTTTGTCTGTGTTTGAAGACACATTAGTTCAAATCCCAATACTTTGTCTATTTTCTATACAAAATAAAGATAAATAACGAAGACAGAAATGTCATTCATACTTTTGGTCCGTTGTATGAAATTTGAAACGAGACGACAATTTTATCGTGCCAATAGCATATATTGTGTACAGTGTATATGTAGACATGTCCTTGCTCTACAAATTCATTTTAATACATAAAAAGATGAAAATAAACCAATCTATTAAACTCAATGATTGTTGGATCCATCATGCTGTCGGATTAGGAAGATGTTTAAAACTTAACGGTTAACAAAGCTAAAAATGTTCAAAGAACCTGTCCCCATATAGTTTGCAGAAAGATATGGATATGATTGCCTCATAGTAGTTCTATAAACTAATACTAATGCGGGAGTTCAACATCGCTTCTACACATTGATATTGCAATTCGATATGTAATATTGAACCAATGATATTTGGTCTATAATTTTAAAGTTACCGTCTATTTATAAGATAAATAGAAATTTAAATTAAGTATTAAAGTATAATTAAAATAATTAAATATGAAAATCGAAGTATCAAAACACAAGGAAAATAGGAAGAAGAAGTAATCTCTCGTGTTTAAAAAGAGTTATGGCAGTCCTCTATGTTTACTTGTGAAAACTGGAAGTTACATCCGAAGAGACACATCATTTCACAAAAAAAGAGAAGTTACCTTTCTGAAAGAATACCTCTTTTCATAATATACAAACGCTAATTAATTAATTAATTAAACTGCCAAAAGATCTATTCTTATGCTTTCCTTCTCACATCAATGTGGTATCAGAACTCTATTGACTAACTCTAACAATCCCCCACTTAGTCAACAAGAGTTGAAAATACCTGCCTCGAACAAGTAACGCATACATAAAAGTATCTTCTCGATTTTAACCTTTACCTAGTGTAAGCAACTCAAAGTTGATAACGAATCAGTGACGAGCTTAAGCCTAGGAGTCACGATCCAAAGCTATAACCAGAGATGCCACACACATACTTGTCGCTTCTCTAAACCATAACCACCAACAAGGGTAGCACTATTATGGCCATGTGTTGATCCTGTTTTATGAGCATACACAAAAGTTGACATTTACTGTTGTTAGAGCGGCACCACTCTTAATGCTTACAGAGGTGACATTCCAAATGAACGTCATTAAGAGCTCTATAACTCATCTCACGAGTTCTATAACTCACCCTTCTTTGGACTAGTTTACTTGTACAATAAATCAGTACCTCAATTAGAGTAACTTGTTATTACCACATTGAACCTTTTAATTAGTGAATATCTAAAGAAAAGGTTGGGTTCCCATTACTTCTAAATATACAAAAGGTCTCAATCACATCCCTGTGGATGTCTCATAGATTATGTCCTCTTGGCAATCCCTTGGTAAGAGAATCTGCCAAAATATTGCATGATCTTACATACACAATAGAAATGATTCCATTAGTAATCAAATATTAACGTAATCATGTCTTAGACTAATATGTCTAGACTTACCATGATAAATCTTGTTATAAGTTTTAGACAATGTAGCCTCACTATCACAAAAGATTGAAATGAATGATGGAAAATTAAATCCTAACAGGGAATAGCAAATAGGTGTAGACTTTCAAGAAAGTGTGCGGGGAGGGGAAGCTTCAGCTAGTACAACAAAATCTCAAATATTTGCGGTGCTATATGGTGGATGGTGGTGAGCTGTATTTGGAAAGAAAGGTGCGCATGTGTGTATGGTGGAACTCTACACACAATAGTAGTTTTATAGATTATGTGATTCGTGATAGGTAAGGTTGCAAGTGAGTCAAACTGCTCACGAGCAATTTGACGTTCGATTTAGGAAAAACTCGTTTATAACTCGCCTTGTTTGCTACCTCATCTTTGTTCGGTTTATGAGATTTGTGAGTTAGCTCGACTTAGTGGTTCATTGAGTTAAACTAGTAACCTGGGTCGTTTCGAGCTATGGAGCTGCCTCGACAGTGTGATTAGATAGCTAGTTTGACTAGCGACTTATAAGCGAATCGATATTATATATAGTAATCTATAATGTGGCTTCTTATATAATTCATATGTTTGTTAGATTATATATCTCATAATATATAATTATGAGTTGTATAATTCAAAGTAATATTGTTGAATATTTTTATATATTTTATTATTAGGATTGTTGATACTTAATAAAAATGGAGATTCTAAATGACACGTTTGCTTTAAAAAAAGAAAAACAAACGAGAGAAGAAGAAAGGTGTGCATATTATCTAGTTGGAAGCATGGACTAAACACCATCACGACTATTTATGAATATTCATTCACATATTTTTTCCCGAATAAAAGCATATGTCAACAACATAAAATTTTGAAAAATAGAGTAACAGAAGGCAGAAAATGAAAATAAAACTACAAGAATTCTTAGAATTTGGCAGGATAAAAGAAAATAGTTGGGATAGAGCAGAAAAATATATTTCCACAAATCTGGATATAGAATCTTTCGGGGAAAAAGATACAGAATCTTTATACTTCTAAGATAATCGTTTGAACCCAGAATCTTTAAGTCCATGCTACCAAAATAAAAAATAAAAAAAAAATGAACTCGCACAATACGAACACGGTTTGACTTGCCCAGCTAAATAAGATCGTCTCGTCTTGAGTTGAGTTCTAATTGGTTCAGCCACAACCTCTTACCTTACTGGCTACGGCCACACACTAACACACACACGTAACGTAACTCCTTTTTTTCCCAGGAAAAAGAAATAACAACCCGACTCCAGTTTCCATTATCAAAAAAGAGGGGAGAAAATTAAATCCAATTAATAGATACCCTATTTGACTCCAACTAAATGACTTCACTATTTTTTCATTTTCGTATAAAACCAAAGTCTCCCCCCGTCTCTCTGCCGCACACCAAAATCAAAACGCTCTCTTGTTCAAATTGGCACTCCGCCGCCGCCGCTGCTCCCTCTCAGGCTGCCGTGATGGCCAGCACGGAAATCCAGTCCGACCGCGAGAAGGCCCGATTAGCGGCCGACGAAGAGGAATCATCCCCAATTGAACAGGTCCGGCTCACCGTCAGCCCCACCGACGACCCGAGCCTCCCCGTATGGACCTTCCGAATGTGGTTCCTGGGCCTCTTATCCTGCGCCCTCCTCTCCTTTCTCAACCAGTTCTTCGCCTACCGTACTGAGGCCCTCGTCATCACTCAGATCACCGTCCAGGTCGCCACGCTCCCCATCGGCCGATTCATGGCGGCGGCCCTGCCCACGAAGCAGTTCCGGGTCGGGTCGAAGGCCTTCTCCCTCAACCCGGGCCCCTTCAACACAAAGGAGCACGTACTCATCTCGATCTTCGCCAATGCCGGCAGCGCGTTCGGCGGCGGGTCCGCATACGCCGTCGGGATCGTCAATATCATCCGGGCGTTCTACCACCGCAAGATTTCCTTCCTCGCCAGCTGGCTACTCATCATCACCACCCAGGTATTTTTTTTCCCCTCTGTTTCTGTTCATTTAACTTTCCCTTTTTTCTATTTACTACTTTATTAGCTCCTTTACTTTCCTTTCCCATAAACCCATAATTATTAGTTTCTTTCTTTATTTCATGTCATATATGGCACAATCTTGAATTTTGTGATAATTATTATGGCATGGGAAAACTATACTGAACCCATGATACTTTGTGATTATTGACCTAATTCAGTCCTTATTCACTTAAGAGTTATGATCTTTCAACTAAATAAACATCCAAAAGTTTCCTTTTTTCTTCTTTCTATATTAGTTTGTATTGGCCATATTTTATGAAATGAAATTTCAACTTTTTTGCCTCAAATGAGTTACATGCATCATAATTGACATAATAATTATTACATCATGAACAAACACCATGCTTATATGAATAAACACAAATTTATATGAATAAACTAAAAAAATGTGCAAATCACTAAACCTTCTCCAATGACATATTCATTGTACCCGTAGGATATGTCCATTGTATAATAATTTTTTCGTAATTATTATGCATAATATCATTAGAAGACACAATCTTTAATTATGTTGATAATTATTCATTGTAGGTTCACGTATGAGTTATCTTTTTTTATTTATTTTGCTGTTGGTTGGTACATATAATTTTAATTTCAGCATTATATATACTTAATAATGAGTTTTACGGATAATCTAAAAAAATTATCAATAATTTAAGTTTCTTTTAAATCAATTAACGGTTTTCCAACGTTTTGATTGGGCTGGGCCTTGTAGGTGCTGGGATACGGGTGGGCCGGTCTGCTTCGGAAGTACGTGGTTGAACCGGCCCACATGTGGTGGCCCGCCACTCTGGTCCAGGTCTCCCTCTTCAGGGCCCTGCACGAGAAGAGCGGCGACGATGAGAAAGGAAGGACGACGAGGGCAAAATTCTTCGTCATCGCACTGGCATGCAGCTTCTTCTGGTACGTAGTCCCGGGCTACCTATTCAGCACAATCGCGACCATATCGTGGGTCTGCTGGGCTTTCCCCAAGTCCGTCAAAGTCCAGCAGATCGGGTCCGGGATGCACGGGCTTGGGCTGGGAGCATTCTCCCTCGACTGGTCCACCATCGCGGCCTTCTACGGAAGCCCACTCACCAGCCCATTCTTCGCCATTGTCAACAGCCTGGCCGGCTACTTACTCATCATCTACGTGGCCGTCCCCGTCGCCTACTGGGGGTTCAACCTCTTCGGCGCCAACAAGTTCCCCATCTTCTCCTCCCACCTCTACACCTCCAGCGGCGAGATCTACGACATCACCGCCATCGTCAACGACAAGTTCGAGCTCGACCCCGCGAAATATGCCGAGCAAGGGAGGGTCCACCTCAGCATGTTCTTCGCCCTCAGCTATGGGTTCGGGTTCGCCGCCATTGCCGCCACCCTCACCCACACCGTCATGTTCTACGGGAAGGAGATGTACGCTCGATTCCGCGCCTCGTACAACGAGAAGGAAGACGTTCACACGCGCTTGATGAAGAAGAACTACGACGACATCCCCGGGTGGTGGTTCCACTCCCTTCTCGCCGTCAGCATCGCCGTTTCCCTCGTCCTCTGCACCGTCTTGCAGGATCAGGTTCAAATGCCGTGGTGGGGACTTATCTTCGCCAGCGCGCTGGCCTTCGTGTTCACCCTCCCCGTCAGCATCATTACCGCGACAACTAACGTCGTAAGTAAATATTTTTTTTTTCGCATTCATTGTTACTGATTAATTTCGTACTGCTTTACCGGAAGGAAATTTTTTTTTTTTATACAATTTCAGTTCTCAACTTAATTTGTACGTCAACTTCTTTTCTCCACACTACGAGTGTGAACTTACTATATCTATAAATTATGTCTTACTCATAACAAAATTTTCTTCGTAATTAAGAGATTAAAACGTCGTCGTCGTTAATTTTTTCTTTTCTTTTTGCAGACACCCGGATTGAACATTATAACGGAGTACGCAATGGGCGTTATACTACCTGGGCGGCCCATCGCGAACGTATGCTTCAAAACATACGGGTACATGAGCATGGGTCAAGCGGTGTCGTTTTTGAGCGACTTCAAGCTCGGCCACTACATGAAGATTCCGCCGCGATCCATGTTTTTGGTGCAGTTCATCGGCACGGTTTTGGCGGGGACGATCAACCTCGTGGTGGCGTGGTGGCTGCTGACGTCGGTGAAGAACATTTGCCAGGACGAGCTGCTGCCCGCGGGCAGCCCGTGGACTTGCCCGCAGGACCGGGTGTTCTTCGACGCGTCGGTGATATGGGGCCTGGTGGGCCCAAAGAGGATATTCGGGTCCGAGGGCAACTACGGGTCCATGAACTGGTTCTTCCTCGTGGGCGCGGTGGGCCCGGTGTTGGTGTGGCTGGCCCACAGGGCTTTCCCGGGCCAGGGGTGGATCCGGCTGGTGAACCTGCCCGTGGTGTTCGGGGTGAGCGGGATGATCCCGCCGGCGACGGCCATTAATCTCAACAGCTGGATCGTGGTGGGGACGGTGTTCAATTTCTTCGTGTTCAGGTACAGGAAGAAGTGGTGGCAGAGGTACAATTATATTTTGTCGGCGGCGCTGGACGCCGGGGTTGCGTTCATGGCGGTGGTGCTCTACTTCTCGGTGGGGATGGAGGAGAGGAGCTTGGACTGGTGGGGGAATGCCGGTGAGCACTGTGATCTGGCGGCTTGCCCGACGGCGAGAGGCGTGGTCACCGATGGTTGTCCGGTGTTCTAGTTGTAATTTTGTAACTTTGTCTCGTTGCATCTTTCGCTTTTTTTTGGGTAGAATTGCATCTTTCGCTTTGGTTGTCTTTAGTTCATCGGTCCGTACTGGTATTCAAGAATTCAATTTTATGGGTCTTTTTCTTTGATATTTCATTTTTGTTTATCTATTAGTGTTTTGATACATACATTACAGTACACAGAACTATTGTAGGAGCACGTTTCTACGTGGAAATGTTTTGCTGATTTAAAAGTTTAAAATCTTAATCTTATAAGATTAAAAACGCGTTTTAACTAAAATAATTATAGATACGGTGAGTGGGGAGTCATTATTCCAAAATTGGCATCCCTTTGGTTGATGAAGGGGGAGTCATTTACTCCTCAATTCTTTGGTCAACATAATACTTCTAAATTTATCTATATCTATCTATCTATCTATACTATATATTATGGCAATTCAAAAATAACTTCTTGCCACATATGCACTTGGAAAATTCACAAGTTGTCAAGGTGGACAACTTTTTTTGCAAACAAAAAATTCATTATTGATCTATTTATGGAGCTATCTCTATCTTCTTTTAATATTTCTACTCATTTTTACTAAAAATTAATAATAAATGACTTTTTATGAAAATGTAAACAAACACACAAAAGTATAATATTTTTGTCAATTAAAAAAATATAAAGATGGAAATAGAGAGTGACTATATCAAATTTTTTAAATAAAAAATATATGATTAAATCTTATCAAGTAAATTTTCTTACTCATTTTCACCAAAACTTAATAATAAGTTACATTTTGAAAAAAACTTAAAAAAGTACACATATATAATAATATTTGTATCAATTAAACAAAATATTAAATAGAAATATTGAAAACAAATGATTAAAAAAGTACACATATTTAATAATATTTGTATCAATTTAAAAAAATATTACAATAGAAACATTGAAAACAAATGATTAAAAAAGTACACATATATAATAATATTTTTATCAATCGACTTTGAAAATGATATATATGAATTTATATTTTTTTTATTAACAACTATCTTATTTCTAATGTATTTTTTTCATCGAATTATTTCTAATATATATTTCTATCAAATAAAAAAAATCTTATATAGCAAAAGGTCTGAATATAAACTTGACTAAGCAATAATAGTTCTTTCTTTAAAAAACTTCTTATTCATCATGATTAAGTGAAAACATATATTCATGTTCTACCTTCAGTTTCTCAAATTAGAGTAATCAGGTGTGCAATAATTTATAATTTGTCCTAGGGTATATATTAAAATATTCACTCTAGATCATATTAATTGAACAATCTCTTTTGAGGTCATAGTCGAATGCTAAGTAATTTCTTTTCAGATTTGGAGTTATTGTCGAACATTATTACATCAAAGTTTTCAAAATAACTTAAGTATGATTTTTTACGAGTTTTGACTTCATACCTAGGATGAGATACAACATCACTTAAAAAACAACAGGTGTGAAGGTTAAAAAAATCTTTGTTGAGTATATACGATAAATATCACGTTTCATCAACCACTAACCTTCGCATTGATCAAATAAGGGTTGAAAAAATTTATTTAATAGTTGATGTCTTGGTAGACAAATTTAAATTCGAGGATTGAGGCAATAAATAAACATAAGTGTGTTAGTAAGGCAATTGTAATAAAACATTGGGGTCGTTTGCTTCGTGGATTTGAAAACTGAAAGTTTTAATAAAACTTGGATTTTCTAAAAGCATGGATATATGAGGGTTTTTGGTTCATTATGGATTTGAAAATACCATATTCCGTTTCATAGATTTCATGATGCATTTGGTTAATTGAATTTGTATGTTGGAAGTGAAAATGACATATATTACCCTCATTGGTATGAGAAGGGAAATGAATTATGAGGGGTAGGTTGGTCATAAATAATAGACTTCAAAGTGCATGATCAATTTCCATCTAAAGAGGTGAAATTTTCAAGTCCTTGGGGCCCACGAATTTGGAACCTTAAATTACATGAGACCCACAAATTTGTTGCCTCTAAATACATGACGCAAGCAAATAATCAATGGTTGGACAAAGTTCACGATAGCTCCAAATTCATCAAGCAAACAACCCCAGCTATATGATTGTGAGTCTGTGACTCCATACCAAATTTTGGCAATAACAAAACCTTTTTCAATATCGAAGTCTCAAAATGGAAATCTTATGGTTTGTAACAGTAAGTAATTTGTATTTAGATCGAGTTATCCTAGCCACAAAGTTTCGTTTTCATATTTCAGTCGATGAGCCGAGTTCAAAGGTATTAATCAGGGTTAAAAATTAAAATAAAATAGTTATACATATTCTTATATATTAATAGATATGTCTACAATACATTCAAGAATTCAAATGTATGTAAAATGTCACCATGTTTCTACGAGTTATTACATTTTATAAAAAAAATTCCAAGAAATCATAAATAATCATTACTTAATATTGTTGGAATCTAAAACTACATCGGTACATGGCTAGCTCTCACCCTTCGACGCTGGACAAGGTCTAATTGGTGTGCTTTTTTGCTTACTCTTTAAATTGTCATCATTATCAATAAAAAGTAAATTAAGTTAATAAAAATGAATGTAACATTCTGGTTTGTTCCAATTCCTTTTCCCATACAACATTGAAAATAAAACACAACATTGATAATAAAGAAACTAGATCAAGCCCCACAAAAAAAAGCTCTCTTCTTATTTGCTTAAATTTTGAGTTTCTAGAATTTGTCTTCTCTACTTTTTTGTATATAGATATAGGAAAGGAAATGGTAAGGCATATTGAGTTTTTTTTTTCTCTTTGTAGGAGAATAGGATGCGGGAGTTACATGATGCAATGATTTGTTGGGAAAGAATTGAACAACTCTAACATATTTTTTCCTATTGACGAAGAAAAGTCCAACCTATCATTTCTCTCTCTTCCCTTTTGATCCGCAGCGGGCAATTGATCTTACTTCATCGGAGATATCTGACTGCTAGCGGTTGACTGGCTGAGTTATAGTCCTCTTCCCATTCTTTTCTTAATTTCTTCCAGATTACGGCGGCTGGATAGTAAATTTCCCTTTTCGATTCAATGGTTGTATTTCTTCTTCGTTATTTTGGTAGTTGTTTTATGGTTCTCAGTTATCCTGTATACTTTGATGTAAACCTGTAACATATAGTTCAAAGGGTTTGTTGCTTGGACTTGGAGCATCTCTCCTTTGGTTGAATAATTGATCATTTTCCTTGGAGGCCTATTGCAACTCGATGCCTTGGATGTTAAAATGGAAAGTAGAGTTGTGAGAATTGTTCATTATGTTTATTATGTTCATGAGTGACATGTTACTAGCTAGCTATATGACGATGATCTGATCAAGTAAATAGTATGTAGCAGGGGGTTAAACGAAGAAGCGGAAGATTGATGATGTGGATGCCAATGTGGTTTCTCATTCTTCCAAAATTACACGAGTAACTGATATTGCACGATATTTGTGGGATCTAGATCGCGATATTCTCTATTATCATATAACAACGTACGAGAAGGGTGAGAAAAAGAAAGCTCTTCACTTTTTTTTATTAATTGAAATATTTTTGCAAATTTTAACTTCTTCTTTTGTGTCCTTCAAAATTTTAAGGGTTAATTGCATGGTTGGTCACTGTGATTACAAAAAACGTTCAAGTTTGGTCACTGAAAATATTTAAATCCATTGGTGGTACTTCAGTTTACTGAAACCGTTCACGTTTGGTCACTCTCCGTCCAACTCCGTTAACTTTTACTTACGCGGCAGTCAACTCTAAAAGTTGACCGTTAAATGTGTGACATGGCAATTAAAAAATAATTTAAAATTTCCAACACATTTCTAACTATTAAAAAAAAACCGGAAATCCACAACGCTTACATCCATTAGCCATGAGAATAACCTAAGCACTAAAGAGAAGCAATATTTCCGCCATCAATGCAACTGCTGGTGATGGTGGTGGTGATGATTGTTGTGATTCCGCACTGCAACGTGCTGCTGCGGCGGCGACTGTTGATGGTGGCGTTGGTGATGTAGCTGATTGTGATGCGGATCATGATTCTGGACCGGAATCACGTGAGCAACCGACACTGGACTGTGAATCGAGACGTGGTAAGGTGAAGCCGGACCAGCCGTAGGCAGCTGTGGGGACGGTTGAGTACATATGTATCATAGCTGCACCAGGAGGCGGTGGCATCACAGCCAGCCTCGACGGAAGCGGAGGAGACATAGAAGCAGGAGGAGGCGGTTGCTTACTAGGAACGAACTGGGGAGCTCGCGCGTTGAGTTTACTGAATGATGCATTTCGCAAGAGCGAGGGATCGGAAACGACCGCGGTTGGCGAATCGGTCGGAGAAGCTGCCGATGGATGTGGAGTTTCTAGGGTTTCCGGCACCAATTCAACTATAGCTTCTTCCGCCATAATTTACCGATACTATAAACTATCTTTTCATTCTCTTTCTTTCCTTTTTCGGGGATCGAAAATTGCGGAAACACCAACGTCTACGAGCAGTCGAGCACCATGAATGAGGATGAAGAAAGGGGAATCGGAAACGTAGGAGAGGCCCACCGCAGTAGGATGAAGAATGAGGTGGTGGTTCTGGTTTTGCGGCGTTGGCCTCGGCCTCGACGTTGGTTCTTAATTTAATTATTTTTATTTTTTTAATAGTTAGAAATGAGGTGGAAATTTTAAAAATTTTATTTATTTAATTATTTTTTAATTGCCATGTCACACATTTAACGGTCAATTTTTAGAGTTGACTGCCACGTAAGCAAAAGTTAACGGAGTTGGACGGAGAGTGACCAAACATGAACGGTTTCAGTAAACTGAGGTACCACAGTAGATTTAAATATTTCGAGTGACCAAACTTGAACGTCTTTTGTAATCTCAGTGACCAACCATGCAATTAACCCAAAATTTTAACTTCTTTGTCACTTTGTGTGCTAAAAAATTATAATCTCTTAGTTTATATCTTAAATGCTGGATTCGATACATAATTATAAATCAATAAAGAAAGTACTAGAGAGAGCTCATCTAATAAAATTAAAATTTCATAAATAAATGAAATATATAAAAATGTGATACAATATATGAAATTTGATAAGTGAGATTAACAATTCAATGTATAATAGTTTAACATAATGAATCATAAATACAACTATAATACTAGGACGAAAAATATAATAACCAATCAAAATTTGCCGCCCAACGGGTTGGTATAAAGCTAGTTATAATAATTTGTGTTTCATAAGTTACAAGTTCGAATCCTAACAACGGCAATTATTATATTGTTATTCCTACAAAGTGGAATAATCTTACTAAATTCATAAATTTTAAATACGCCGCATCAACTCAAAACATGAATCAATGTTAAGAAAATCTTGTCACACAAGCTTTGACATCACTGCTACCGCACAACATCTCTCCATTCAACTTATCCACAGCTTCAAAAGCTCCTCCCCCGTCGCTTCTCTGCCCAACAAAACCAAAAATCTAACATTTATTAACCATGCCGAAACCAATTAATCTAATACCACATCGATGGATATAAGAGGTGTGTTAATTAACCTTGTAATAATCAACAGCAACAAAGTTAGCCCATCTGTTCCCAGCTGCAGTGTGACATTTACCTAGCATCTCCATAAGTCCCTCTGAATTGTACTCGCATGAAATCCCTCTGACAGGGAGGGTTCCAAAATGATTCACAAGCACCAAACTCTTGCTCTTATCATCTAATGCAGCTGACTCTCTTCTGATTGTGCAGTTTCCCTTCAGTCCACCATTGCCATCTGCAGAATCCCAACATTCTCAACTATCTTGGTAGTGATCAGCCCAATCCACAGGTGAAAACAGCAGCTGATGAAGAAGAAAACTCACATTGGGTTTCAACCATGAAGTTCCATTGATAAGCTATGCCTTCAGTTTCTTGCTTGGATCTATCAGAGGTGAAGACTATGAGCCTTTGGTTATTGGCAACCATGTCCTTCACCAGAGGCCAATCTTGGCCATCCCTGGGCATTTTGGACACTGGAAACCAGTACTTCTCGAGGCCAGAAGACCTGAAGAGTCGTGACAGTTCATATGGAGCCTCAACGTGATCTTCGAGGATCAGGGTCACTATTTCTGATGGGTTTGCTGACATGAAAGCCTTTATTTCCTTCAGAGTGTCCATTGCAGGTTCCTATAGTTTGGTTTATGTTCAAGAGGTGAGGAATTGAAAACTCTGCCTAAATTCGATCCAACTTGTTACTCTAAGAAGTAATTTCCATGTACTACTTACAAAAGCTGTGAAATCATGGCATTTCCCTTTGAAAGAATGGCACAGCCATATCCCATCCTTGAATTCATATGTATCCAGCATCAGTGCTCGGACTCCGTGCTGCAAACGGATTACAGACCAAATCAGTCAAAAGGTAATATATATTATGATGGATTTAAATGGACTATAAGATGCTCAAATAAAACTATTATTATGATTATGATTACATTCAGCTGTTGGGTGACAGTGTCCTCTTGGTTGGCAGGGGTGAGCCTTGGAACCCCAGTGTGAGATGGCTCTCCTCTGATGGCAAACGAATTGTGGGTTGTCAAGAACGCGTACTTATTGAACGGCAGCGAGTTGTTCTGCGCAATTAACATTAAAAATTAAAACAAAACAGGTAGTGGTAGTAGTAGTAGCTGCAGTAGTAATAATACTAAATCGATCGATATACCAGAAGCTTGAACGGATCTGAAATGGTTGATCTAACACATCTTGATCCCCTGAATTCAAGAGGGCAAGACAAACAGTGCAGCCCCGCCCCGCAATCTCGGTCGGTTGAGCATTCATCTCTGAGCTGTACGAGGAGTCAGCCACCCAGTTTGTGGTATGAATCTCTGGGAGAAAAGGAGTACTAGGAACTGAATGTTTGTTAAGAAAAATACTAACCTGGCATTCGCCATTTGAACAAGCTGCTGCTGCTGGAAGAACGGTGGTCGAGTTAGCAGAAACATGAGTAGTACTGCTGATTAACATCAAGAATATGATGCCCAGCACCATGTTGCTTTCTGGGTATGCTTTTTTCTTTCGTTGCTTCAGTTTGCAGGATATGGTTTACGTGAAGGAAAAGGTGTGATGGTGGAAGAATTGCAGAGGGTTCTGATCTGATGGAGTGCTTAATAATAAGGCAGGTATTCGAAGGGGACTGTTAACTAATGGGTTAGGGAGGAAGTTGATGAGGCTGAAGCAACAGCAAGTTGTTAATTGCAGGGAAATAATTCTGTGATGAAACGTTTGGGAAATGGTGGGGAGTCTAACGGTTTCTGAAGCAGAGCAGACTTAATTAACACATGCCTTCTGTTTGTGTTACGCAAGCTTAGCCACTACTAATTAGAGTATGCCAGTTTAGTATGGCTTTCGTTCTGTTGAATTTTTTCTGTGACAGTAAGGGAATACCTTCCTTTTCAGGGGACCACAAAAATCTGCCAATAACAAAGGAAAGACCAACGGAAGGCAAAGCTCTAATCCGGAGCGTAGTAGAGACAAGCAGATTTTCAGAGCGAAATTACAGGAGGAAGCTTCCTCATTTGGGACCGGCAAATTTGGTAGCGACTAGTGACGGAAGTTAGAAAGGACAGGCATGTACCTATAGGTGTCAAAACATAGCCCGACCCGATTAACCCACCCGATCAACCCGACCCGCAATTCGAATTGACTAAAAGTCAACAACCCGTAATCCGCCCCACCCGCAACCCAACTAACCCACAACCCGAATAACTCGCAACCCGATTGACCCGCAACCCGACTGACCCGCAACCCGATTAACCCGAACCCAATTGACCCGAACCCGACTAACCCGTAACCTGACCGACTCAACCCGAATTTCATCTAATCCACTTGAATAATTATAAAAATATACAATACATAGTTTATAAAAATAAAGTTTTTCATTCTAAACTTAAGTAATTTTTTTTTTCATTTCGTATAAGAAATTTTAAACATATGAAACTCACTTGATATTATGTATTTTAAGAAAATTACAAAAATTGAAACATGAAGGTCACTTGAGATCATGACAATATTAATATAATATATAAATTAAAATTTTGGTTTATTTAACTATTCAATAAAATTATCAATTAAATATAAATAAAGTAAAGTAATGTATTTGATAATTTGATCTTTTTAAAAAAAGAGGAAAATTTTGGTGTATTCAAATTTTTGGGAAGAGAAAGAAGATGGAAATTTGGTTCTTTGAATTTTTTAGAAAAAAAAACAAGTGGGAATTTTGGTGGTTTTGATGTGGGAAGAGAAAGAAGTGGAAAAGTTTGATTTTTTTATTGTGAAAGAGAAATAAGGAGGGAAACTTTTGACTTTTCAACTTTTTGTAGAAGGAAAGAAGAGGGTAATTTGGTTCTTTCAATTTTATGGAAGAGAAAGAGGAGGAAAAATTGAGTTTTTCTAATGTATGGAAGGAAAAAGAAGGAGGGAAATTTTAGTATTTTTGTGAAAAGAAAGAATGAAACAAATTTGGTGTTTTCAATTTTTTGGTTTTTCATAATTTTAGCTTTTGAAATATGAATCTTTAACTTTTATATGTAGGGCATGACTAGTTAAAATTATTCTTATATGCTTTGAAGGCTAATATGTATATATGTATGTAATTTTTTATGGGCTAATAAATAAATTTACCATTAGTTACAACAATTTATACTAAACTTGATAAGTAATCTTTGACGGTTCGTTGTTTAGGATATAAAGTATATGGTTAGGGTATAAGGTATAAGGTACATATGGTTTAGGGTGTATATGGTTAGGGTATATGATATTGATGGTTCTGACGGTTCTAAGTTTTTTATTAACATATGTTCACTTGAAGTCATTTGAAGTCTTTAACGGCAGGAGATCCCTTTTTAATTTATGTTTATGGTACGTGGTTAGGGTACAAGGTATGTGGTGTAAAGTATATGATATATGGTTAGGGTATAACAATTAGCAAACATCAGTTTTTATCTATGTTTTGAAAATCAAAGTATGAATTTCACTTATAAATTAACTATACTAGCAAAATCACAACTCAAGGACATATGGTTAGGGTATAGGTTATGTGGTTAGTGTATAATGTATTGATGGTTTAGGGTATACAATCAACAACATATACTAACTTAATATTGTTGATTGAGGGTAAAGCTAAGTGTATAGGATATGTGCTATTGAGTAAGTTATGATTGAAGTCACAATAATTTTACTAAATTTGATAGCTAATCTTTAATGGTTAAATTTTTAGGATAATTCGAACAATTTTACAAATAACTCGAACAATTTTACAAATAACTCGTTTGGCAACAGTTTACTAAAGTTATTTGGGCAATGATTTATTTTGAAATAACTCATTTTATCACTATGCTTTTGCCAAATACCACACGCCAAATACCAGATTTGCATGGTTATACAAAACGAGATATTTTAATCCAATTACTACTGAATTAATACTAAAATATCAAATAAACAATTAACGGTGTCTTTTGGTTGCAAATATTGATATCACCATTACTATTAGCTATAATACTTTACCAATTATGATTAATTACATAACAAGTTTGCAAGTCATACAAATTGATTTAACATTTTGACTAGTTTTTTTCAAAAAAATAAAGTATATATATACGAGGTAGAAATAAATTGGTTAAAAAGTTGAGAAAATATTTTAAATTAGTGTAATAAAATGTGTAAGTTGGTAATGAGTAATGAGTTAAGTTACTTGATACGCTGGCCCGAACAACCCGAAACCCGACCCGCCCGCAACCCGCCAACCAGATGAACCCGCAACCCGACTAACTCGCAACCCATTTGAACCCGAACTCGATGAACCCGAACCCGATGAACCCGCAACCCGACTAACCCGCAACCCGTTTGAACCCTAACCCGATTGAACCCAGCCCGAACCCGCCTGATTGACACCTATACATGTACCTAACGGCTCCTCTCGTCCTAGTGGTAGAAGTTACGTAATTTCCGTATATTAGTTAATAAATATTTGTTTAATGTTTAATATATAAAAGCCAAGGTTTTGTGCTACTATTTATTAGTGGCTCTCACACTCCTCCTTGCAAGTGGGCAAGTTTCAAGTTCCATATTTTACCTAGAGATGGCAAAAATATCCGAAACCGTGGATATCCACCCGAATCCGACCTAATTGGGTAGGGTAAAACCCAAACCCGAAAGACTTTTAGTGGGTACGGGTAAAACCCGAACCTGAATATTACGGGTAATGGGTGGGCATGATTTTATCACTATCCAACCCGAACCCGCCCGATTATACACATGCATATGTGTTTTGTCTAGAAATAATCAATTTTTTCCCCAACATATTTTATATCTAGCATATAATATAATATTTTCATAAATTTGTGTTGTTTTAATTAATTTTCTTCATTCTAGTGAAGTATTGTCGTACTTTTCGTCTTACGTGACGTGAGAATACGTGTGAATATTAACATATTGGTTGGAGTTATAAAGAGAAACTATTACCCATGGATAACCGTGGATACCCGAAACCCGAACGGGTATGGGCATGATTTTGATTTTCTACCCTTTTCTTATGTGGGTTTGGGTATGGGTAAAACCCGAACTACTTTGGGTAGGGTAGCAGATATGCACTATCAGTCCCCGACCCGACCCATTGCCATCCCTATTTTTACCTCACTCTCTCAATCTACAACCTTTGTGTTCATTTATTATCCGTTGGGTCTACATCTATTACTCATTTATTGCCTATTAGGTTTTATCTATTGTTCATTGCATTCCCTATCGCAACAATTATCTATTAGGTTTTCGTCTATGATCGCCCAAATCATCGCCTTGGCGCACCAATTCACAACACTTCTCAAAACACTATCGATGAAATCATAAGTTGTCCTCTTCCACCATTAGCCAAGTCCGCTATCGAAGATCCATACCATATCTCGAAATACTTTAGGTGGAATTCTAGGTTGTACCCATCCACCATGTTCTAAGACCGCTACCGAAAATTCATACCATCATGCTATGTGTTGCCGAGTTTTGTATCAAGATCGAGTTTTATATTCTTTAGTGTTTTTTTATTTTTATTTTTCTTTTGGTTAAGCATGACAATTGAACCCGACTAGGTCAAAACGACTAGAACCCGACTTTAGTAAATTTTATTTTTTATTTTTATTTTTGTTGAGAATGATAATTGAACCCAAACCCATGGTATTGACGAATTTTGTATCGAGAGCAAGTTTTATCCGCTTTTGTAGTTGGCATGTTGGGTCGACTGTGAATTTGCTAAAACTCGATTCAACCGGTCAAAGCGAGCTGAACACGGTTGACGAGTTTTGGATCAAGAGCGAGATTTCTCTGTTTAATGTTAATTTATTTTTTCGTTTTCTTGTCGTTGAGAATGACAATCGAAGCAAGACTCGATGCTAACGAGTTTTGTATCGAGCGTGAATTTTATCTGCTTTTAGAATTGACATGTTAAGCCGACTGTGAATTGTTAAAACTCGGTTCGAACCAGTGAAGGCGAGTTGAACTTGGTGTGTAGAGTTTTTGGTGGAAAAGAGTTTTATCCGCTTTAGTGTTTTTTATTTTTTATTTTTCCTTTTGGTTGAGAACCCAAACCTATGAGTATCCAACCTAATTTAACTTGATAAAAATGACTTGAACCCGATGGTTACAAGCTTTCAGGAAAGAGTGAGTTTTATTCGCTTTTGTAATTGGCGGGTCGAGTCGATTGTGAATTTGTTACATACTCGGTTCAACCATATCAAAGAGAGTTGAACATGATGTTGCCGAGTTATGGGTAATGAGCGAGTTTTATCTGCTTTAGTGTTTGTTAATGACAAGCCCTTTACTTTTGGGTCAAAATTCAAACTATTAATCTTTGAAATATCATGTTCTTGCTGACACGCGAAGCGATAGCGAGCGGGCTTATACTAGTACACACACAAATATATATATATATATATATATATATATATTTATTTATTTATTTATATCTATGGCAAAGGCTAGCATACATGCTAGCATACAGCAGACTTACGCTATACGCCTGCGTCACACTTATAAATCAATTTTTTATTAAATTGTAATTGAATTAATTATTAATTGCAAATATAATTGAAATCACATCCATCAGTTTATGTTTCTATACAATATACACCCATTACATTTTGTACCATTCATTATATGTAAATCATCATCTTTATATTCATTATATTAATTATAGTGTCATCTTGAAATAGGGATTTAAAACCCCCTGAACTTTATATGCAGAATTGAAGTCCAATTAAGTATGATTAAGTTCCTTATGTATCATCAATGTTCTTTTAAGTTTTTATATGGAAGGCCTATGATGGAGGCACGGGCACTGGCATGCAACGCGACTCCATGTTGCTGCTCTTTGCGTCGAGGTGAACGTTCTTGATGAAAATAGGGATGTCAATCGGGAATTGGAATTCCCTCCTTCCGGCATTGGTTTCGTCCCGATAATTAAGGGAATCCCTAATCTTGATGTCTCTTTAGTTCCTAGACGCGAGATGTACAATTTTTGGTCTCATCTTGAAGACCTCCAGCCATTCAGAGAAAGCTGGAACTCCAATTTAATTCCTGTTGCCGTCTGGTCGAGGAGGGTTTTCGTGGATCCCGAGCGGCTCTAGTGTTGTTCAGAGAGTTCTGGAGTGTCCATTCCATTCATGTTGCCATCTGGTCGAGTAGGGATCGTGGATCCAGACCGTCTGTGGCGAGGAAGATGAAGCCCCTGTTTCAGTCCCCCATCGCAATCCCTGAATTTTTTTTATTCCTCTGGGTTTTAAGTCCGCTAAACCTTGCTTTTCCCCATTCTCGTTTCTAATATAGTTACAATTTCATAAAGATTTTCGACACGGATCTGCTGCTGTTGATTCTCTTTTGTTCTGGGTATTGTTGGTAATAGAGATGATTCTGTATTACTTTTTGCTGCTGCTAATCTGAAATCCCATCCCTTCTTTTGTAATTCCCAATCCTCTTGTGAACATCAACCATATAGCGAATATTGCAGCCTCCGATGTAACTATCTTGCTAGCTATTTAAGAAGGAATGAAGTGGTTATGTGTTAACTGTTAAGTGATGTATTCAGATGGGGGACAGTACTTGTTGAACGTCAAGGAGAAAGATGAAGTTAATTTGGCTATTCTCTGCCAATATGAGAATCTAAACATCAAAATGCATGTCATACTGATTCTTACATGCAAAGCATTTGGATACATTCCAAGTACAGGTGAGACCATCAAAGTGGTTCTCGACAAGTCGAATGAAGAAGATGAGGATACTAAGGACAAGTTCGATTGAGAACTGAAAGAAAGAGTCTAATATATTAAGGTACTATATTGGTTAAGAAATTTAGGTGTTGTAGATGATGATAAGAAGAAAGAAGGTACTATTATTGTTATATTGAAATCTTACATGATTGATTCAAGCATAAATAAGGTAAAAAAATCTTGCGGGACTAAATAGTATTGAAATATAAATTAATAGGTGTTTTTGTAATTGTAATTATTATCAATTATTTTTTATAATTAAAATATTAATAGGTGTGAACACAGGCGTATAGCGTATGCTAACCTGAACTATATATATATATATATATATAGTTGCATGTATTTTGACTGTTTAAAACTTCTGTATCCGTATTATTGTCAAATAACTTCATTTTTTGTTCATTTGACAGTTCCCGTACTAAACACGTATAAACCTCAGATAACACATTTAATATTCTTAGACAATGAACAAAATTTCTCACTTAACTATTATTTATATATTAATTTATTTTTAAGATTGTTAATTTTTTTATATTTTATAACTATTGATGTACTATTAGTTTAGAGATGAAGTTCTTTTCCTGGATAATATCTCGTTCGTGAGAAGAGAGATGAGAGAGAGAGAGGGGTTAGTGAGAGAAACTTTGAGAGGGTAAGGCAGGTGGGGATTCATCGGGGTCACGACGTTTCTTTCTCTTGCAGGTCTGAAGCTCTCAGATTTGAGGACGAAGGAGGCTCGGCGGGAAGGTGTTCACGGCGAACGAGGTTTGGCAGGAAGTCGGTCTCAATCAGCCGTCAGGAGTCCGGAAATTTGGTCTGGTACAGGTTGCAAGTGGAACAAGGTAGAAGGTGATGGTTTATTGTGCTAAACGAGGTCCATATCTCTTGGCTCCAAGAGGTCCTTCAAACAGCTGCCATGAAAAGTTGGACGTTTCCTATACATTACACTAGAAGATTTTGAGGCCGGGTCATCCATGTCGGAAAGTACGAGTCGCACCATGGAGATATTCTACAAATTTCCGAGCAGGTGACAAATGGAGGAGTCTTTAAAGTGATGATTCCTTCCTCTGGTTCTAAAGAAGGTTGGGCAGGATTGATCAGAGTTTTACAATCTTTCTACAAACTTGAACTTCAATCAAGATTTTGCTCGTTTCTCGACCCTGCAACTTTTCAGCTTCCACCGGCGCCCCTGCATACGCCATCAACCAGTCCAGGAAGATCATATGCTGAAGTCGTGAGAGGAGGGGGTTTCTACGAAGCTGGAAGAAGTAGTATCAGAGGGAGTGGTAAGAATAGATTCATTGAATTGGTGTGGAAGGAGTTCACGAGAGGAAAGAACTTCTGGGGAGAAGCTTGATAATCAAATTCTCTTCTTCAGGGTCAGAGGAGTTTAAGAGCAGTAGTGGTCCAGAATTCAGAGTCTAGGCTTCCAAGTTTTGGTCAATTAACGATAATTTTGGTTTCTTGGACACAGCTGACGGCAATTGGTTGCTTGTTTGTCCTAGTGTGTCGGAAGCCATTAGAATCAAAGAACTTGATCATTTGAAGTTTAAAGGGTTCTCTATCAACATCTCTTCGTGGACGAAATTCGTTTCATCCCAGACTTCCGACGATATATGGATCTTGGTTTTTGGAATTCCGTTGCCTTTTAAAAGTGTTGATTTGATTATGAACATCGGGAATTTCTGGGGCTCCTTTATAGAAATCAACTGGAACTCTTGGAGCCTTGATTTTGTGTGAATCAGAATCAAGAAAGTTGGGAGGATCCCTGTTTTGGCCCCTCTCCAGCTGGGTACTCATCGTTATACGGCGAAGATTGTGATCCCGCCGGCGACTCTCCACGACGATCATCATTGGAATTGCAACAATTATCAAACTTGGAAGTTGAAGGGTCTTTCCTCGACAAACTCAAGTCTCAACTGCCAGTGCAACAACGTTCAGGAAATACCCATGGCGGCTGGACAGAGTCTTGATGTGCATTCTCATGTCGTTTAAGCTCTCAGGTTACTGATATCCAAACAGACTCGGCTTTGGGTTCGTAAAGCTGGTCCAATTTGGGTTGGGTTTGACCCGCCTGGCATTCCAGACTTCGTTTCTAGCCCCCCCCCCCCCCCCCCCCCCCCCCCGAGAATTTGGCCCAACTTCAACTAATTCCCCACAAAGAGCAGATAATTAACACCTTATCCTTTTAGTATCTCTTCGACCTCCTTTCTAAGTTCCTTCCTTGTCCAGAGTCACCCATTCTATTTCAATTTTCAGTGGAACTTCAGCAACCATTCAGCAACCAAACCTCCTTAGAATTTTCCCTTCCCCTCCCAACCTCCTCATCAGCAGCTTTCACCTTTCCTTTCACCCTAACACTTTAGCTGATCATTTTTCACTTCCTTCTCCCCCTCTGTAGATCCCCCTGCTGCTTCCATTCTAAGCCCCCTCTCTCCCACCTTTTCCTCTAACGCTGACCTATCAATTATTCCAGTTTCGTCTTCTTTGGATTGGTCTTCTCCTCCATCCTCGCCCTCTTTTGTCCCAGAAACTCCTCTTGACTCCTCCTTAACTTCCCCCGAACCAACCGATTTACCCTCACCCTCCTGCTCCTTTGTGGATGATCAACACTCTTGGGACCTTGAGAATTTTACATTTGATTCAGCGACATTGGTTGAAAGCACCTTGCCAGTGAGTAATCTCTTTGATCTAGAGCATGAAGAAGGGCAAGTTCGAATGCAATTGTATCAGAAGTTGCCATCACAATGCATAGGAAGAAGATCAAGAATTCACGCTCGAAACTTGAGATGGAAAGGAGACATTTGGGTCCCATTTCTCCCCTTCCATCAGGACCGAGAAGATGCAAGAGGAATACTGGTGTGGTTTCTTCCCTGAATCTGGATTAATGAACTCATCGGTGTTTATTTGGAATGTTAGAGGCATATGTGATTCGTACAAAAGAGGTCGAATTGAGCAATTAATCATCAGACGTAAACCTCACATTGTCGCTCTTGTGGAAACCAAATGGTCCTCGTGCTCTGATTCCTTAGTGGGAAATGTGTGTGGCAGTAGGGATTTGGGTTGGGTTGCTAAAGATTCTTCGGGAAGTTCTGGTGGGATTGTTGTTTGTTGGGATAAAAGTCGGTTCCAGATGCTTTCCAGCAGTATGGGATCTTATTACTTGGAGGTTGAATTTTTTGAAATTCATTCATCGAAGACTTGGCCGCTAATCACAGTGTATGGTCCGCAAGAGAGGAGGGACAAGCTGACCTTTATTAATGAACTGCGCAATTACAGCCAACAACATCATTCCCCTCTCTGTATTGCGGGTGATTTCAATTTGGTTAGATCTCATGAAGACTATCAAGGTGGTAGAAGAAGTGTTGAGTTTATGGATAGCTTCAATAGTTTCATTGAGGATAATGAGCTACTGGATCTTCCAATTAGTGGATGTCGTTTTACTTGGAGCTTAGGGGCAAACAGTAACTCTGAATCGTGAATTGACAGAGTGTTGATATCTCCTGGCTTTGATTTGTTATATATGGATTGCAGATTGATTGGGTTAGAAAAAGTGGAGTCTGATCTTGCTCCCTTGCTTCTTCAATGGGGGTGATATTAGAAGATGAACGTTTTCACTCTAGTCTGAGGACTTGGTATACGAATGTGATTCACAGAAATGGGGTTGTTTTCAGATTGGTTATGAGACTTAAAGACCTGAAGCAAAATATCAAGCGGTTGAAAAAGAAGTTTTCGGCAACATCCACACTAGAGTTGATAATCTGCTTAAAGATATCAATGACCTGAGCTTGGTTAAAGAATCGCGTCCTTTGTCCGGGGCGGAAGTTGCAGCTTTATTGCAGAAGAATATGGAACTAGGAAATGCCCTACTCCTCCAGGAAATCTGTTGGAGAGGTATGGCTCAAAACACGAATTTCTTCCACGGGATGGCTAACTTCAGGAGGAAGGTGAATTACATATGGAGGATTAGAATCAACGACACTATGGTTGAAGATTTTGATGATATCAATCAAGGAATCATTGTTTACTACAAAAATATGTTCATGGAGAGTATCCAGAGTCGTCCCTTCCCCTGCAACTATGGTACAAAACATTTGAGGTCTTCCGAATCTGCCTCTCTCGAAGAACCTTTTACGGAGAAGGAAATTCGGGATTGCCTGGCTAACTACGATGGTTCGAAGGCACCAAGCCCTGACGGCTTTTCTTTTAAATTCTTCAAGAAATGTCGGGGAATCGTCAGACACGATATTCTGGAAGCTTTTAGAGAGTTCCATGATTCTGGTTCTCTTCCTAATTGCGCAACTCACTCCTTCATATGCCTGGTGCCTAAGAAGGATGCTACGGAAGAAATCAAGGATCTCCGTCCCATTAGTCTGATGGGAAGTGTGAATAAACTCATATGCAAAGTGCTATCTAAGAGACTTGGTCATGTTCTCTCTTCTGTGGTGTCCGAGTTTCAGCAAGCATCAGTACAAGGAAAGCAAATTTCAGAAGCAGGGCTTCTCGCCAATGAGTTAGTTGATAGTAGAAGAACGAGCAGGAAGCCAAGCCTAATGCTTAAGCTAGATATTGAAAAAGCCTTTGATAATGTGAATTGGAGTTGTCTTTTCAAGGTCCTAGCGAGGCTGGGTTTTGGAGAAAGGTAGAAGAAATGGATTCAAATTGATGTTTGTTCTCCTACTCTTTCAATCTTGGTCAATGGAGAATCTAAAGGTTTTTTCCCTTCTCAAAAAGGGCTTAGGTAAGGGGATCCGTTATCCCCAGGGCTGTTTGTTCTTGTTATGGATATTCTGTCCTATATGTTAAACAAACTCAAGGAAGAAAGAAAGATCAAAGGTTTCTTTATGGATGAAGAAGGGCGGAAGGGGGAAGTCACTCATCTTCTATTCGTTGATGACACACTCATCTTTTGCGATATTTCTCATGATCATATACTTCATATTACAGCCACTCTCGCTTGCTTTCAGGCTATGATGGGTTTGAAAATCAATATGGATAAAACAGTTTTATATACTGTAGGAGAGACTTCTGAACCTGAATTCTTCATTGATATCATTGGTTGTAAGTGGAACTCCAACCCACAAAAGTATCTTGGATACCCGCTTGGGGCGAAGCTCAATTGCAGATCTTTCTGGGACTCAATAGTGGAGAATTATCAAAAGCGACTTCAAAGATGGAGCAATAGACATCTTTCAATTGGGGGTAGGCTGGTTCTCATCAAATCTGTCCTTTCGAGCCTCTCCGTGTATTACTTTTCGTTGTTCAAAGCCTCAAAAAGTGTTATTTCTAATCTCGAAAGAATGCAGAGGGACTTTTTATGGAGCGGGGCTGGTGATAAGAAGAAAATTCCACTTGTATAGTGGGAATTATGCAAAACTCAAAAGGATAAAGGAGGTATGGGTATTGTGGATCTTGCCTCTTTCAACAGTGCTATGTTATGCAAGTGGATTTGGAAATACACAGTCAATAGGAAAGGATGGTAGAGGTCCCTCATTGAAATAAAAAACTCAGATGGGAGGTCATAGTGGCAAACGGGCTGCATCACTGGGGGTCGATCAAGTTCTGTCTGGGCCAACATTATGCGGGAGAGCGAACGTTTCTGGAATTTTGCTCATATTGATCCCGGGAATGGCGCTAATGTCTACCTTTGGTTCAACCGATGGAATCTTGATCCCACTCTCGCTGACACCTTTCCACGAGTTGCCGCCATTGCCTCATTGCCGGAATCCAGGATCAGCGACGTCGTGGATCTCTCAAGTGACAATTTAGTTGTTAATATAAGCATTAATGTTGTTTTGAGAAGGGGGCAGAGCAAGAGAGGTTGAATTTACTTTCGATCCTTAATTCTTATGATTATCATTCCAGAGCTAACATTCCTTGCAGAGTTGTTTGGCAGCCTAATGCAGAGGATGGCTTCTCAGTTAATTCCATGTACAAGGCCTTAATTGAGGAAAGGTTTCCTGGGGTTCCCAATTTCCCTTCGGCTTCAGTATGGAGGAAGATTGTTCCTGAGAAGATTTGTGTGTTCATGTGGAAAGTTGCACATAGAAGGATTTTGACCCTTGATAGATTACAGAAACGCGGATGGCTGTGAGCTTTGCTATAAGAAGGAAGAAACCACTAATCATTTACTTGTTGGTTGCAGTTTTACCAAGCAAGTGTCGAATGATATTCAGAAGGATTGCAGGCATATAAATCTCCGTATTGATGTCGATCTCGAGTCCACTATAAAGAACTAGCCGGTTGCTGTTCTTAACAGCATTGATGGTTGCGTCAGATACTGTGCTTTTCATGGTGTTTCTTGGTTCACTTGGCTAGAACGTAACCAAAGGATTTTTCACAATGCCTTGACATCGCCGGATCGTATTGCTAGAAGAGTGATGATGAATATTACAAGGTGGATTGTCGCCAAGGGTAAAGCCGATCGTAATACTGTTGCGGGTTGGCTTCAGACCTTTCTGTAGTAGTTTAACTAGGGTATCGTCGACTCCGTTTTGTTCCTGTCTGTTGTTCCATTGTCGAAGGATGCTCCTGGGCGTGGCTTTGTGGTTGTAAGAGGCTTTTGAAGGATGCCCTCTAGTGGCTGGCCCTGACTCTTCTTTGTTGTTCTCGACGTTTTGGCACAGGCTGGATCTCTTTGTTTGTTTTGGTCTTGTTTGACCCTATTTGGCCTTTTCATTTATTTCCTGGAGGGCTTTTGGTTTGGTTTGGCCCTGTTTGCTGGGGCATGAGACTTGCTGGTTGTTATTCTTTGCGGGTTCCAGTGTTTTTTTTTCTTGGTTTGTTGGAGCAGGGGCCCTCTGGTGGGTCAAGCTCGTTTTGTTTGTTGTCTGGTTTTGTTAGTCCTTTTCCTTTTCTCTTTACGGTGCACTACTTGTGCACGGCTTTGTATCGAACTCCTGTTTCTTTTCTTTAATTTCATTCACCTTTATAAAAAAAATACACGTACGTATTTTATACATAACTTACCCGAACATATTTTACTAACTATATTTCTGTATTTAGTTAGGGTTATTATACGAGTGAATCATTATACTCTATACAAACCCTACGTGAGTTCAGTAATAACACACAAGAGTTCCACCGAACTCTAGTTTATCAGCATGGTATCAGAGTCTGGTTCCAAGATCCAAAAACCCTAAACCACTTTATTTCTTTTTGTTCCACCGCCGACCACCATGAGCCCTCATTTTCGCGGCTACACCATTCCGCTTGCTTTAATTCTTTTCTTTGTAAGCGTTCCACGGTTCATAACAAATCCATATTAGTAATAGAGTTATTATAGATAGGGATGTACAAACACAACTGTAAACCGACCCATCCATGCCAACCAAACTCAATCCAACCCGAATTTCACGGTTCTAGAGAGGAAATGGGTGGGTGTGGGTGTTGATATTGAAAATGAAACCTGAACCCAATGATTCCCTGGTCGGATATGGGTTTGGGGTGCCGACACCCGGGAAACCCGAGAGTATTTATTTCCTCTAATTTAATCATTTACTACCTATACATGCCTTTATTTCGTAGACTTTTGCCTTAGTCCATCTATTATTCTTTTGGGCTTTTTACTACTATTTCTTAGCCCCTTCCACCTACTACTGTTTTTACGATTGGATGGGAATCATAATAAGGCAATTGGGCAACTTTGAAAACAACGTTGGGAGGATGACTTTTCTTTTTCATTTTTATCCTTTGTTGCCTTCCTGAACTCTAGTATATACCTCATTAATAGCTCATTACTCAAGTTTATAATTTATAATAGACTAGGGAGGTGGTAGCCTCTCTTCCTAGCGGCTCTGTGATTGGGTATTTGGGTTGTTAACTTTTTATTGTAAGCTCGTCCAACTCTTTGTAAATATGGGCCATTAATCTTTAGTGGAACCGGATATGATGATAGAAATAAATTACTTTATTTTCTCAATTTTTCTTAATTAGGTTTTATTTTTCATATAATTTGGATTTCAAAACTTTTTTAAACAGATTGACCGCGTTCGTTGTGATATGCAAAATGAGATCATTTTCATTTTTCAATATATTTTAAGAATAAAATTGACACCATTCTTTACCACCTTGGTATCACTTTTGTTTTTAACTCGAATTTAAGAAAAAAAATTATAAAAAGAAATGAGATTATTGTGATCAATTAGATATAAAAATTTATGGACCAAATAAACCACCATGTACCACCTTGGTATAGGGTGGTAACTGGTGGTAGACAATAATGAAATGTGTTAAATGACAGCTCTTATATTTCTACTACCATGTATACAACTATTATACACTATAATATATTCATATCATTCTTGTAAACTTCTATATACATGGTATAACTTAGGATTGGCTATTTGGTCCAACCTTTTTAGTTTTACCCGAAACCGAACCGTATAACCCGGACCGGATAGTAAACAATCCAATCCAATCTTCGAGCCTAGATTTAAGGTAAAAAATCGTTTGGGACCCGACCAAAAATTGGATAAAGACCGGATAAGAGAGCCCAACACCCAAAATTTAACCTCCTCACGTTTTCGGGCCTTAGGCCACTCAAATCCCCGCAAGCTCAATCTAAAATCAAGACCAAATTGGGACCGGACCGAATCAAGACCGGACTAGATCCCATCCAATCTTTGGTCCTTATATTCTCGAAAAGACCAGAATCGAACTGGATTAATTCGGGCCAATTTAATTAGACCGGACCGTATAACAACTTTCATTAAAGCATAATATAAAAAATATGCAGCCGTTGTGCAGCTTTCATACATGTTTGGAATTTATAACCAATACCACCAAACTTGACGATCACTCCTTTGAACTCCATGGCTACCTGACTTGTTTGTTTGTTTTTTTTACGAAATGGCTACCTGATTATTGATATCTTCCAAAAAAAATGAAGCGAGACGCTCTCGCTTCTCTCTTCTGCTTCTGGAGAAAGTGCGGGGAAACCCTGCTCGCTCTTGTGAAGGCGGCTATGGCGGTGTGCATCAGCAATGATCGACACACGCGCGCCTGGTCATTCTTGTGGCCTAAACCTGGAACGCCGCCGGCTGGCCGCCCCGAAAGTGGGTTTGGAAAAAATGCCGCCTTTGCCCTGCACCCACGCAGACACTGCAGATCTTGGGTGATAACCGGCCACGAAAATCAAACATGCCACTCTCAAATAAGGAGTGGTATACGGAAGATGGGAACCTACCCGAATCTGATCGGTGGTTCCGTCAAACGAAAAAAAATATGAAAAAACTGTTAAAGGGAAAGCCTTATGGCGATTTACGCTTCCATCTTTAATGGAGTTGGATGATGTTGAGTGTGCAGACAGTGGGTTGCCCAATGTGATGACATCGATGGAACCCTTGTGTACCACCATCGGAGGAGTCCATGTCATGGGTACTCAAGCGAACTCCGTGGGTAGTCACTGATAAGATTCTTCACCTTCGTTCGTGGATCCCTAATATCTCGAAGAGTATTTATACGGAGATGGCTATGGTCCCTTTGCGCGTTCAGTTCTGGAACGTCAAGGAGGATTGATGCACTCCTCAGTTTGGGAGAAAAATGGTGGCTAGTACGCTGGGTCAGGTTCTGGAGACTGGTGTTTTTGCTAGTCATGAGACTGGAGAATATTTTGTGAAGGTCCGAACAGTGATGGACCTCACAAAACCCCTCCGCTCACAAATCATGGCTACCAGTGATGATACGGGAGGCTTATGGGTGAATTATAAATATGAATATCTCCCGACTTTTTGCTACCGCTGTGGCCGAGTGGGACATGCCAACCGCAATTGTACTTTTGATCTGCCGGCTGGTAAGGAAAGGTTCGGGCCCCACATGACGACCAAGAAGTTGGGAACCAGGGTCTATGATGCTGATGAGAGACCTCAGCAATTCCGGGGGCCCTCGCGGTCAGTCTAGGTCAATCATGACTTGCGAGATCGACGCGAAATGCAACCCGCCCAGTCGATGGAAGTAGAGGAGGCCGGAAAATTGGAGAATTCCCAAGACTCGGGTACTGCTGGGGTGCCTGCTTATTGTGCCAATTTACCCGTGCGTAGCCCTCGTTGGTTCCCTGTGCCTAAGTCTCCGAAAGTAAGGCTGGCCAGGGGCAGTCGTAATCGAACTCCCAAGAAAAATTCCACAGCTGCGGGTCGCGCGCTTTCTACCGTCCCTGATCGAGGAGCTGGCGATGGGAAAGGCAGGGGGCAGGCCCGGGCTGCTGCTGCTGGGCCCATGACCCGGTCTGTCTTGGTGGGCGTTTCCCATGACAGAGAGGATTCGATGAAGGCTGCACGTGCTGAAGATGCGAGGGCTCCTGTGGCCTGTGAAGAGCAGGCCCATCCTGCGGCTGCTGGAGCGAAGGCCCACCGGCGTCGACTCATTCTTTCGGATTCGGAGGATGAGACTATGGAGAGGCCCAGTGTCGACCCCCCAAAGCTGAAGAAAAAAGGAAAAGCGGGGATGGGAGGAAGGATGAGGCTGTTGAAGGTGGCCGCCAAAGATGTGAACATGGATGGTTTAAATATGGCTCGGCACCATAACAGCCCACCAGCTTCTGGGCAAGTTGATACAAGGCTGGCTGAGTCTGATAAAAAGAAGCAGGGTTGGATGTGGAGAGGAGAGGGCGCAAGCTACGACACTCGGAGGTGGTGGCTGAGGAAGGAGTATATAGCTTGCCAATTAAGGCAAGTTCTCCGCCTAGCCATACTGTGGATGGTGCGATGGCCAAATCCCCCTCCAGTGCTTTGGTGGATTCGGCAGCATCCTTGTCGGAGGAGGAGGACAATTTCTTTGAGGTTAAAAGCCGAGTCCCTACATGTGACATGGGCGATTCTCGCACCATGCACGGGAGGGTCCAGCAGGTTGTAGCCGCTTTTGATTCGAGGGTGCTGCTTAAGGATGATGAGGAAACTCTCTATACAAAACGAGTGAGTTCGGAGGATGGGGATGGTGATAGGGAAGGCTATGGGTTGGCGGTGAGGGTTGATCCTGTGCTAGATGAATATGGTACGAATCTCCAGCAACCAGCCCTGATTTGCCATAAGCGCTCATTTGAGGAAGTGGAAGGGGACGTGGGGGAGGACCCTATTCCGAAAAAGCGATCTGTGGAGGATAATTTTGAAACGGTGGAGGAAGCCAGCCGAAAATGGCCCCAGGCAGATAAATGAGGCTTCTCACCTGGAACGTGCGTGGGATTGGGCCCTCCCTCACGTTCCAAACAGCGGTTGGGTTAATTCATTCCAATAAACCGGACCTTGTTTTCTTTTCGAAAACAAGATCGCGCCAGAGAGTAGTTTCCCGTCGTATGCGGGGGTTAGGTTTTGATATTTCTCATTGTTTTTTTGTTGACGCTATCAGTTCGTCTGGTGGTCTTGTTCTTGCTTGGGACCCTGAGGTTGATGCCTCAGTTTTTTTTCATTCCAACTTCTGTATTTGTGTTCGGATTAATGAAGTGGATTTTTCTTACGCTGTGGTTTTTGTTTACATTATTTGTAATGCCGCAATAAGAGCTACCCAATTGGCTCATCTTCAGGACATTTGTTCCAACTTGCAAGTACCTTTTGTGGTTATTGGAGACTTTAATTCTACTCTTCACGAGGGTGAGAAGGATGGGGGCAATCAATGGAATGCGGCTCAGGCTATTAGCCTCGAGATTTTATCCACGATTGTTGCCTCCATGATCCAGGTTTCCAGGGTGACCAATTCACTTGGACAAATAAGCGGATGGGCGTGGCTTGTGTTCGTGAACGGTTGGACAGAGCCCTTTGCTCCCAACATTGGATGGATCAGTTCCCAAACACTCTGGTGAAGCATTTTACGGACCAGGGCTCGGATCATCGGGCTCTTCTCCTTTCTGATAAGCCCTATGTCCGCAATAGGCGTCCTCTTTTCCGGTTCGATGCTCGTTGGGATGATAATCCAGAGGTTAGGGCAATGGTTCGATATGTCTGGGCGGAGCTGGCCCATGGGACTCCTATGTAAGACTGTGGGAAAGGACGAAAAGGCTTCGCCATCTGTTATACGATTGGAGTAGAGCTGGAACCACTAATTCCCTCCGGAATATCAAAACACTCCAAGCTGAAATTGATCGGATCAAGTCTATCCATCCAATAGACTGGGATGAGGTAAAAACCCTCGAACTGGAGCTTAGCAGACAGTGGGAGGCAGAGGAAATATACTGGCAACAGAAGTCGCGAGTAAATTGGCTTAAAAAGGGCGATAAGAATTCCTCATACTTTCATACGGTCACGAGGGGCTCGTCGAAAGAGAAATTTTGTGACTAGATTCCGGAGTGAGAATGCGGAGTGGATATCTGATGAGACCGGGAAAGCAGCAATTGCTAATTCCTTTTACCATAACCTTTTCACGTCTGAGAACCAGGTTCACGACATGGCAAATATGGTAGGTGATCTCCCTATTGCCCATTGTGTGACTCCTAAGATGAACGCTACTCTTACCGCTGAGGTCTTGCCGGCGGAAGTTCCGAGTACTGTGTTTTCAATGGGGTCAAAACAGGCACCGGGTTCTGATGGTTTTACGGGAAGTTTTTCAAGGCCTTTTGGGATATAGTAGGTGACTCGGTCATTGAAGCGGTCACGTCCTTCTTCACGACAAGTCGGATGCTGCGAAGTTTCAATCATACTTTGTTAACTCTGATCCCTAAGGTGGACAATGTCGAAAACATCAAGCAGCTGCGCCCGATTAGTCTATGTCAATTTGTGTATAAGATTATTACCAAGATTATGGCAGAAAGACTGGCGGGGTTCTTACCTGATATTATTTCGGAAGGTCAAAATATTTTCATTCGTGAAAGATAGATAGTTGATAATATCCTCCTTGGTCACGAGTTAATGCACTATCTTAAAATCAAAACCCGAGGGAAGAAAGGATACATGGCTCTGAAGGTTGACATGGAAAAGGCCTATGATAGAGTTGAATGGTCCTTCCTGCTGGCGGTTTTGGAAAAGATGGGGTTTGATGCCAGGTGGCGAGGTTGGATACACGAGTGCCTCCGGTCCGCCTCTTTTTCGGTTATGATGAATGGTACTCCTTCGGGCTATTTTGCGCCTTCCCGGGGACTTCGTCAGGTTGACCCCTTATCCCCTCTTTTGTTTGTCATTTTCTCAGAGGGGTTTGCGGCCCTGCTCAGAAAGGCAATCTTGGTAGGCAATCTCGAGGGGGTAAAGGTGGCACCCCACGCTCCTCGCATTTCGCATCTATTTTTTGCAGATGACTCCTATCTCTTCTTGCGAGGCTCTCTCCAAGAGTGCGAGAATCTCATTGAGGTGTTGAATGAATATGAGGAGTTGAGCGGTCAAAGGGTGAACCTGGAAAAGTCTGCGGTATGCTTTAGCAAAAATATTGTTGTACCCGATCAGGAGTTTCTGGCTCAGATTTTGGGCGTGGGAGCAGTTGGGGTCCATGATAAGTACCTTGGGCTCCCAACCTTGATTGCTTGATCAAAAACGGCCACGTTCCGTTATATTGAGGAGAGATTGTTGGCTCGCTTACAAGGATGGAAGCAGAAAACCCTGTCCTGGGCTGCTAAGGAGACGTTGATTAAGTCTATTGCGCTGGCCCTGCCGTTACATGTAATGTCTTGTTTTAAGTTACCTCTCTCCCTGTGTCAGTTGCTAGATAAACATGTGGCCCGGTTCTGGTGGGGTGAAGGGGAAGACCGCCAGAGGATCCATTGGATTTCTTGGAGGGCTATATGTCAAAGTAAGCATGATGGGGGTATGGGATTTAGGAGGTTTGAGCAGTTTAATCAGGCATTGTTGGCCAAGATCGGGTGGCGTATTCTTAATGAGCCTCAATCTCTGTTAGCCCAAGTCTATAAGGGCAAGTACTATCCTAGAGGGGAGTTCCTGTCCGCCACGGCTCGTTCTCGCCCCTCGTGGGGGTGGCAGAGTATTCTCTATGGCCGACAATTGCTAGATATGGGTCTTCAGTGGCAGATTGGGAATGGCCATTCGTCTTCTCTTCTTAATTCCAATTGGATTCCGCGGCTGCACCCTGTTCTTCCAGTCTATAATCCTCAGGTGTTGCCGGATGGGGGGGACCTGAAAGTAGCGGAGGTCATCTGTCAAGAGGAGGGGCGATGGTGTGATCGCAAACTTATTCAATGGTTTGACTCACCCACATGTCAGGCTATTAAAGTAATCCCTCTTCCTCGCCAGGATGTTCCGGATAAACTAATTTGGCATGCGACCAGTGATGGGTTTTCACTGTTAAATCTGCCTACCATTTTGCTGTGCTCTTGGATAAATAGATTGGGAGGTGGCGGGACAGGGTTAGTTGGCTGGATCGACCTAGTTGGATTCGTTTGTGGGAGGCTAATATCCCGCCCAAGCTTAAGGTCTTTGTATGGCAGATTTTTTCTAGAATCTTGCCAACTATAGAGGCCTTGCGGGAGAAGAAGGTCCTGGTTCTCCCTCGGTGCCCGGTGTGCTGGGCAGAGACGGAGACAATGGAGCATCTGTTTCTTGATTGTCCGGTGGCAAGGGCTCTCTGGGATTATGCTGGGTTGGAGTATCTAGGTCAAGGTCTTCCGCGACATACTTTTCCGCTCTTTCTAAAAAGAGTGATGATGTTGATCCAACAACCCTCTTTGTTTCTTAAGGTGGTTATAGAACTCTGGCAAATTTGGCGCTCACGTAACTGGGTGGTTTTTTAGGGAAAGCAGTTTGGGTTCCCAGCCTTAGTAAGGCAGCTTAACCAGCAGTTTGATGAATGGGATCGTCCGCCGAAGGACTGACACGGTAAAACACAACACATGGCCAAGTGTAACCAATGAAAAGCACTGCAGTATAGTGGCACAAGTAATAAATATCGAATCCACGGGTCTCTAGAGTTACTATTACTCAGCTTCAGTTCATTATCTAGCAAACTAGATTAAGGATTGATTTATAAATTACTCTACTAACTACTCTACTAATTACAAGCTGGGAACTCACTTAGGTATGATTCCCCCTAGCTCCTCAATTAGGTCCAAGTTGCAATTACTTTTGGTTGGTCTACTATTGATTAAACTGCGGAAGATCCGACAGTAGCTTGGAATCTCTTAAGCTGACCAAGCCCTCTTAGTCCAACTACCCGGCAGGCGACTAACCTTCACCGGGATAGAAAGCTGAGGCTATGAACACAGAACTCCACTACCGGAATTGGATTCCAGTACAAAGCAGTAGATTGACTAACTCTCGTATAACCAATTCACCACCATCAATCAAGGAAGCTCTCTTAACCTAATCAGATTCTATCTATCATAGGTTAAAGCAGAAATTAAGAGAATTTGATCAAGATTCAATTGACTCAATAAATCATGCCTCAATCGATTATAATCAAACAATATAGCATCCAAAACTTCATACAAGAAAGATCCTAACACATGGAACTAGGGTTCCTCAAAACCTAAGTGAAGGGAAGTTACTCCATACAGAAGAGAGAGACTGCAGAAATCTGATCTAGATCTTCAATCTCCATCTCCAAGCTTGATTCCCGAGCTCCAATGGCAAAGAAATCCTCCAAAATAGATCCAAGAATGTTCCCAAGTCGCTCTCTCTCTCTCTAGGGTTCGTCCCTTGGGTGTTTGGGATCCAAAAACCCAGCTCGCCCCTTTCCTTTGGCTGAAAATCGAGTTTTCAACAGAAATTCCCGATCACGCGGCCAGGCCACATGGCCGTGTGGCTTTCCCAGCTGCCCGTGTGAAGGCTCGGTGATTTCCACACGGCCACGGCCCACAAAGCCGTGTGGAATTCCAGGATGCCCGTGTGGCTTGCTCAGCCTCTGTTTAATGCCTCGTTTCTCCCTCGTCCGGACTCCGAATCAGTCCCTGTTTGATCCCAGATGCTCGTAGTCTCGTCCTCTTTCTTTTCATGACAAGCTTGAATGATTATTTGTCCATAAAGTGAGGTAGAAATCCATTCTTCTTCAGGTCATGCCCTAGTTTCTTCTCCCGAATCGTCAATTGATCTCTGATTAATTTGAAACTTGCGCCTATGCTTCACTTTATGTGCTAGGACCTGAAATATGACAAAGGAACACAACCTAGCATAAAATAGGACAAAGACGCAATAATTCAAGCTCAAACAATCAAGTCCTATTTTATGCTAGGTTGTGTTCCTTTGTCATAAAATAGGACAAAGACGCAATAAGCTCAAACAATCAAGTCCTATTTTATGCTAGGTTGTGTTCCTTTGTCATAAAATAGGACAAAGACGCAATAATTCAAGCTCAAACAATCAAGTCCTATTTTATGCTAGGTTGTGGCCGAGTCATCAAGGACCGTGCGACCAATGCTGATCGGCCACAGGTGCACCCAGTGGGACTAGATGGGCCGCAGGAAACGGTTTGTAGGTGGGATGGGGCAACGAAGAGTGGTTCGCATTCAGCTGGTGGGATGGTTATTATGAATCAGGCTGGGGAGATCATTTTTGCTAATGGGGTCCAATTTCGGATGATCTATGACCCTCTGGTGGTGGAAGTCCTGGCCCTCCGTGAGGCGGTTAATTGGTGTCGTGATCATGCATTCACGGTGGTTCGGTTTGAAGGGGATGCCAAAGTGTTCATAAATAAGATCTTGCTTGCTGATGCCAAGGATAACCGAATGGGAGCGATTCTTCAAGAGGTCATTCAATGCTTTGCCAGTAATCCGGGGTTTAGTGTGAGATTTGTAGGTTGGGATAATAATAGGGTAGCCCACTTAGAGGCTCGGAAAGCCCTCTCTTTGTATCCGTCTATGAGTCGTGTGTTTGATTATCAGACCTGGCTGAATTCCAGGATGTAACTACCTATTTTTCTGGTCAATATATGATTATCTTTTGTCAAAAAAAAATTATTGATATCTTCCACCTCCCTCCACTATTGTAACCACGTGTTGAGAAAGTACTTGCAGGTCACCAAAATTAGATGACAGTGGCACAACTTAGAGAAACTCTTATGCAACAGTAATCTACTTATAACTTTAATAATACTCATGGATGTTTTCTATGCTAATTAAGCAGCGAGCATTTTGCTTAGAGTTGAGATTGGGTTGACTCTTATATCCGAACCAATCCAAACCGTTGGGTTTTGATTTTATTGGGTGGGTTTGAGTTTCATGTTGTGTAAACCGTGGTGTATGGATTGGGTGACGAAAGTGATCAAAACCCGACCCATGTACACCCCAAATTATAGGAGTCCTTTATTGTACTCTATATAAATCCTATGCGATTTCAGTAACTAGACACAACAATTCCACCAAATTCTGATTTATCGACAGTTTCGCTAGCTAAAGAGTCCTTGTAGGTTGACGGAAGCCCATCCTAACAAATCGACAACACGAACATGCCGTTGTTTTCAAGGAGGTGATGAAAACTAAAAAAGTTGGTGGCCACCTCCTCGATCGATCGACACCTATTTGCCCCTCTCATCCTCTCAGTTCAAGGAAGACAAGAATTTGGCCGGCCAGAGGAGAAAATCAGGGATACCGGTGGTGTCAACAACCAAAATGACCAGGAACACCGCCTTCATCCTCCTCTCCTTCATTCGGACAACCATTAGGATATGTCATAACCAGTTGGTCCCAATAACTCGAGTTGTTAGGAGAGATTCAATCGTGTATCATATACCACACACTAACACTGTCATAAACCAGTTGGTCCCAATAACTCGAGTTGTTGGGACCATTTGGTTTATGACATGGTATCAGAGCTGGTTTGGCCAAGTTGTCATGTGTTCGAATATCCATGATCCCCAATATTAACAGTTGATTAAAGCACAAGGTATGGTGGGCGTGTGCAAACTTCAAACACGTGAGTGGGCTTTCGTTTGAGGGGGCGTGTAATAGTGTGGTATAAGATCCAACATAATTTTCTCCCAACAACTCGAGTTATTGGGTCCAACTAGTTTATTACATGGTATCAGAGCTGGTTTGACCAAGTGGTCGTGTGTTCGTATCTCCACTACCCCCAATATTAACCGTTGATAAAAGCACAAGGTATGGTGGGTCTGTGCAAACTTCAACCCCGTAAGTTGGCTTTCTTTTGAGGGGGAAGTGTAAGAGAGTGGTATAAGATTCATAATAATCTTCTCCCAACAACTCGAATTATTGGGACCAACTGGTTTATGACAAGATAGACTGCTACATTGACAGGGAACTGGGGCTCGGATAGACCGCTACATTGGGTATTGGTTATAATCATAGATATAGTAGTATAGTGTTATTGAGATCTCGTCCATCCTACCACGTACTTATGGAGGTTATTCATCGTAACATACTTCATCCAAAAATATCAACTTTTTGAGTAATTTTAGGAGGGATATTTTTGTCAACAAATTATTAGTAATTAAATAATTATCATGAATCTAAAAAACCAAAGTTTCCTACTTTTTCTATCATTCTCAAAGTTTCCGCAAGAAAAGCTTCCTCATTCATTTTCTCCGTATAGAATTTGGGATAATTAATAATGATTATTTTTATATGAATTTAATCAAGTTTTTTTAGAACGCAAGTATACCAATGATAGGAATTCTAGACAAATGGCAGGCCAAGCCCAAAACTAGAACTAATTAAACGTGATACGATTATAGGTATACAGTAATTATAATTTTGTTAAATAAGAGTAAAAATAATAAGAGATTGCTTATCCTATTATATTTATGTTAATACATTATTTTAGATTAAAGTAATTCCACAAAAATAAAAATAATCCAACCATCAGACAACCCATCAACAAACAATAAGGATTTGATCAGATCTTATTCACCTAGCCAAGTAATCATTAAATTTCAATAAAATACATCAATCCAACTATGCGATGATATTTCGACCATACCAACTTATAAGTAATGTCATAAAAAACATAATGAGATTGACAACAAGTGAAATCAAAGAAGATTTCTTTTAGGCCATGGTTAGTCGGTTACTATGCTTTGTATAATAGCAATCATTTAAAATTCACTTCAATTTCATGTTGTTGATAGAAAATCAATAGAAATTAGAAAGAAGTACAAAATAAATTTTATAGTAATTTTGACAAAAAAGTGGTAAATAAATCAAAGTGTGGTTTTTCAAAATTTTGTAATAGTCGATTTCATTACATGAGTTTTTTTAGCTATTTGTAAATGAATCATTTAGTATGTTCGAGACCTCAATATCAAATAAAAATTATCTTACTTCACACAATTATCATTATTGATTATGTATTATTGACGAAATATATTCGTCCAACGGGCGAGCCCAAACCTAGTCTATAATCATAGATAGGGCTGGTAAACGGTACGGTAACCGGTTTACCGTTTTACCGGTTTCGGTATAACCCAAATTACCCAAACTGGCGCCGCAAGCCGATACCAGCAGGGCCTCGGTATACCGCTTACCGATTTATTCGGTGTCGGTAAGGGACGAGGCATCCCGAGCAACCGTGAAGCCCGCTGTCCGCCTGTCCGCCTGTCCCGCTGTCCCTGTCCCGCCAGGCGTACACAAATACACAATGTAAGGATGTATCATCATTCATCCATCAACAGACGACAGCAAAAGCAAATCGCCAAAAGCTGCCACTTGCCCACTTGAGACTTGAGTCACTTGACCACTTCCCTTTCTCTCCACTCCATATCCCCAGACGCTAAGACCCCACTCCCCAAAATCCAACAATTAAATTTGAAATAGCAAATTGCAAAATGCAAATAGCCAAAATGCCAAATAGTAAAGTCTACAAAATAAGATCACATATAGGTAGACTATTGCATTAGTCCATTACGTACAAGTTACAACGTAAAATTCCAAATAGAGCAAATAGAGCAATTTAGTTTGCTGCTTCTAAATGTTTAAATTAAATTTTAAGACATGAAGATAAAAATAGAATTAATAGTTCCTCACTTGCCACTAGGACCTGTACCACCATTACTTATTCGAAGGTCCACCAACATCAACAAAACCTTGCTGCTTCAAAGTGGTGCGAAGGTTATCATCACCATTATCCTCCTCATCCTGGTCCTCCTCATCCTCGTCTGAATCTTCCTCCTCTTCCTCCTCCACCACAACAGGTAAACTTTGTTTGACACCTTCACTTGTCGTGGCAGTAGCACTCTCCATTCGAGCTTGGAAGTTATTAGTGACTAGGTGTAACAAAAAAATACAAATTGTTAGAATTCATCTAATAATATGTAATCGGAAAATGAGTAATGGAATACTTAAAAGTAAATGAAATTATGAATTCTTACCACTTTCAAAATCTATTTGGTCTTAATTTTCATCTTCTGTATCATCAACTTTGTCTGCTTTCTTCCCTCCTTCATACCTTAACCAACCTTCAGCACAAATCAAGGCCTCTACAATGGTGGGGCTCAACGAAGACCTAAACGGGCTGAGCACTCGACCTCCACAACTGAAAGCAGCCTCTGAGGCAACAGAGGAGATTGGAACAACTAGGATATCCTTAACCATCTGGGAAAGAATAGGATATCTAACGCTGTTCTTACTCCACCACAACAAGATGTCAAACTTCATATCATTATCATTCTCGTTAATAGCATCATCAACATCTCTTAAGTAGATGTCTAGCTCAGAAGAACCTCGAATCCCCCTATGAAGTTTCTCCTTTATCATCTTAAAGAATTCGGCATCAAATGTCCCTCCATAAGATGCAGATCCAGTACCATCATCAGCACTAGGAGTGGTCTGAACAGTAAGCTCGGAGGGTTGAGGTGCATACTTCAATCTGTAAACCTCAAACATTGCAGTCATCTCTGCAGTCACATCTTTCATCAATTCGTCTCTTTTCTTCTTCCCATACATCTTATCCCACATCTAATACATATAAGCCATTTTACGCCTAGGATCTAGCACACAATCCATGTAAACCAGCCTATTTATCCTTAGGTTCTCCACCTCTTCATCATCATCATCATTCTCAAACCAATATTTTCGTACCTTTGCCTCCATTCTTGCTGCCATCCGTTGTATCTCTACATCCATGTCTTTCTTAAAAAGTTCTATCACTTCATAGATGTCAGCAATAGCCTTGAAGAAAGTATGAGCAGTCACATAAGATGTTCCTGATACATCCAAAAATAACAACAAATTATTCACAAATTAGTTGAATTACAAGTTGAATCACAAAAGAGTTATGTTTGTTCACATACCTGATACCCGAAAGGTGAGCTCATAAAAGAACTTCAAATACTTCATTAGCCGTCGAATACTGGTCTAATCTTCCTTAGTTGGAAGACCTCTCTTTGAGTCCACATAATCCCGAAATGCAGAATCATTGGGGCTTCCATGCAAGAAGTTAAAGACAATCTCAAACCTTTCTGCAGATTCCAACATCAAATAAGTTGAGTTCCACCTAGTTGGAACATCCAAAGATAGAAGTCTTCTTCCATCCATTGATAGATAATCAATGGTAGATTTGAACTTTGCACTTCTACCTGGTGATGACTTCACCCATTTAACACAATCTCGAACCCTTTCTACAGCAACTCCAATCTCCTTCAACCCATCTGACACAACCAAATTGATTATATGTGCCACACATCGAAATTGCAAATACTTCCCACCAATCAAATCTGCTCCCCACTCTTTCATCTTTGTTCTCATACACTCTGCAAGAACATTATTAGAAGAAGCATTATCCATGGTAATGGAGAACAACTGTTGTGCTTTCCAATCTTGTAGACATTCTGCCAATTTTTCTGCAATGTCCTTCCCTGTGTGACTAGTGATGGGAACAAAGATAATGATCCTCTTCTGCAACTTCCAGTCACTCCCAATGAAATGAGCAGTCACACACATGAAATTCTGGTTGTTATCAGAAGTCCATGTATCTGTGGTGATAGAAATTCTTCCTTTGCACTTGGATTTGAAGAACTCAGATAGCAACTCATTTTTCTCCAAAAAGATTATATAGCAATCCTGCCTTATTGTCTGTCTTCCAGGTATCACAAACAATGGTTGGGTTACCGCCATAAATCTCTTAAACCCATCATGCTCAACAAAGCGAAATGGCTGCTCATCCAAGATGATCATAACAGCTAATGCAGTTCTAGCTCTTTGCTGATCAAACTTCCATGGAGTAAGAGAGCCTACCTCACCATCCCCAGGTTGATAGTTCAATAGTGACTGACCACTGACTTCCTTCCTCTTCCTCTCACATGCCAAGTGATGTTGCTTCAAACCAGAAGTCTTGTTATTGGTCGAGTGAGCTTTGATCAACGGTCCACATTGTTTGCATTTTCCATATGGGTAGTCATCCACCAGAACCTCATCATAAGGAGTCCACCACAGGGACTTCTTCTTCCTTTTAGTCACCTTCACAATTTTCTTTGCCTCACCCACTTCATCTGCTCCCCTTCCCATATCAGTCACCTGTGTAGGCGTGGCAGCTACAGGAGGTCCAGTAGCAGGTGGAGATGTAATGGCATTGGTAGGTGTAGGTGTAATAGATGAGACATTCACTCGAATCCCGTCTGCAGCTCCAACGAGCACACACTTTTTTGGAAGTGGTTCGAGGAGGAATTGAACCACTTTTTTCGGAGCATCTCCTTTACGAGGACGAGAAGATTTCGTCCTACAACAAAAAGAAAAAATGTAAAAAATTAAAAATCATAAAATTGCCAACATGCCAAAAAGGCAAAAAAGGCATAAACATTAATTCTTACATTTTTGTACTTGGTTTCTCAAGTAACTAAATTAGTACAAATTAGATAGAGCCTCTATTTAACCTGCAAAAATGAAAAGCAAACTATTATTAGTTAATACTTAATAATCAACAAAATGAATTAAACCTCTGAACTCAGCTAATCAAACAACAAAACAAGTTGTGGATGGAAGAAGACCACATTTTCAATGCATGCGTGAATGGAAGCCAACTGGCTACTGCTGCTCGGCTAATTAAACAAGTCAGCTAATGAAAGAAGGCCACCTTTTCAAAACAACAAAACAACTTGTAATTCAACCCTCTAAACTTAGCTAATTAAACAACAAAACAATTGAATTAAACCTCTGAGCCTCTATCTCCTTTACGAGCCTACTGGCTACTGCTGCTCTGCTCGCAGTTCTCAAACAACAAAACAACAATAAAGTCTAAAATGGACGGACAAAGTCAAAGCTATACAGCCACAGGTTACCTCTAAAGTCTAAAATGGACGGACAGCTGGAGAAGGTGACGTTCTCACGGTGACGATGACGGGGTTCGACGGCGACAACTGGCTTCGACGAAAACAGAGCAACGAGCCAACTATGATGATTGATGAGACAAGTGACAAGATGGAAACAGTCAACGGACAACGATGATGAGGGTTGTTGCTGCAGTCGTGCCCCTGGGTGGATGCGGGGAGCTTGAATTCGATGAACGGAGGAGGAGGGATCGGCGATCGTTCACGGTGCAGCAGTCACTCACTCAGGCCTCAGGGGATGCAAATAGCCTCGTTCGTTAGGGATTTTTTCAGTTTTTAGGGTTACCCGACGCCCGACGTTTCGTTGTTGGCTTGGCGGCTGACTCTTGGGCAGTTGGGCCTTGGCGCTTGAATTTTTGTTGTATTTGATTTCATAGTCGGTGTCGGAATACCGATCCGCCGATGGTAACCTGCAACTTCGAACCCGGCATACCGCCAACCAATATTCCCCAGCCGAATACCGTCAATTTTGGTTACCGGTTTAATCGGTTTTACCGATAACCGCAAAACCGTTTACCAGTCCTAATCATAGATATTTTTCTTTATTTATGAGCTCAAAGTTTGATCATTGCCAATAGAGCTGGATAATTATCTATTCAATCACTCTTGCCAATGGTGAATACAAGAGTTACTAGGAAAAGGGAAATTAACATGAAATTGAGCTATGGGAAATTGGAAGTTAAAAATATTCATCTAAAATGGAAGTCACAAGTATTCATCTTGAATGGAAGACACAAAGAGACGAAATATGAAGAAAATACAATTGTCGGCAATATTCTGATTGCTCTATAAGTCCATGCTTAATGCAACATTCATCATAATGTCATTTGCATTTCACCAACGACCCACCCTGCAAAATATTAAAATTACACACAGATCACATCGCACAACTCCTACTAAATTCCACAATAAATTTATATTTATGAACAAAGAACATTTTATTCGTCACACTTTACTGCTTCAGCCAATCCCAAGTTCCTAAAATATTGAATCTGTCTACAAAAATCTCAGCGATATTTAGCATTTTCGAAATCCGTATAGCAATAACATAACCGTTGGAGAATAATAACGAACCGGTCATCAATAAAAAAAAACTCACCACGCAAACACGAACATCGTGACATCCACACAACATTTCTCCATTCAACTTATCCACCGCCTCAAACACTCCTCCCTCGTTACTCCTCTGCCAAAACCCCAAATTAATTCAGCAACCTAATTGCTTAACTAAAAACATCCAACTGTATTACCACTTAATTACGATTTTGATTACCTTGTAATAATCAACCGCAACAAATTAAGTTAGCCCATCTGTTCCCAGCTGAGACATAACATTTCCCAAGCATCTCCATCAATCCCCTCGAATTGTACCGACACGAGACATCTGCCACTGGTACTGTCCCAAAATAATTCACAAGTACCAAACTTTTGGTCTTGTCGCCCAATGGCGCCGACTCTCTTCTGTTTATGCAATATCCCCTCAACCCACCACTCCCCTCTGCCAAAAAACCCCATATTTACCTTCTCAATCTATAGTTCCCTTTTGGAAAAAGAGTAAGAACATAGAAAGAATGGCTTACATTGAGTTTCAACCATGAAGTTCGATTGATAAGCTATTCCTTCAGCTTGTTGCTTGGATCGATCAGATGTGAAGACTATCAACCTTTGGTTACTGGCAACCATGTCCTTCACTGAAGGCCAGTCTTTGCCACCTTGAGGCATTTTGGAGAGAGGAAACCAGTATCTTTTCAAGACAGAGGACTCGAATATTCGTGACAGGCCATTTGGGGTTTTGACATTATCTTCTAAGATCAAAGTTATAATCTCTGATGGGTTTGATGACATGAATGCCTCTATTTCTTTCAAAGTCTCCATTGCAGGTTCCTGGTTCCAAGAACCATGAAATAAGGGGGGAAACTTAGACCAAACAACTATCAAAGTCGAGATTCTACGTAAAATAAAATAAAAGTAGGATAAAATCGAATAGCAAAATTGTAGGATTTTAAGTACCATCTAAATTGTAAGATCGAATCGCAAAAAAGTGGGTCAAAATCGTAATTGTAACAAAAGGTGTTACGTGTCGCTAATTTGAGGTGAATGAAATAAAATTGATCCAAGGATTTGATTTGATTCCATTAACTCGGTTCAACATTGATCAAATTCACTCTACCTTAAAATCCTATGAAATTTTAGATTTTCATGATTGGAATTGTGAATCGTGTAGGAGGCTAGGAGCTTACAGTCCATAAATCAGTAAAATCATAATCATAATAAGTGAGTAAGATCGTAAATTTTTAAAATTTAAATCAGGAGTTTGACTACCTTATCTTCAACGAAACGGAACAAGAAATTACATATAGGGACTCACAAATGCTGTGTAATCCCGGCATTTCCCCCTGAATGAATGGCACAACCAGATTCCACCCCTAAAGTCATATAAATCCAGCATCAGTGCTCTGACTCCGTGCTGCATAAGGATTAGTACCCAGATAATTTGATCAAAAGGGTCATCGCCATTTATGGACACAATTTAAGCGATACCACTTATAATCTCCTTAAGCAAATCTACATTTAGCTGTTGGGTGACAGAGTCCTCCTGACTTGTAGTAGTAACCCTAGGGATTCCAGTGCGGGGTGGCTCTCCTCTAATGGCAAACGAGTTGTGGGTGGTCAAGAATGCATACTTGTTCAAAGGCAGAGAATTGTTCTGCAAAAACAGGGGGGGAAAGGGTATCAAGGGGAATTCAAAACCATGGGGAAAAAAATTAAACTAGATAGTGGGAAGATATGTACCAGAAGCTTGAACTGGTCTGTTATGGTTGATCTAACACATCTGGAGCCATTGAAGGCCAGAGAGCAAGACAAACAGTAGAGCCCCGCCGCGCAATCTCTGTCATTCGAGCATCCATCTCGGAGCTTTGAATCAAAACACAAATGCAGAAATTGATGAAGGGTTGGTACCAGGATTGATTATGCTGCTGTAATTATATATGAACAGACCTGGCATTGGCCATTTGAGCAACCTGCGGCTGATTGAAGTATGGTTGGTGTAGAATTTGCAGAAACATTGTTAGTGCTGCTGATGATGAAGAAAACTAGTAGTGGAATCAAGAGTTTCGTTGATGCAGCCATGACCTGCAGCAGCTAGCCTTCTGTCTTCAAGTGTTTATGTATCAATTCCTCTGATGCTGGCTTGGGTGTCATCCTTCATCTCTTACACCAAACCTTGATTTCTCGGCATGAAGGCCACGTTACCAGCCATCTTCATTGCCAACGCTAGCTTTTGCTCAAGGTTTTCTGGGACCAGACAGAATGAGTTAGAGAGAAACTGCCAAGGTCTCACTTTAGGCTCCAGACAAACCTTGGAAAACTATGTCCTTCCGTTCATGGGCCCAATTCAAAATTAACTTTACCACGTGGAATAATGTGTACCACGGAAGTTATGAGTTGATGTACAATTTTTCAAAACAATAATAGTTTTGTCGCCAAACACCATTGATTATGGTGAATGACCACCGATGGATGTTTGATTTCTATTGGAAAGAAAATTGGCAACTGAATTAAGGCCCCTATAAGTATAAAAAAAAATCTCTGCCGACTGGTCCAATTAATTCGAGAAGGTCGGCGTCGTAGTTGAGCTCCAGTCTCCAAGTATCCGAAATTTAGGACTGTCAAAACGGTTTTGAGTTTACGGTTCAATCCGAACCCAAAAATGATAGCAAGCAAGTGGATTTGGTTTCGGTTTCAACCCGAAAATGTGGCATAGCGGTTTCGGTTCATTTGAACCCGAAAACGGAAGTTGTATTTGGCTCTCAGCTTCTCAGTTTACCCGGGTAATTATCATAAATGGTCACAAATCTATTTACTTTGTACAAAATGGTCACAAATATTAAATTTTGCATGTTTCAGTAAAACAAGTTTGAGGGAATAACAAAAAAGTCCATCCATCCACTTCCGTGCAAAAACACGTTACTTTTGCGTAATCAGCATGACACGTCATTGAAAATATTAATAAAAAATATTTAATCATCCTAATTTAACCCACACAATCCTAACCGGTTCACTACCTATATACCCGGCCGAGTACCCACCCCATAGTCCACAGAAAGCACGGTTCCTCCTCTAATGCTTCCCTCGACAATAGAGTATTCATCGTCGTTTCCGCATTCCTTCCCGCCGACCGCTCCTCTCCTCTCACAAACCAAAACCCATCGCCCAGCTCTTAAGAAATGTTTTCTCCGCTCCCATGGACGTCATAATCGACCGCGGAGCTCGAATAGATAACCCTAACGCAATCGGCGAATTTGACGACCTGTTCACCGAGAATTCTGGAGATGATTCATCGAATCAACGTTCAAGGTGTTAGGAAATTCATTTCCTAACTTATGTGGGCCATAAATTTACAAACACACTATATTTGTTATTTGCTTAGATGAGCTAAATGAAGTGATCTATTTTATGTGGCTCATGACTACTCAAGCCCAACATGGGTCCAATGGGTGGAAACCCAATACTTGATCACCTTGGGTTTTATGGGAGCCCATGGTGAACTAGTATATAAGGAGCTTGAGGTTGTGGTCCCCAATTCACCAAGACCAAGAAATCTCATCTTCTCCCCATCAAAAAGATGAGAGCTCTCTCGTAAAGGAACTGAGGCGGCTTGGTTGAGGAAGACTGCCAAAACCTCCCGGGTCGTGATGTTACCAGTATCGCCCGGTCAAAGATCATCCACCGATTTCCGCATCAAGATCGAGATGATCTACAATGAATCCAGGTATTCCTATAACCTTTGATAATCTGACAAGATGTATTCCGGGGAATTACATAGGCTAAAGTTTAATTCTAACAAGTGGTATCAGAGCCCTTCATCTTTTGTTAGATTATTGGGGTTTATTCCAATATGTTATAAGCATGGTCATGGTTTCATTCTTCGTTATATTTTTCTGGATACTATCTTCATGCTTATGTTCCATGCATGATTGTATCCGAGTGAAACCTAAATGAAGTAATGTCTTGGAGAATTATATATATTTAATTGTCATGGTTGTTCATTGTTATTATTACTAGTTTTCTTTACCCGCGCTCTGCGTCGAGAGCGCCGAGACTTGTAATTAATATATATATAATATACTTGTGCATAAGATAAACAGGTTAACGGGATGCCGGGTGTCAATTAGCATATCAAAACATGATCAGAGAACCAAGCATTCTATAATTAACTCATTAAGGATAATAGGATGTGGTGTTCCAATTAGAATCAAATCAGAGCCACTTATAGGAGGTCTGCATTCCTTTTGAGACCTGCCAAAGAACCCAACTCGAGCATATTCATCCGCCAAATACCACCACTACATTTGCGAATAACATGAGTCCAAGAACTATAAATACCAATTCCGCCTTGTACAATTCAACTTAAAGAAAATTAAATAGCCAACTGGAATGCATTTCTAAGCGAATGACGTGCCTTGAATTGGAAAACAACATATCCTGAGCATCATTGTGAAAAGATGAACCTGAAAGGAAAACACCGAACCAAAATAAACATCAAATCCCTCTCATGTAAAAAAATACCATGTCTAGAAAGATAATGGAGAACGGATGGTCAAGCAAACCTAAAATTCCGAAAAGAGCTAAACAACAGAAGAGATGTCCTAAACGGCAAAGCACTCAACCCACATACCAGAAGCAAAACAGTTGTGTTGGAAGAGCATAAAAAAATGGAACTGGCCTAATCATCCCCTGACTATTTGAAAGTTTACTCACATCTACAAAATTTACTAACTTGGCCGCTTTGGATCCCAGCCTCTAACCCCACGATTTGTACTCAATTCAAGCACCACAACAAAACAGGAGAAAACCCCAATCAGAGAATATTTAACCTCAAACTAATTGTGCTCAAAATATAAAGCATGTAGAAACCTCCTTTCACAATGTAAGCAACAGTGACAAATACGTAAAAGTCCCATATTTTTCTGTCAATCATTAGCAAGCCTAGGCTTAGGCAATACAAACGGCATAGGGTAAAGTAAAAGATCAATGAGAATGAATCAAGATAATATACAAAAGAGAAACGATTATATAAATTAGAAGCGAGTGTTCTTTACAAATTATTAAAGAACAGATTGCTTGAATATAGGTAAAGAACTTTATCAGGTACATATAAGAATGACCAAAAGAGAGAACAGGATCATAGCTTAAGGCCTTATATGTAAAGCCTCTGAATTCCAAGAATTGACTATGAACGTTAGAACAAACAAACCACAAAAGATCCATAGAGCTTAGCGGTGAATGTTTACAAATCATCACAAAACTTGCTAAAGTCACCACTTCAGAAACCGCAGTACAATGATGCAGAAATAAGAACAAAACTGAAGCTAAATTAACTTCCAATAAATGTTATTTTCTCTGACAATAACCTACCCTTCCTAAACTCCTATCCCTTGTGAACTTAGACTACGGTTAGAATAGATCGTCATATGCATTTTATATATCAGCGAATTTGAAGAACTAATATGGTCATGCAAATGGGATCATAGGCCAATCCAGGGAGTTGCATAAACTTGCATGAAGCTTAAACAACACTCGCCCACAACAGAGAAAACGGATCTTGGGAATCTGGGCCTCCTCCGATTCCTCTCTCACCCTCTCAAATTCGCCAGTTGATTGCTCCAATCACTACTTGTTTTCGAAAAGGAAAAGAGAGCCAAAATCAGAGAAAAAATAAAAGTTGGTCAAATAAACCCTTATGAACGAAATAAAACTATGGGAGACAAAGAAGGAACAATCACGTGAAACCAATATAGAACCCGTGGATCAAGGTCTTCTTCGTATCCTCCCTTCATCTTCAAATAACTCCAGATATCTCCAGATCCTCTCCAAGACCCTCAAATCCCTTTCTTGGTCTCTCTTACTATTTTCTCTATGAAAGCTACGGCCGATTTTTTTGGTTTCCTCTATGATCCCCGGTGCTTGCAGGACAAATTCGAAAGTGAGAAGGGGCGAGAGAAACAAATTGATTGTAGTTTTTTTGGGAGAAATCAGATTGAGATGGGAGCAAAAGAGGTCTAACAAAAAGAAAACAGAGAAGTGTTGGGTAAAAGAAATAGTGAGATTGAGAAGGTAGGTAAGAATATGTGGTGGAGAAAAGGAGTTGTTTTTTTTTCCCTTTCATATCTCCAACTCAAATCGTCTTTCTACTATCTCCGCTAAGAGAAGTCACTGACCCGCCATCAAATCATCCACAAAGCACTGGATGTAGAACAGTAGTTTATTTTCTCTCTCGACATCCTCCAACCAAATCAAGCAAACCCCCAAGACTGCTTCACGTTCTTTTCTCTCCCGGCGTGCTCCAATCAAATCAGGCAAACCCATCACTGCTTCACGACTTAACCGGGGCCATTCCGTTTCCCTGTGACCAACGCACGTTTTCTCTCAATGCAGTACTTCCCGTCACTTCCTCCCATCAACCCATCCGTCTTACCACGAATGACCTCCAACCCTCCAAGGGTCTCTAAGACGAACACAGAGAGACAGAGACTATCACACACACAGCTGGCTGACTCTGCACAGTATTTCGTCAGATGAATCCTAAAATTAGGTCTAAATGAATAGCGAATTGTGTCTAAGTGAACAATAAAAACAGTCTAGATGTACAGTGTTAGGTGTTTTGAGCTATTATACTTTTAATTAATTTTAATTTCATTTCACCGGAAAATTCAATCTCAACATCGTACTTTTTTATTCCGGTTGTCCTGATCGGATAAAAAAAAAGGAGGTCCAGTTTTTTTCCCGGTTGTTTTCTTTTCCTGACGCAGGTCGGTTAAAGGTAGGGGAACAATTCAGTTTTTTTAATTCCCTACCTTAACTTAAGGGGTCGTTTGTTTCAACGATTTGCATCATGGATTTGGTACCAAAAAACCAACCATCATGGATTTACACACAATCCGTTGTTTGCTTTGTCAAAAAATATTTAGATAAATCAGTGGGCCCCACGGATTTGAGTTTTTTTTTCTCTCCAAATCTATGGGCCCCACGGTTTTATAAATCTCACCTCATACCCTGGGATTTGGAGACAAACTAAAAAACCATCAAATCCTTGATAAAAATAGCTCAACAAACAAAGAATTTTCTCAAATCCATAATGCCCAAAATCCCTAATAAATCCCAAGGTTTTTAATCCTTACTTACTATTATAGTAATTCAAAACCAAAGTTGTGCCACATCAGCCCATGAAGAGCTCCCAGCATCCCATCCCATCGTCACTGTAGGAAAAAAAATTGAATTATTTATCTTTGATAATTAATTAGTGAGATGCTTTGTGTCCCTTTGCTACCCCATGGAAATGCTCCCACTTTTAAGGAGATTAATTAGTGAGTTGCTTTATCTCCCTTTGCTAATATGGAAGATTCAAACAAACCGTTAAATTATTGTTTGAGTCCTTCTAATTAATTAGCAGAGTGTGATTTGATTGATTATTTACTCACAGCGTGATTTGATTGATTAATTACTCACTCCTGAAACTGATCTCACCTCATACACGTACGTACAGACAGTTTGCTCTCTTGGAAGTGGAAAGTTGTATCTATCATAGGGGCCCGACTGATCATCAATGAACGGAAATGCTCCTATTTTTAAGGAGATTATTTTTTCACTTCAGATCATCATCCATCCTTTCATCCCAACTATAATATTTTCCCCTCCCTCTATTGTTTTTGGCCGCAAGCAGGAATCCAGACACAGAGAGCTCATAATACCCGAGAAACCATCGCCGGCCGAAGCCCGTAAGTAATCGATCGGTCCTTTCACTTTTATTTTTTAATTAATCGTTCAATCTCGCCATCGGTAGCGTAGCGCGACGGTCAATCGAGCTAATCCACTGCTCTATTGTGTAGTCCTTTTTTCCTATTGTTTCTTTTATCAAAATATTTCGCCGGCTTAATTACTCGGCGGCAGCTGGAGTTCGATGAGCTGAATATGGATGATATCCGTCAAGCATGTGGTCTTAATTGTGTATTTTTCGATCCTGAATTTCGTGGTTCCCATTTTTGTGTGGTTGGTGTAGAAAACTCGATGGTAGGCTGACTTAGGGGGAAGCAAGCTAACCAAACAACAACATATTCTAATCTTCATAGCTTATTTAGCAATAATAGACCGACTGGTATGTTCCTAGAGCGCCCCTCGATTTCTATGTCGTGCCTTTTTCAAAATATATTTTGCAATGATATTTTTCGTTTATGTAGTATTGATTTTGGGATAATTGAATCTCATATTGTAGTTGTTCCAATTCTCACTGTTTTTTCATTTACGGAATGTTGATTTTGGTCTAATTGAATTCCAAATTAAAGCTTGAATTCGGACCTAATTGTTTTTTTGCCAACTATTGTTACTGTTATGCATCATACCCGGTTACTGAAGGGGGACGTTGCAAGATAGAACCAATTGAGTCGGATTGAAGTTTGCCGCTTTCACAATTCGAATACTAATATTTGTAGTTAGTTTTGCCACAACATTCCAAGTTAGATTGCATGGGTAAGCGGAAGATTGATGACGTGGATGACAATATAGTTCCTCGCACCTACAAAATTGCACGGACAATTGATACTACGCGATGTTCGTGGGATTTCGATCGCGGTAGTTTATTTTTCTCTATACCAATTAATTAACGTTTTTATGGGATCCTTTCTGTAGTCTAACTGCTCCTGATGTGTATGTAGCAAAAACTTATTTCCTGGCACAATCAAGGTCAACCAAGACCTTAATTGCCAAAATAGCAAGAATGAAACGACGGATCGTGCTATGTTCAAAAAGGATGGATGTACTAGCATTCCAGTACTTAATAGGTAACTAAAGTTATCTTAATTTTTGATTGGCATGTAATATGGTTTTTTTACGATTTCAAAAAACTAAATTACAATAAATATTACAGGTTGCAACTATTCACTTTCTAAGCTAAATGCTAAAGCTGAACGCATGAATAGAAAGATCAAAATGATTGCTGCCAAAAAGAAAAAAAAGATATTTCCTACCACAATTGAGAAAGGTATATTGTTGATATGTATTGAATATGCGTATGATATACAATTATAGATATATTTTGTTTCTAATTAACGTTATCTTTTATGTACATAGGTTCGAAGCATGTCGACTGCTTTTCTCTTGGCCCTCCTTCGAGCGTATGCCAATACTGTGCAGCTGTTATGTGGAAAGAAGAAAGTACATCTCGGTCTCGAAAGTCAGGGTCTTCAAAATTTTCTCTTTGTTGCAAAAAAGGCAAAGTAAAACTTCCTCCGGCTCGAGAACCTCCTGAATTCTTAAGAGATCTATTGCAGTCAAACAGTGAAGCTGGCAAGCACTTTCGTGACTGTATCAGGATGTATAATGGTGTCTTCTGCTTTAGCTCAATGGGTGGAAAGATTGATCACGCTTTGAATAATGGACGTGGCGTCTATGTATTTTCTATTGGAGGCCAAATTTATCATCAAATTGGCAGTCTGTTACCCCCAGTAGGATCCAGTGCGAAGTTTGCTCAATTGTACATTCATCAAACTGAGACAGAAGCTGAGAATCGTCTCCAAGCAATTGGTGCAAATAACAATTCCACATCTCTGCACAGAGATATTGTGGCCTCTTTGCAAGAATTGTTCGACGAGCACAATATTTTGGTCCAAACATTCCGGTATGCAAAAGACAGGATCAATTATGATAGTGTACAACATTTGAAGGTTAAACTTATTGCCAATCGGCGATCAGATGGTCGGGAATACGATCTTCCTACAGGAAATGAAGTTGCAGCTCTTATTGTGAACGATCCTGGCCAAACATCTTATGAACAAGATATTATTGTTGAGCACCAGACCACTGAGCTTCAAAGAATTAGTATCTACCATCCTAGCTTAATGACATTGCAGTATCCATTGCTCTTCCCTTACGGAGAAGATGGTTGGCGCAAAGATATTTATTTATGTGGTGAAGAAGGATTCGAGGATGCAAACGAAAAGTTTCTAACGCAGTGTGATTTTTATGCGTATAGGATTCAAACAAGGCTTCATGAAGGGCACACATTATTATTATCTGAAAAACTATTCCAGCAGTATGTGGTCAATGCCTATGCTTTAGTGGAAGCTGAGCGTTTGGATTGGATTAGGAATAACCAACGCAGACTGAGGACGAACTACTTGAATGGTTTGATGGATGCATTTTTTCAAGGAGATATTAGTACCGAAACCACAGGGAAGCATGTCATTCTAAGCTCTTCGCATACAGGTAGCCCAAGGTACAGGTATGAGAATTACCAAGATGCTATGGCCATATGTCGAGCAATGGGATATCCAGATTTATTCGTGACTTTTACATGCAACGCAAACTGGCCAGAAATTCAATTCATGATCGATTTGGTGAAAGCATCCGGAAGAAAAGACACTCATAGAGCAGACATCATTGCAAGAGTTTTCAAGTTAAAGTTGGATCAACTCTTGCATGAGATCAACAACAACAAAATATTTGGACACACTTGCGCACGTGAGTTTCCTTTACTACATTCCCCCCCCCCCCCCCCCCAATCGGCTTATACCTAAACCATTGATCACATTTTTTATTATTCTAATTTGTAGTTGTCCAAGTCATAGAGTTCCAAAAGCGAGGACTTCCACATGCACATCTATTAATTTTCTTGGCCCAGCAAGACAAACTGAATGGGGTAGCCGATATTGATTCAATTATACAAGCCGAGATTCCGGATATCGACACCGACCCTGAATGTTACTATGCCGTGACTAAATTCATGATTCATGGGCCGTGCGGAAATGCTTTCCCAAAAGCAAGTTGTACATCTGCTGGAAAGTGTTCTAAGCATTTCCCCAAAAAATATTGCTCTCAAACAACAATAGATGATGATGGATTTGCAAGGTATCGCCGGAGAGAAGATGGTCGATTCATAGTTCGAAATGGTGTGCAACTTGACAACCGTTTCGTGGTTCCCTACAATCGTTACCTCCTCTTGCGATTCCAAGCCCATATCAACGTCAAATTTTGCAATAAGAATCGGTTAGTTTAACTTTTTAATTCTATATAAAAGTTTCTTCTATGTTCATTATTTTTCCATGTACATTCGCCTCATTTGTTCCTTTTATTCCTATGTGCGTAGTGTATTTGTGTTAGTAATAGTCGATTCTCTTATAAATTAAAAAAAATTGTAAAATGATGAAAACGACAAAGACCACACATTTTGGAATATATTCCTTTCTAGAATTACTTAATCTTCTTTGTCCTTGATTTCTTCAATGGTTTGTGGGGTTTTTTACACATTTAAAAATGTAGATGATATATATATATATATATATATATATATAGGAATGTAGATGCGATATTTTTTCAAAGAATACGATCTTTTTTATGTGTTTGTGATAAATTCAATTTTAAATGATTAATTTAATAATTTTGTGATAATTTTGCTCACTTAATTTGTTTTGTATGAAAATATCTCAACTAATTTTGATATTATTTAGACGGGAAAATTTTATTTTGGAAAAATTCAAATTTAAACTTATGGAAGTACTTAATCTTCTTTGACCTTGATTTCTTTAATGGTTAGTGGGATTTTTTACACATTAAAAGATGTAGATGATATATATATTTATAGGAATGTAGATGCGATATTTCTTCAAAGAATATGATATTTTTTTATGTGTTTGTGATAAATTCAATTTAAAATAATTAATTTAATAATTTTGGGATAATTTTGCTCACTTATTTTGTTGTGTATGAAAATATCTCAACTAAGTTTGTTATTATTTAGACGGGAAAATTTTATTTGGGAAAGTACATTTCTAACTTAGTCTAATCAAATGTTTGCAGATCTATTAAATATCTCTTCAAGTATATAAACAAGCCACCAGACAGAGCAAGGGCAACAATTGTTGAGGAAAGAGCAAAACATGATTCAGAAATTCAAAAAACTGAAGTCCCTTTGGATCTAGATGAAATTAAGGCCTTCCTTGATTGCCGCTATTTAGCAGCTGCTGAAGCCTGCTGGAGAATCTTCAAATTTGATATTCATTATCACTACCCAGCAGTTTTAAGAATGAGATTTCACCTACCAGGGTAGCAATTACTTATTTATGAGGAGGACAAACCAGTAGAAGAGGTACTTTCCTCTGAAGCGGCAACAAGGACAATGCTATTAGCATGGATGGAAATGAATATAATAGATCCTGAGGCAAGAAATTACACCTTCATTCAGTTCCCACAATTTTATGTTTGGGACCAAAGAACTAGAACTTGGAGGTCTAGAAAGAACAAAACATGCATTGGGAGATTGTACTATGCACATCCATCCTCAGGTGAGAGGTACTATCTTCGATTACTTTTACATATCGTCAAAGGGTGTAAAAGTTTCGAAGAAATTCGAACGGTGAATGGGATTGTGTATGAGAAATTTAAGGAGGCATGTTATGCAATGGGTTTCTTGGCCAAAGATGATGAATGGCACGATTGCTTGAAGGAGGTCTCACAATGGGCTTCGGGGACCAAAATGAGGAGGATATTTGTGACGATGGTGGCGTATTCACAAGTATCAAACGTCAAGGAATTGTGGGAGAAGAACTGGGAGTTGCTCAGTGATGATATCCAACACTATCAGCGCAGCTTGCTCAATCGACCAGAACTACATTTATCACCAGATGAAACAAAAGAGTTGTGTCTCATTGAATTAGAGAAGCTATTCCACAAGATTGGAAAGTCATTGGTTGATATTCCAGGTATGCCAATTCCCAACTGCAATACGTTTGATAGAGCAAATCGATTACTAGCGGAAGAATTAAGCTACAACAGGAGTTCTATGAGTACAGAATTTGAGAAGAACTTCCCTAAGCTCAATCATGATCAACGTGTTGCATATGACCAGATAATGGAGTCTATTAATACAAATAATGGAAAATGCTTTTTCATAGAAGGATTTGGTGGATCAGGTAAAACTTTTCTTTGGAAAGTGATTAGTGCCAAGCTAAGATCTGAAGGGCGGATAGTGCTTTGTGTGGCTACTTCTGGAATAGCAGCTTTGCTCATGGACGGAGGAAGAACAGCACATTCAAGGTTTCGTATTCCTATTAAGTTGAATCCAACATCAACCTGTGACATTTATCAAGGCTCTGATGTTGCAGATCTCCATCAAAATGCTTCTTTGATAATCTGGGATGAAGCACCCATGGCCCACAGGAATGCAATTGAGGCATTGGAACGCACTTTGAGAGATATAATGAGAAAGCACAACAAAAACAATCTTACCAAGCCATTTGGAGGAATGACAGTTGTATTTGGGGGAGACTTCAGGCAGACGTTGCCAATCATAAAGAAAGGAAGTAGGGCCGATATTGTCGATGCATCTTTGAAAATGTCATATGTCTGGCAATATCTGGAAATATTGAAGCTCACAGAAAATTTGAGACTGCGACAACCTAATTCTTCAGAAACTGAGCTAAATGATATCGCAGATTTCAGTAAATGGATCCTACAAATTGGAGATGGCGAAGACTGTTCAGTTTTTTGCGAAGCTAATATTGATATTCCAAGTGAATTGATGGTGGAACGTCAAGGAGAACCTATTATTGACATTGTCAGAGAGATATATCCACATCTCGAATGCAATTATGTGAACCCAGAATATTTGGCAAGTAGAGCTATTTTAGCTCCTCACCACGAAATGGTGCACAAATTGAATGAGTATGTTCTATCACAGATCCCAGGTGAAGAGATCACATATCTCAGTTCTGATTATGTTCAAAATGAGAATGGGAAGCAAAATATAGAGCACCCAGAATTCCCAGCAGAGTTGCTAAATTCCTTGCAAATACCTGGCTTCCCAGATCATGAAATCAAGTTGAAGCTTGGAGTTCCAGTGATTCTATTAAGGAATATTGATCAGGCATCTGGGCTATGTAATAGGACACGTCTGATTATAAAAAAAAATGGGCAAATGGTTCATTGAAGCTGAAGTTATTACCGGGACTCATATCGGGGACATGGTCTTCTTACCTCGCATGACTCTTGCCACAGAATATCCGAGTCTTAATATTACACTATCAAGAAGGCAATTCCCAATTGCATTGTGCTACGCAATGACAATCAACAAAAGTCAAAGGCCAATCACTACAAAGGGTAGGACTCTGTTTGCAACAACAAGTCTTTAGCCATGGGCAACTTTATGTTGCTTTGTCACGAGTCACTACAACAAAAGGTTTGAAGATCCTCAGTTGTGACCACGAAGACAAACCACTATCATGGATGCAAAACATTGTATACAATGAAATATTTGCTTAGTTTGGTTAGCTTCATTACTCATTTTGTTTGGATGGAAGTACTGTCAGTTAAATAGCTTTGATGTTATCCTTCAGTTTCATGTAAAATAGACGAGGTTGCACTCTTTAGCCAATAAATCTTCGCTAATGGATCATAAACAACCATTTGATGTTGAAGGAAAGACAACATCTTTGCACCTTAATGCATTTTTAATAACAAATCTAAAAGGCAGTACAAACCAAATAACGAAAATTATCATTATGAAAGACGTGGCTTTTCCAATATCCTATCCTTAATATATGACAATATAAAGTTAACACCATTTCAGCTGACTAAGGCCTGTCAAAAGCCACACAATACCATGAATGACAGTGACAAATTTAAATAGTTTCGATATGAGAGAGGTCAAAACGTAAACCAGCCGTGCTAGCTTCTCCATGCAATGATGAACTAAAGGCCACATAAGTATATCATCTATATTCACTCTACAATGAGTAACGGAACCCCATGCTATTCCACATGCACTCCTGCAAAGAACAATCCAAGTTAGACCCAAACCCAATAAATTACTATAAATGATTAAATTAAACACAAAGCAATAAAGGACAATAACAACAACCACACAAATTAAACACACACAAAAAATACTCGAAATGATTATATACATACAAACGGACAAAGCAATAAAGGACAAAATAAACCGCACCACATAATCCTTAAACCCATCATCACAACCACTATTGAAAGGCACATAAATGCAGAAAACCAAAAGACACATTCAGCCAATGGTATTCTCGAAGAAATTAATACATGGTCATCAAGACAACCATAAACAAAACTGTGAGGCCCCATATAAAACCCAAAAGAAATAAGCACAGGAGCCAGCAACCACTGTCAAAAGTTGACAAAAGCAATCCCAAGGCTACCACTCAAGCCCGACAGAAGCAACAACACAGCAAGATTAGGTAATATATCCTCAAAACACAATACATCCAAATTCATACTGACACCAAGAGTTCCAAAAAATTGCAGGAAATGGAAGATCAGAAAATCGACAAGCTAACCACGGATGACGACAATGGATCCCTACTTGCAAGAGTGTCGAGAAAATGGCTGGCCATCAACGCAAACTCCAAAATAATAATGCGCCTAGATTTGGTCCTCATTGATGCAAAGGTAAGAGAAGCAGTTGCGCAAAATCACAAACAAAATAGTACTCATTAACGATAAGGATGCTAATATTGTCAAACAGGGACGTGACATCCATGTCCAAATTCCGAGATCAATGATGGACGAGTTTGAAAGGAAAATTCAAGAACAAGCCATATACACCTTCACAGATTTCAGAGTCAAGGAAGCAACGGGAGAATTCAGACCAGTAAAGGAACCATTGGTGATAGAATTAAAAAAGTCAACAAAAGTGCAACCAACCACCACAGCAATCAACATCCAGAAATACAAAATGAATTTGATCCCAGAAGAACAAATTGACAAGCTCAAGGGAAAAAAAGAAATCCTATCAGGTAAGATGGAAAATACATTAACAACTACTACCAAACATGTCATCTACTGTTCACATACACTTCACATCTTGCAACAAATAAAAAACGCAGATACAATTGGCCAGCTGAAGGAATACTCAAACAACATTGAAACGAACAATGGAGTCACTCGAAGAGTGCGGAAGAACCTCACGATGCAGCTACCACTGTACTCTCCAAACAACTACCAACTATGTAAGGTAATTACAAATATTGCAGAAAACAAATGCTAACTCCCGAAACTTTCTCCACATTTTAATGTAAACAGGGGAAGAATAATCAGGGTGACAATTTGGAATAAAACAATAGAAGAATTCAACAAAATCATGGCAAAGAGTAACCGAGGACCAGTTCTACTGTATATCACCAGTATCTACGTGAACGGGGACTACGGTAAAATAAACTATCATATATTAGTTGCACTGCATCTGCTTGATTATAATTAAATCAGCAAAACATGAACAGGAGGAATTCACCTCTCCGGCACAACGGCTACAAAGTTTTATGACCAGCTGGACATACTGGAGCTAAATGAGTTAATTCAGACGGCCACAGATGATGAGGAAGCAATCAATAACCAAGCACCGGTTATGATAGAACAACCTGCCCCACCAGAGATCCAACAAGCGACAATAGCAGAGTTGCAAAGCAACAAGCAAGAAGAAAGCAACAAGGTAAACTATATATATCACACTCAAGAATATACAAACAAAAGGACCAAGTAACCATAATGACTTCTTTCCCCAGAACAAGAGCTATTATGTCAGGTGTAGAATCACATCCATTAGAGAGAATTGGAGTTACATAGGCTGCTGGGACTGTCCCAGAAAGGTGGAAGAGGTCAACAAACAGAACCAAACAGCAATAGAATTCTACTGCAGCAACTGTGACTCCACTTCATCATTGGCAACAAGAAGGTAACAGGAAAAAAACCCATCCTACAACGACAAAAAACAAACAAACAAACAACAGGTAACAAATTGCCACCACTGCTTATAGGTACCACATCAAGCTGTTGGTACAAGATGACACATCAAATACAGAGTTTTTGTTGCTGGACAATGCCGGAGAGAAATTCCTCAATAAGCCAGCAAGAGAATTATACAACAACAAACCAAGGAAAGGCCAACAAATCCCACACATGCTACTTGACTTGGTCGGTCAGAAATTCAAATTCACAATCAAGCTGACCGACAACAACATGAGGAACATGAACGATCAATACATTATCTCTGCAATTAGCACAACTCATGACCAGAATAGCACAACGATGCAAGCACGCCGAAAGAATAATACGGTACAACTAAAGACATACGATCACTATTTATTTATGTCTTATTATAATGATACTGAAATATTTGAAATATATGCAGGCTCAGAGCAAAAAGAGAAACACAGGGCACAAAATGAGACAGTTAAAACGCCACAAGAAACAAAAGAACCATGCTACCAAGTATGAGGAATCACACAGCGAAGAGGACACCGATGAATCACAAAAAAGCTGGACCACTAGCAGCACAGAAAGAAGAAAGAGCTACAAAGGGAAAAAACCGCAAAACATGAAAAAACAGGTATACATACATCACACACAAGTATACATCACACAACCCACCACCAACTAACATAATCAAAACAGGACAACAACAGAACCAAGAAGAATGGGAAGGGCAAACGCGTCAAACAACACAAAAAGATCCAATATGAGGACAGCCCTGATGAACAGGTCAGTGAGGAAGAGACATACGTCTCTAAGACAAGCTGGGAGGACAGCAGCAGCTCAGAAGAATGCACCAGCGCCAAACCCAATAATGGAAATAAGAAGAGAAGACTGAGGCAGGTCATCAGCGATTCTGACTAAGCAACCCACTCAACCACCACACTCAAGCAAATTCAAAGATTCCCCGGCCACAACCTACTGCTTTTCCCCTATCAATTTACAGCTGCTAAATAATAACAATCCGCTAAGTGCAACCGTACTAGGAATTTAATAATTTCCTCAGCTTTTCATGCTTCTAGATAGTAATAAACTACATATCACCTATGAAATGAAATGAAATGAAATGGAGCCTTCATTACTTAAGTGGTACAATCGTCCATTCATCTAGAATAATTTATACCAAAACTAGCAATATTGTCCTCAGAAAGGACACCACAACTATTTATCTTTCACATTTCAACGACATAACCCGCCCGGACTATCAAACAATATTTTGACAATGGAACAAGCTAATGGCATATCATTCAACAACAGGAAGATATTCACTAAACCTATTTCTATATAATAGGATGTTCCACATGAAAGGTGCTCACGTAAACAAGGCACCAATTTACTTAGTAATTGTAAAGTAACCAGTCCCACAAACGGGAGGAAAACAGAAGCTGAAACATTGCTCACCTTCACACACCCTAACCTCCCCCAAACCATACCTTTAGAGCTAATCTAAAGATCAAATGACAAGCCCTTTTGCCCATCGCAATTACACAGCCATACTTCTAGAATTCAGCGCTATGAGCACAACAACTAATCAGGCAAAACACATACACTTTACAGTTGAATATAGAAACCCAGGGATAGGAACAAGATAATTTGACCTGCTTAATGCAGAGGAAAATCCTATCACTACATCAAAGTATCACAGAAGGTAGGGATTCAATTTTAAAACACGACACATACCCAGTACTAACACCAGGCAAAGTCCGGCCGCCTATATTGTTGTACTACCTTCATACTCTACTATTCTGGGTCTCTTCAACCAGCGCGACGGAAACAACCACCAGCATCCACGATAGCAACCAACCTGAGAACATAAGTAATGGCCACAATTCAGCATAAAAACGGCAAGCAAATCACGACAAAAGAAAAGAAATCAGGATAGGGGCGACACCGACCCAGACGTTTGCGAAACACCACGAAAGATATGGCGAATTTGGAGACGATGACCTACAACCAGAATACATGCCCCGAAATAGATTGGAATATATGCAGATCCAAATAGATTGCCCCGGAATACATGCCCTAAACTCTGCCGGCGTCGAAGGTATCATCGCTGTAATGGACAAGAATCGCCCGTAAATAGAACGGAGAACGAGTGGAAGGATTCTCTTCTCCACTAATTCCCCACACCGCTCACTCACTACACTACAATTTCCAAAAGGATAAAATTTATATTATTTAATTTAATTTTTACACTAAGGAAGGAGAAGAATATGATAAACAATTTGATTTTACATAATAAAAAAAACCTCACCACTACATTGAACAGCACCGACAACATCGCCCACTAAAAATTATTTAGTCTATGTCTATGTCTATGTCTATTATACATTTTTCACCCTTATAAAAAAAATATTTTTAAAAAATGACAATCAGTAGAAACACACACCTTAAACGTTAGACACAAACTACTAAACAAAAATATTTTCCGGAATGACTTCTAACAGGAAGGACCACAAGTCCACAACCTAAAATCACACACTAAAATAGGAAGGACCACTAACGCAACACAAAAATAAGTACGACAAATACAAAAAAAAAGTATCATTGTGAACACCCAAAACCATTAAAAAATTATATGACAATACGATGCGAAAAAAGAACTCACTCAAACACACCGCCCAACGGGCGGGTAAAAAACTAGTTAGCAAATCAATGACAAAACCCTCGTTATAAAATTCTTGAAGCAAACCACCTGTAAATTTTGGTGCCGGTCACAACTCTAAGGAGAATTGATGGTTAACTTTTCCACCGGTTGTTTCTAATTAATCGCTTGAAATCACCATTTGTATTTATTATGGACTCCAGTCTTCGGTTATACGTCCAGGGGATAAGTGATATTATAATTGTTATTTTAAAGAGAAGGTGGAATTAAACTCTCTAATGCTATTAACGGAAGCAATTAAAGGGGAAGAATTTTTTATTACAATAATTATGAATGATTGTTATTATAATAAATTTTCTCTCCATAAGCCTATTGTTTCTATCGGTTATGGTAAGGGAAGTTTATTACGGGAAGGCAAGTTTTGTTACGCAAGAGGGAAAGATTAAATACCAATAGCAATTCATTAATCTTTACTTTGGCTTTGCGTTCAGTTACGCAAGTGATGAGTTATCGAAATTAGCCACGTTTTGGTTATATGGGTTGTTTAATAATTAATTAATCATTTGGAGTTTTTGGTTACCGAATTAACATTATGTATTGTTAGTTTCGGAAATAACCTTCTGGTTATGGAAAAGATTAATTAATCAACAGTATAATTTATAGCTGAAAAGTAAAACTGCAACCCCATTCAAATTTTTCTGAGCATAGAGTGATTTTAGGAGTCTGACGTGGCATGGTGGTTAGCGGGAAAAAAATAAAAATAAAAAACTGTGAGCGCCTGATTGCAAAACTCAAAACCTATCCACTACCCACATTCTCTCCCTTTCCCACGTTCTCATTTAATATTAAATTATTTTTTTTTGGTTGAAATAAGCCCACGTTTGGCTGCTGGTTATTAAGAGAGAAAAGGACACCTTTTTCTACGGGTTATTAAGTGAGAAGAAAAAAACTGGCGCCGAATCCCACGGTCTCCCCCGAACCCGTCTGCCCGAGTCGGCTTCACCTGCGACGCCATCTGGAGCACCAGCAGCACGCCAAAGAGCACGGCGGACACTGATCTGTCTCCTCCGCTTCACCTGCGGCGCCATCTGGAGCACAAGCAGCACGCCAAAGAGCACGGCGGCCACTGATCTTGCTATTTGTTTCGTTTTGTTTCCTCCTTAACGTGAAAGCAAGATCTTGGGTATTCCTTGGCGATAATGTATTTGTTTCGTTTAGCTTGATTTACACCTATAGATCGTGAATAGAGTATCAATGACAAATGAGCCGATCATAGTGATCCATTGTTGTATTTGATTCGATTGGTCGGGCTACTTTTCTCCTTTTGGATTTTCGTCGGTTCGGTTATGAACCGGAAAGGTCTCCTCAGCCGCAGAAGAGGTTGGATAGAAGGTACTCCAGGATTGCCGACGACTACAAGACTTTAGATCAGGTTAGTTCATCCATGATTAAATCAGTTACTGCTCCTTTTGATTGTGAAATTTTGTATTTTCCGATTTTTTAGGGACGCTTTGAGTTGCCATGGGTCCGGCCAATTATTGGGACAGTGGGAATGTGTTTTTTTTGTTGAGAGGAATATGCTGATTGTATCTGGTGAATCTGGAATTTTATCCAAGTTGGGTTCTTTGCCATGTACTGTTGTGGATTATGAAAGACTGATAAAGATGTGAACTTTAATTCAAAACTTTAATTTCTCTTTGGATATGGTTTTTATGGATGCAGTCGAATTATATTTGTGTTGGCCATTACATTATTGTCGTGATCTTGATATATAATCTTTCTGTTGTCGCCTCAGAGAGAGCCTGATTAGGCATTCTGTTATATGTGTTTTGTTCATCAATTTAAATAATGCCTTATATAGTTATATTTTTCTTCGACTGTTATGTTTGTGTGGTGTGTTGTATGTGTCATTAACTCGCACAAACTTATAATTGGTGAGGAGTTCAACTTCTGTTGTAACAATTAATTAATTTATATGAATGGCAGCTGCAAAATTTACTGGAACAGGTGCATCATTTACCACGACCTCTATTTCAGATTGCATCAGGTTATTGGAGAATTTAATATGGATAGTGCAAATGTCATCCCATCTGCCCAACCACAGATTTATCGATCGTCTGTACCATGTGAGTGTCATGGTTTAGCACGCAACTGCTTCAATGCAAACTGACATTAATATTTTCCCTTGAATCTCATTTGTTTAGGGAAGCGTCGAGCAGTGTTTATTCATCCTGAAGATCAGTACCAACGCTGTGTTTTATCTGCTGAAGAGGAAGAAGCATTTGAGAGAGGTGTGTTACCTGTGTTTTAATTTTTCTAATTAGTTCATCTATTCAATGAGTAATACATGGTTTTATATTTAAATTCTG